CAAAACTACTGCTTCAGACAACACATACTTGATTTATGGAATTCACTGTCACAAGATGTAATTATGACTACCCTAAAGTAGGACCAGTTACTTCATGGTATACTATTTTATTGTAAGCTGCCTGATACTGTATGTAAATAATGAGTAAATGAATTCCAATGGCTACTAGGCATCACAGTTATGCAAAGCCTCCAGATTCAGAAGCAGTATACCTCTAAAAATATGGAGTATGACATCAGGGAGGCAAAGATCACCTTTGCCACTCCTCTTACTCTGCATAGGATGAGCATAAACCTGAGTTCAGTGGCTTACAATCATCACAATAGGACTGTGTTTTTGCTGTGTCCTATGGGGAAATGATCCCAATGATATCCAGAACTTCAGGTTATTCATCTAACACAGGGATGGATAGAAAATAATCTCCAGATGTTTTGGACATCAGCTTCCAGCATTTCTAACTACTGGCAATGGCCTCTCAGAGTTAGAGGTCCAACACTTAAGTACTGCTGCTCCTGTTTTTCCAGCCTTGCTCCTTTTGCCTTCAACCCTACTTGCCACTGGAATGCAGCCTGAGTTTCTACCAAGTAGAAATTGGCCCTTGTGCTGGAAGAGGTCTCTCGCCCATAGCAAAAAACATACCTTACGCTCCCTTGAAACTGCTTATTATAAGGGAAAGATTTACCTGGCTTTTAAGGAAGACTGTGCACCACTATTGATCAAATTTTATTTACAAAATGTATAGCTCACTGAGAAATCTTTGTTGTGCTTCTGAGGAACCATGTATTCCTCTGGAACACAGTTTGAGAACTCAGAAAGGCTGAGCAAAATTGATTGGGCCTTGTTGAGCACCAAATAGCCTCTCTTCCTTCAGTTTTCCCCCAGGCCAATTCCTTCATCATTTTGCCCTGACAACCCATCACACATCTCTGAAGCATGAAAACTTACTTTAGGGACTGGACAGGCAGGTGCTCCTTGGATGGAAGAGGCCTACTTTGTTTCCCTCATGCTTTGTTCAAAAGTGGGCATTTCCCTTCTGAAGAGCCACCATCTGCTGGAGTCACTGTTGTTGCTTTTGTCCCTTCAGGGATGGGCTGGAGCACACAAGAGCAGTTGAGGTAGGCATCTAAGTTGTGCTTCCTGTCTCAGTTCTTCTCACAGCAATTGAGAAACACTCAATGTTTTGAGCATCCCTACTCATTTATTCATGACACCATGTGATGACTGAGGGGGTCAATGGTCTAGCTCTGGAATGAATCCTGAATGTCTAGTTATGGCTACAGAAATAAGTTGGATAGCATGGCTAGAATGCCAAATGCATTCTGAGCCTGGAAAGCAAGACACCTATTAGTTTAGAAAGAAAGAAACTTACCTACAATTAATTTCAATTCCTGGTGGCTTATGACTCTAAGTATTGGTAGGACCAGTATTCTTATCAGATATGATCCAAATACTATATGCTGCTTAAACAGATGGTCCATTTATGTTATCACAGATACACACATATATTGCCATGGGGTTGTGATGGGTTGGGCACAACTTTGCAACTAAACAAACAAGCAAACAAAAAACACACAAAGGGTCCACTTGTTCTGCTGGAAGAGTAGTTTCTTAATTTGTAAAAAACTATTGCAAATGATGCATATAGTTGTCAATATATTCTCTGGCAGGGATGTGTTCCAATCTGTTTAGAGCAAGAGTGCAAAACCTCACCTCCAGGGCCCAATCCAGCCCCTGGGATTCCCCAGCTGACTATGCCCTACTCTTAACATCTGCTGATTTTCCAGCTTTTGTGGAATTCACCCCACCCTGTTCTAAATAGGTTGAAATGTCTCTCCTAAGGCTTAGTGGCTACAAAAGCTTTAAGCTAAAACATGCAAGTATGTAACTCTTTTGTCTTTTGCAATCCTACATATTCTCACATAGGAATATGCCCGACCTAAAAGGGAGGTTGACATATATTTTTATACCTCCATATAGCTAAAGCTCTCTGGACAGTTCAAACAAAATTACAGGATTGCACATTAATGATGGTAATCTACAAAAAAGATAACGCACAAATCCTCCACAAAAATGGCAGAAGGATGCTAAGTTTTTTTTTAAAAAAGCTACATTTAGGTAATTAAAATGGGCTCAATGTAGATGGGCACCAGTTCTTGCCAACTGGGTACTCTCCTAATGATTTGGATCACAACTTCCAACATTCATAAGTCTTGGCCATACTAGCTGGGGCTGATAGCTGCAGACCGAAACATATGGCGTGCACTAGGCTGAATCTAATTTATAGAACAAGCCGACTTATGACTTCTCAGAACACAGCTGCTATTGGAGAAACAGACTTCAGTATATAGCATACTGGAAAAAATTAGCAAAGCATGTTAGACATGTAAGATAGGAATAAAACAGGAACATGAGATATGGAATGCATTTATTGACCATGCAAACAAATAAAAATGAAATTTATTCACCTCCTGTACACAGGACCTTATGGAAAGAGTTCTTGGGAGAAAAGAGGCTGGTATACATTGTATGCCTGAAATGACTTTTTGGATCATGCTAAATGAAGATCTGATTGTTCTGTTTACATCCATGACCGAACCTCACCATTACCACAGGAACTCATTCTTAAAGAAATTTACACTATGTTCTGTTTGTCATATAACATACTTCCTAAAATCATTACTGATAAAAAGAAGCAACTTCTGTTGAACACTGACCTGGGAACAGCTTCCACTAAATTTAATTGCACCTACCACTAAACTCAGGACCCATGACGTCAAGGGGAGACATGGCTGGGTACCTGTTCAGAGACCCACTAGCAAGAGTCCCTTAGAATTGCTGCATGCCCACCTGCTTGTTCACTGGTCTCTTGCTCTGACTTGGTCAGTGGTGCTGTCATGGGAATTCGGAAAAGGACCAGTAGATGCCACTGGCTCTTAATCTTCCAAGTAAGTGATGAGGAAGAGAAGGAAAAGCAAGAGCAGCCGTTGACCTAAGAACATAGGAGGAATGCTGGATCAGACGAATGGTCCAGCCAGTGCAGCAGTCTGTTCATGCAGAAGCTAACCAGCTGCCCACAGGAAAACCCTAAGTAGGATAAGAGGGCACCAGCATCCTCCTACCCATGTACCCCAGCAACATAAGCATTCTGCTACTGGAGGTATTGCAGAAGATCAGTGACCACTGATAGTCCCCTCTATGCATTTGCCCCAACCCTTTTTGTTGTTGTTAGTGGTGGCTATCACTACTTCTCATGTAGATGAATGCCATGGCGGTTTGAAGGCTCCGACTCTCTGCGGGAAGGGCCCAGTGGGAATCCCTACCCAAGGGCCCTCCAAAAGCTGGTCCGGCACAGACTGACCCATCGGTAAGCCTTAATTCTCAGAGGACATCATCTTTAGAACTTAGCCTCGTAAGCTTCTCCTTGCAATGTGCACACCGGAACGATCTTTATTGCACGCAGCGGCAGCACTTTCCCCCCGCCCTGTCTACATGTAGTTTACCATCCAGACGCAGCCAGCCATCCCAGGCAGGATTAGAACCCACCGCCTGACTGCCGCGGAATCACCGAACACGGCCCGCATCCCTCTCCCTTCCCCAGTTAACGGTCCAGCAAGTCACGTGGGACGGGCCGAACGCGAGAGAAAGAAGGGCGGGGCGGGACTGGGCAGTCGAGGCGGGCCCCGCGATTGGCGAGTCAGCGAGTGACCTTCCGCCTGGGCTCCGCCCCTTCCCCCCGTTACGGGGCAGGGAGGGTTTATAAAGGGGGAGGCAGGCCGGCGGGTGGGCTTGAGCTTGTTAGGCTGCTGAGGTGAGTCGGCGGGTGGGGGCGGGCCGGCCTGGCCGGTGGGCGGCATCATTATCACCACGGCAGCAGCCGCCTCCTAGTTTTCGGCGCCCTGTGCCAAGGGGGCGGCTGAGGGCCGCTGGGATGGAGCCTGTTGAGGGCCGGGGATGAGGCAGGCAGGAGAGATGGTTCCCGTCCTTGTTCGGGCTGCGTCAAGGATGCTTCGCGAGTGATTCTTCGCCCGGCTCGGGAGATCTGGAGGTTGGGAGAATCGCTGTCTCGTCACTTGTCCCTGCTGCGCTGGAGAAGGAGGCGACGGCCAACGTTTAGGTTTCTTCCCCGCCCCTTTTCCGTGGATAGAATTTTCCAGGGTTCTCCATGAACCAACCATGTAGCCAAAGTCGCCCTTCGGGGCTGCAACCGCGTCGCCTTGGCCGCCTCCTGGCAGCGACGCTCCTCCTCTGAATCGCCTCCTCGGGAGGAAGGGGCAGCTCCGGGCGGTCCTCCTGAGCGCATTGACTGAAGGCTTGCTTCCGAGGAAGCACTCCCAAGGTTGGGCTGTTGGGTTGCAATCTTAGGCACGCTTATCGGGAAGCCCCTTTCTGAGCCTACTTGGCGCTTTCTTTGGAGGAAACTAGAAGAAAATGGCTAGAAGAAATGGCTAGAAGAAAATGCCTTGCTCATCGCTCTCCCTCCCCCGCCCCGCCGTGCTAGTACCAGAGCATCTTTTCTCTGTAGCATCTAATGAATTGGGCTGCAGCCCACGAAAGCTTATGCTATAAAGCATGTATTCGTCTTGAAGATGCTGCAAAGCTTTGCTGATTTTGCTGAAACAAGCTAGCAGGACTGCCCTTCTGGAAGTTACCTCTGTCTACTTGATCTTTCGATTTTGGGGGCTGTGTGGTCCTGCATCCTTCTTAAAGACTTGGAAGGAGATCACTTTACTAATTCATTCAACTATGTCCCAGGCCAGTTAGGATAGAAATAGCTGGAGTTGCTTTCTGATGCTCTACCGTGGGGGTTGCTGATATGACTTTGTTTCTAGTACATTTGAGGAGTAGTGAGAGGAATTTAATGCAATTTCAGTTATTTTGTTTTTAAAACAGACATGAATGTTGAGGTTGGCGTATATAAGTGGTATTGGATATTTCCTGATATGCAAATTGAGTTGCAAGTTGGTGATTAATATCAGGTGGCTCCTCATGGAGAGAGAAAGGAGTTGTTTCAGCACGTGGAGTTGTGTGAATGTTGTTTCCTCAGACTCCTAATTGTGCAGTTTAGGTGTACTGTTGATGTAGGCGTTGCCAGGTCTGTGGTTGGAGTTAATGTAGTTTATAACAGGTTTTCTATCTCTATGGTGAGTATTCTTCGAGCATGCGTAAAGTGCAGTAGGGAAGTGCAAGAACCTATGTAGGGGTGCAGCTTAGTTCTTAAAAGTTCTGGTTTGTGGAAGCATGATGTACATCATCTACTTCAAATGCATAACAGATATTTAGTGTCTGATTTCAGTCTTTTAATTACCTATATGCTATAGCCATGAATGCTGAAGTTGTTCTAAGGGAAACACTAAAGGCTAGTAATTCCTTTGCAGCCCTAGCCGTTTCAATGGTTCAGCTTTCACAGTCCCCGCTTCGTCGCCCTTCACCTTCATGTCACTCTGAGGAAGGGAAGGAGAAGAATATGAAACCAGCTAAGCAGCAGGTGACTCAGGGTCCTCGAGGGGATAACCAGCCTCCTTTGAGCCCCCTGCAGGCAGCCTTGAATTCTGCCACCACAGCATCCCAGGCGTATGAGACATACATCGACAATGGGCTTATCTGCTTAAAACACAAGATCAGGAACATTGAGAAAAAAAAGGTATGTACATTGCTTAGACTAACAAAATAAGAAAAATGGTACTGAAGCAGCCTGGCTGCTATGTGCCATTTACTCTTCTGTCCTTCTGCTGCATATTTAGTTTGCAAGTTTCTTGAGGGCAGAGAGGTGTACGTATTGCTTGCAAAACCATAAAATGTTATATATTTCTAAAACCATCAAAGTATATATAATTTTGTGTTTTGCTCTAGCTACCTGCCAGCCTTTAAAATGTGGTTCATATAATGTAATAAGTTTGTGTCATGAGAAAAATAAGATGTGGCACATAGTTCCCATGTATTATTGAGACTACTGTATTATGCTGCTTAGGCTTTACAGTAATTTACATTTCTATGTAATCTTTCAGTGCTGTTGGTATAAAGAAACCTGCATGACTAGAAGTAGCTTCAGGCTTGATTAAGTCAGCCTTCTGCAGAAAGGTGGCTTTGCAGTTTGGCTGCAGTAGTTACCTGAGTGTGAATGTCATAAAGAGGATGTCATAAAAAACTTTGCTTGTCTGATAACTGTAAACAAATAACCTCTAAATCATGAGAGTGATTTCAGTTTTATAAAATTCTTACACACTGGAAATTCTGAAACTCTATTGCCTGGCTGAGGGAAATGCCAGGTCATATTAGCTCTGTTTTGCCATCATCTTTATGCAACTTGGGCTGCAGCATTGTTTCATACTTGTAAAGAATGTGCTTTGGGCTTCTCATTTAAACTCATTCCTCAAATCTTAATTCCAGTTAAATGCCTGGCTTCTAATCCAAAGGACTCAGATGGTCAATTATACATTTAGAAGAGGAGTCTCAGTCTCAGTGTCTCTCCCTCTCCGATAAAAAAAAGCCACTCGTGCCTGTGTAATCTTATACATGCTTTATATATATTCCCAGCTCAAACTAGAAGATTACAAGGATCGTCTGAAAAAGGGGGAGTCACTCAATCAGGATCAGTTGGTAAGTTTTCTGTTCTTGCTTTCATACATTTACTTGCATTCACCCTTTGCTTGAAGAGCTGAGTAGTACTTAGTGAGATTCCCAGGTGGTTTCACAGCCAACTGCTAGTTCTAGAAACAGTTGTACCTCTTGTCTTTAAGTAGTTACCTGAGATCTGGAAAGTCAGTTTCTTTTAAAGAATTGTCTAAAATTTGAAAATGGTTGAATTAGTCTTTAAAAATTGGTATGCTGACTTGAGTAGATAAGCAGGATTCTGCATCATATGGTTTCACTTGAATACTCCACCTATAATGCAGTGCTTACCATTTCAATGTGTGCTTTTTCACTCCTATCTTTTAATACTTGTTAGAAATGTCCAGTATCTGTTGAACTATTACTTGTTCATTGAATATTTTCATTGGATAGCACAATTTTTGCTGTTTGTTCCAAATGATACCTACCTTGATATTGGTGTGCTTAGAGATACCGTGAAGTTGCTATTTTGCAGACTGTATAGATACAGCTTCGGCAACAAATCAAATCTAGTAATTATAAGCAACAGAGTTAAGCAGACAAATATTGACCAGATATCCATTCCATCAGCTTGGTGAAGAGACAAACTGCTATTTTGCTGCTTTTCTTGAACAGGTCCCATTCAACTTAGTCATTACAAGAGCTTTATAAAGTTCTTAACTTTAAGAATTGGGGCCTGAATCTGTTTGTTTTCCTCTTTTCTATCCCTTTTCCCTTTTGTGCCATATCTCCTATATTGTTTCTGTTCATAGGTTCTCATGTTACTTTTAACCTCTAAACAGCACTCAGTTTATTTTAGGTGCTATATAGATGATGATCATGATGTATGGCTAATTACAGGAAGCAGTTGAAAAATATGATGAAGTGATACATAACTTGGAATTTGCTAAAGAACTTCAGAAGACATTTTCTGGGCTTAGTCAAGATGTAAGTATACCATATTATCTAGAAAAGGATTTGTACTAATTTTTGCTTAAGAACAAATACATGTGGACAGGTGGCAGTACTTGGATAGGCTGCTGTGATATTCACTATAATTTCTATCTGAATCCCTCTGCTGCCTCTAGTTTCTAAAATGCTGAGTTTGGGCCTCAACTCTGGTATGTTAGTTTTTTGTGCATAAAGGCTTATGTTGCTGATAGAGTATGCTCCTTTTCCATGTCCTGATATGGGCTCTGTTCATAATTAAGCTCTGTTCAAATTTGTTGCAATGTTAGATGATTCTGACAGGACATATTTGAAAGGCCTAATTGAGTATCTTAAGCACATTCAATGTCAATAAAGTGTTCTAGTACTATCAGAATGATTGTAACTATGCATCAAAGACTTAGAATGGACTTTGGGTTATGGTCAACTTGCTGATTGCATCTGTTGTGACCATGTATAGTATGCTAATTGTATTGATACAGCTGCTGAAAGCACAGAGGAAAGCACAGAGGAGGGAAACCATAATGAAGCTTGAAGCAGAGAAGAAAAAGCTCTGCACAGTACTGCAGGTCCAGTATGTGCTGCAGAATTTCATTCAAGAGCATGTGCAGAAAGACTTCAAAGCTGGCATGAATGGTGCAATATACTTGCCTTCTAAAGAACTAGACTACCTCACTAAATTTGCAAAATTGACCTGTTCGGGAAGAAATAAGATGGTTACGTAAGTAACTTGTTCTTACCATAAAGAAAACAAACTCAAATTGTATTACCTTCAGGCTGAATCTATTATGTCTAGGTTTTCTGGAAATGGTTTCAGAAATGGTGAAATTGTTCTTAGTTTTATCTTAACTGTGATGGTTGGATTTTTTAATATTTTAATGTTTGTTATACCATCCAGAGAACCAACTGGCTATAGGCATGGTAGGAAAATGTTTTACATAAGTTGAAATATGTAGGCATGGGAGAACAACATATGGGCTGCGTGTGACCCACCAAAATTGGTTGTGCCCCCCTTTGCTAACATGCTGCAGGAGTTCTTTGAAGAAAGAAGGCACGCACTCCAAAAATGCTCTTTTGTTGATTCTGCAGAGAAGGGAGATCTGCAAGGATTGTGCTCCCTGCTTCTCTGCATAATAGCAGGCTATAGGAAGCTCAGTTCTGAAGCGGCAGCCACTTTTGGCTGTGCTCACTGGACAGTTTAGGGGGAGGTAACGCACCTTCATGACCTCCTAAACATGCACACACCTGAAGTAGGCCAAATAGCTGCATTTCTTATTGAAATGGGACTAACATTTTAAAGTTGGGGAAAGGACATTGGCATACTTGTATGATGTGCAGCAGATGCAGGAAGTTAATTGCTTTATTGAGGTAGTACTAAGTTTGAGGAGGAACAGACTTTTTTTTCCTTTTGCTTTAAGTGTTGAAGACCAAATGGAACAATCATCACTCTACTTCTGGGACCTGCTAGAAGGCAGTGAAAAAACAGTGGTTGGGACAACTTGTGAGTAGCTTTTAATAAATTGTCCTGCTAGTTATATAGCTTACACCACTCTTAATGTAAAATATTACAGAGCAAAATATCGATGACTATTAATCCTGCTGCTACTACTAAATTTCTTAGACTCTTTTCCTGAAAAAGAGTCTATGTGTCTAACTACAGGGATTAAAACAAAGAAATTTAAACAATTTTAAATGGCTAAGCACAATTAGAGATGAAATACCAGGACATGATAAACTAAGCTAAGTCCATCATACGCTATGAATTGCTAGGGACCAGAGAAAAGACGCTAGCATTCAAAGGATGGCAATGTTAACACCAGTTGGATTTCCCTGATTTTGCCATCAGTGGGCCACCACCAACATTTCTCTATTTCTTGCTGCCATCCTCTATGCTCCTTGCAGGTGACAGTTGTAGGAAGGCCTCAGATATTGGTCATAATAGTACAGGTAATACCAGGAAAGGTGTTTTGTCAGGTATTGTAGTTCTGAGCCATCTAAGGCTCTGTAGTTTAACCAGTATGTTTTATAGGTCTCAGAAATATACAGCCAGTGCAAGTAGTCCAAGATCTTTGCATCATGCTCAAATCTTCTGTTCCCCAACTATCAATTTGGTTGTAGCATTTTGCAAAAGGTGTAGTTTCTGTACCATCATTAAAGACAATCCCATATAGAACACATTGCAGTAATTTTACATGGAGGTCACCAGAGCCATAAGCAACTGAAGTCAGGCAACTGGTTGATGCCCAACTATATTACTATTTAGACAAAGGCACTCTGTCACTTATAGCACCTGAGCCTCAAGTGACAATGGCAAGTCCAGAACATTTCCCAAGCTATGAATCTGCTTCTTTGGGGTAATGCAACCCTGTCCATAAATAAGTTGAGCAGCATCCATCCAGTTACAAAAAGCTTTAACAGAACTCAGTCTTGTCTGGATTAAGTTTCTGTTTTCGTCCTAATCCCATCTGTTGTGCTAGACTGGTGCCTGGCTGCATCATCTATAGCCTCACCTGATAAAGTATAAAATAATTTCTTGTCAGCACACTGATACCTAAAACTCAAATGCCCAGATGACCCCACTCAACTGTTTCATGTAGATATTAGATGCTATGTGGGATAAAACTTACCCCTGTGGAGTACATCGTGGAGAATCCAGAGTTATAAACAACCCACAAGCATTGTCTTTTGAAGCATTGTTGAAGATAGGTGCAAAAGCACTGGGATAGCAACTATGCTGTATCAGTCTAATAACTCCTGCTGACTGCTTAGGGCAAGGATATCAAACATAAGGCCAGAGAATCTTAAGTTCCCTGTTCTGTTCTGTTTAGTCACACAGTCAACATTTTTCCAGGCTCTCCTGCCCTCCACCATCCCTCGGAGTCCCCCCAAGCCCACACCCACTGCTCCACTGACTCCATCTAGCCACCTCATACTCTGCTATCCCCTTCTCCTTTTGCTGTCAATCATTCCCTGTAGGCAATTTGTAATACTGCCTGTTGAGGATTCAGGAGTCACTTCTAACACCTGTATTTTAGTAATGGAGGTAGACTGACATCTCTGAGGAGGTGTCCACAGGGTATCCACTCTGTAGGAAATTTGGCTTTCTAACCAATTGTGCTAGACTACATTTCTTGAACATTGTTTCAGGATACCTTCCATAGCCTACAGTTCTGAACCTTTAAAATCAAAGTCTCTTGTTAGTTACCTAAAAAGCTCTTGCAATCATGCATACTTGTGGATTGTTTGGCTACCACTGTAGGTTACCCTGATTTGTCAAACTTTCATGAGCTACCAATAATACTCTTACTGGTTGGTTTGTGACTTAACTTTGTCTCTGCTTAACTGAAAGTTCTAAACTACATGAACTCTTGCAAACTAGTGCTTAATTTTGCAGTTCAATAATCTTTCTGAAATGCATTGTATTTAATTGTTTTTGCCAGTCTAACAATCTTAAAATTTGTAATTATTTGATATCTTTAACATTCAATTCCTTGCCCTTTAGATAAGCACCTAAAGGATTTGTTATCTAAGCTGTTACATTCTGGTTATTTTGAAAATATTCCTGCTTCTTGCAACATACCACACAAAGAGGAACTGAAAGAGGAAATGTCAATAAGACCTGAATTCAAAGATGAATTGCCTGGAAGACCTGAACAAACAAAGCAAATACCAAAAGCAGAACCCATTGATCAACTAGGTAGTGTATACATTAAAATCTTGGGTTACTAAGGCAAAATATGAACAGGACTGTTACACTCTCCCATGTTGAAAAAAACCTTGACAACACAAACAATCAAACCAGGGACTCTAAACATAGCTATCCATTTCAGACCAAGTGTAAAACTATCATTTACTGTTCATACTATCGTCTCCTGATGCAGATGAAATCAGAAATTGTGACTTAACAGTAAAACAGGATAACACCACCATGATGTTAGAGGCTACCTAGTTTGTCAGGATGCAGAAGGGCTGCATGCATAGGCAAAACATTGGATCTTGGCTTATTAAGCAGAGAGATGATCATCTAAACTAGACCAATGTAGCTTACAGTTTTTGCCTAAACAATTAGCTGTTTGGGGAGAATTGTGAACCTTTCTGTTAAGAGTCAAAAGAAGGTAACGGTGTAGACACCTGGTTGACAAATGTCCAAAGAAGTAGTTGCTGGATCAGTCTGAACAGTAAAACATAATAGGGCTCTCTGTAAAAGTGTTCTGTTGAATGCTTAGCACTATTGATAGACTACAGTACTTGTCTAACATTCATTCTGCTTAAGAATTAAAAGCACTCAGTTTCACGAATTCAAGTTATTAATTCCTTTCCCCTAGAACCTCAAGTAGAACGCATTCAGTCTGAAATTCAGCCCCAAGAGGTAAGTTACTATTCAAGTTCATATGTTACCCTACAATGTAAAACAGGTTGAAAACACAAATAATGCAATAAAGATGTATAAGCTTTCATGGCAATTCAAATAAACATGCCAGGGAGAAAAAGATTTGCTTGGCCTCAAAAATAGAGTGTTGATGTGTCAGGTAAGCCTTCTTGGTCAGCCCAGCAGTGGGTGGGAATTCTGTAAATAGGGCACCTTAGTGGGAAGGCTTTCTTATCACCCTAAAATTATTGGCATGAGCCCCCAGCAGATGGCTTCCAAAGGACTTAGGGGTCCAACTACTACCCATAAGGGAGATGGCATTATTTTACATCCCCCAACCTCAAGTTATTTAGAAGCTTAAAGGTTAATGTGATTAACTTGACCCCATTTGGCACCTTTTGGCCAATTCCTGAAGGAGGACACAGGTGCTAGCAACTGTGCTGTCTCCTGTCTGCTCACTCTTCTGCTTCAATTAACTCAATTTTTGGGTTCCTGTTCATTCACACACACAAATAATCCATAGTTAATAACATGTGCTGCTTGCTTATATAAACTTGGCCTTTCAGTTAACCCCAGGAATGGACTAGTAGCCAGTGCAGCTGATGAAGCACTAGGGGCACTTGGTTATATTGAATTGTTATACTACCTGGGATGCCAGGTGTGATATTAAACATCTGCAGAGGAACTGTTATGTCATTGTAATAATGCCAGAGTTACAAAGTTGGTATAAGACGGATCTCTTCAGAAGCCTTCACTTGAAGTGTTTATAGCTAGTCTCTAGGAAAGGCAACTGCCAAATATGACCTAAAACTTTGGACTTTGTGAAGGATGCAGTGAGGTAGAGTGTAACAAATGGCTTTTTGCTAGGCTGTATGGGGAAATGCCTATGAAGGACAATGTGCATTTTCTGTGATGTTGCTATAGTTCTTGAACTTGGTGACCTCCGCAGCCTCAACCAGGCTGAATTCTCTTTTGTAAGACATTTACATATAAGCTAGCTAAGAAGGTAAAGTAAATCTCCCTATGTGAAATTTTGAACATAGGAAGTAAGGATGAAACAGTAATGAGTTAAAAACTGAAAAACTTTACCTGTTCTAGCTTAGAACAGGGCAAGCAGAATATGTCAAGCATTCACTTTCAACACTGTTGAGTAGGCATAGTCTGGATAAGCACATGATCTGACGCTCTAACACAGCAATCCTACAGCTTCCAGGGAGCAATAGGATGGTGCAGATCTCTTCCTTCACAGGCATAAACCAAACTACAACTGTGGAGGAGGAGATCCCATTGTCCCACTACAGCTGCAGAAAGCTGCTCTTTGCAACTGCAACTCTGTAGGATAAGTCAGAGGGAGAAGAGGTGGGCGGGCGTGATATGAGGATGGAGCAGGAGAGACCAGAATCTGCACAATCTTTAAAGCCTCTTCATCACCCAAGTTGCCTACAAGAGGTAAGTCAGCTATATGTACTAAGAGGTGTACCTAGTTGTAAATGTAAAGAAAATAAGGAACATGATGCATTCTTATCTCCCTCCCTCTCTTGTCCTCCCTGGCTCCTGCCAGGAGAACCATAGGGTCTAAAGAATGTTCTAGTCTGAATTCTTTGAGTGGCATTTCCTTCGGACCACACATTAAGACTACTGAATTGCGGTTAACCTCAGTTGTTCACTGAAACTTGTTAGTATGACTGCAAGTTAACACAGCTCACCAGTTAATACAGTAGATTATTGCTGATGAGGTATTAAGTTTATTTGGTCTGTATAGTTTCTTAATAGGCGCTATTTGCCTGAAGCTGATTATACTATCAAGTCTGAGGAATCCAAACCTTGGGAAATGGAGCATACTAAAAAGAGTGAACCACTAAAGTCCTGGGAAATGCTTGCTGACATGGAGGAGCCAGAGCAGAAAAAGCGGGAACAGGAATCTGTAAAGGCTTTGGAACCTATAAGACAGCAGGGAAAGAAGCTGGAACTTTCGAGGCCTTGGGAAGCTCACCTTAAAGAAGATGATGATTGCAGCCAAGAAGTCCCAAAGCCTTGGGTGACACAGGTTAGGGAACAGCAGAGCTCTCCCAAACCCTGGATAACCAAACTTAAGGAAGAGCAGGAGCCAAGGCAAGATGTTCCAAAGCCTTGGGTAACCAAAGCTAAGGAAGAGGCAGAACAAAAGCAGGGAGCAGCAAAAACCTGGGTTGCTCAAATCAGGGTGGAAACTGTGCAGAAACCAGAATCTGTGAAGCCTTGGGGTACGTGTATTAGAGAGGACACAGAGCAGAAGAAACAGGAACCTGCAAAGCCATGGGTAGCACATGTTGGGGAAGAGGTGGAACAAAAAACTCCATCCCCAAAGGCTTGGGCAACATCTGAGGGGGCACGCCAAACAATTCAACAGCCATTACAGAATCCGCCAAAGATCTGGGGAGCTGGAAATCTCGTGCCAAAGGAGCAAACTGAGTCAAAGAAGCCTGATTTGGAACCAAAAGAAGTGAGTTGTATAGGGCAATACTATTGGTTATATCAAATTTATGGTCCTTAAACTGCAGGCTAACGTTCTGGTGTAGCTATCAATTAAAAGTTTGACCTTGGTCAATGCACAGCTTTCATTGCTACAGTGTGTATGAAACCATTATTCTTGCATCATAGGCCTTAGTTGACTTGACAGGGTAGTACTAAGGGTTTTCTGGGTTTGGTAGTGACCTGGATACATCCATTCTTTCAACTGCAGGAATAGGTGTGAAATGAGTTTGACTAGATCCTTCTGCTTACTAGAAGGACACTGGCTTTATAGCATGTCCCTCTTTTTATCAATGCCTACTGGAACCTAAAGAAATAGCTTAGTTTTAAACCTGGTTGAGAGCCAGTGCTTTTTGGAACATAATCCAAAATGTATTTTCAATTGATGCACAGAAACTTTGCTGAAAAGAAGGCAACATATGTTTACAGAACATAATGGCAGACTCTAAAAGGCACTCGTAACACACTGGGAAGCCTGTTTGTGTGCTTTCCACTTTCATCTTGTATAATGGATATCAGAAGCTTTCACTTCTGCTTAACCAAAAATCCCCTTTTACAGCCAAACTCAAAACTGGCTTGTTTAATACGTTCCTTGGAACAAGCTAGCATCAAATGTTAACTTCAGATCCTGGCTTTAAGAAGCCAGAATTCAGGCATAACTAGGAATTATGTTTAGTTCAAAAAGAAGTAAACATTTCTGATTCACAGGAGGAGCAGGGAGCAACTGAGCCCAAAGCTCACACATATAATTTGCACATAACAGCCTATGTTACTGGGTTCACATGGAAGCAGGGTCTCCCAGCCATCTCCCGCTTTGTTTCTAGGTTACAAAACAATTCAAGAATGCCCTGTTCCTGGGTTGTATTCTTTGATGTGGAAACCTGGGCCTCTGGGATATATAGGAAGGAACAATGCAGATTTTTAGTTATTGGTTTGTTGCTGGATTAAAATTCTGGTTTGTTTTCTCAAGCCGAAGTTCCAGGTTCACAGGTCATGGAGCACAGCCCAGGAATGGGCTGTACATGGAGTGTGTTACAATCTGGAAACAGTGGAAGCAGGGAGTGGTCAGGATCAGCTTGCTTGCTTGCACCCTTGCAATCCTGCTAACTCATGGATTAAGCAACTCGTGTGGTTCGCACATAGTAACAACCCTATAGTATAAAACTCTGCTTTCCCTTTACATCCAAACTGGTCCAGGATTTTGGGATATAACTAAATGCTATAACTTTGAGGTATTTTTGCCTCCATATATGGTGGATGTAAGCTGGATCTTGGTAGTTGTAGACATTGTGGAACCACAAAAAGGTGTGATGATAAACGCATACCTTGAAATTTGATTAAAGAAATCTTAAGTGTATGAATCTTATTAAATTAAAGCTGTCTTTTCATGGAGAAGATGCAGCATTGCTAACTAGAAACCTTCACAAATTTTTGATGTTCAAAAATGGGGAGTAATACAGGGCACTCTGTAATACTTTGCAAAGCTTCTGTTAAGAAGGTTATATTCTGCAGCAATAGCTTCACAGAAATTGTATTGGTTTCCTATCTTTAAATGCTTCCTTATTGATGGAGTGGGAGATGTAAAGTCTTACTTAAGGCTTACTCTGCCCTGATCAAATGGAACCGCATGCCTGCTGATATGTGGCAGTTGAGATTGGATCCCCCCTGCATGACCAGCCTGGACTGAAAAGATAGTTTGGCAAAATTATTTTTCTAAATGCTTTTTAATCTAGAGACGGGAGCGCAGACTGAAGCTTGACTCTGATGTGAAACAAGTAGGTAAAAATACCACTGGGTTATGAGTTTCCTAAAGCAAAGCAAACATAGACTGTGTTCATAACACTCTCTTCTAGTGCATTTGCATGCAAGTTGTGCATTTACTGATCTGGTTCTTTGGAGTAGGTTTAGAAATTACATTAAATTGATATTTGTGTGGCATGATTACTGATTTACAAAATAATCCTATCATGTTTTATATGTTTGTCTTTAGCACTGGCATACCTTGGGTAGCAATAGCTTCTAAAGTTTGCTGTTGTGTTCTAACAAATTTCATAATTATTTTACATAGGGTGGAAAGACAGATGGAGTAAGTGGACAAGGCACTGATGCTGTAACGAAAAAAGAGAGCCTTCAGACACTTGGAGAATCCTGTAAACTACCTAGGAGTCTCCAAAACATCATGCAGGTGTGCTAGCCAGATCTTACTGAAGTGGGCACTGAAAATGTTTTGGGGTACTTGAATTAAGAGTCCCGAAGCTGGAATACTTTCTCTGAAGTATCTTATGTCAGTCTTTTCAGGGAGAGTAAGCTGTATCATAAAAGCTTGGATCCTAACTTGGACATCTGCTTGCAGAATGGGTCTTTTCTGCCTTGCCTTTCCTGCTGTGTCCCCAGAGCAAGGCAGTCTAGAACAGATTGGGGAATGGTATAAGGATATGCTTCGGGAAAATGGAGTGCATAAAATTCTTGCTCCTTGTGGAACTGGAAGGCACTCTGCTCACACAAAGGCACCTTTGGATCCAAAGCTGCATGCTAACTCCAATTGCATTTTGAAGCCTAAAATGTTACAGTGGAAAAGTATGGCTATTACTTTGTCTGCTTGTTGCTTCTGTGCTACTGACAGCCCCAAATCCCATGGCTAAGCAAAGGACCAAGTTAAAATAGATTAGATAGATCCTAGTCAGCTCAAAGCAGCTTCCAATTTCTTCTGGACTTAGAATATTTTGGAGAGCAGAACCCCATTGATGGCAGAGCAGGCATTCTACAATCAAATCATTTAATTCAAACGCACCTATTGTCAAGTCTGGATTTATAGGTTAATTTACATCTATAGGCTTGGTGATTTATATGTAATCTGCCATGAGCCCATAATACCTTATTGGGAGGGGGTGTCCTGCTATAAAGTTTCATTTCTGTGCACATCATTCAGTGCAACTTAATGTATAGGTCACAGTGAATGGAATCTGAGTCAACACCATGAAACTTCAAGTGTCAAATTGTTATACACAATTGTTTCAGGCTGACACTCATAAGAATACTTGTGAGAATTAGGAATGTGGACTTAATCACTCGGTTGTTTTGGCTCATAATTTGCAAGAGCAAATCTGCCTTGTTGCTTTGTTTATTAACCCTTTATTCCTCGGGATTTCAATCAGAAATGAAGTTTGGATGGCTGTCACATTCCTCCTGGATGATTTTACAGCCTGAAAGTTGGGCTTAAGTAAAAATGTGGAGTCTTGCTCTTTAAGTGTCTTCAATCAAACTTAAAATACTGGACACAGTATTCACTTCCAGTGACTTGTACTTTAAAAACATGTTCTCTAGTGATGTGTAGAAGCTGCCTCCTGTGAATGAAGTTATATGCCTGTACTGTGTTGAGACCCTTGCTTTTACTAGGGCTACCTAATCAAATTAATGAGTACCTTTTACATCTTGTTTTGGTTACATCTTTCCTGAAAGGTTCAGATAGCCCAGGTGGAATAGTGGTTAGGTTGTTAGATTGGGATTTGGGAAATCTGGGTTCTGGTCTCCACTCTGCTATGGAGCTCATTAGGTGACTTGGGGTCAGTCACACTCTGTCAGCCCAACCTACCTCACGGGAGGGTATTGTGAGGATAAGATTAAGAGGAGAAGGAGAATTTTGTGAGCTGCCTTGAGTTCCTTGAAAGAAAAAAAGGCGGCTATATAATACCAAATACACTTACTGAATGACATAATACACAGTTTGGTGAATGGTGTGATAAGTTGCTGGCTTTCTCTAATGCTACAGTTCCTTAATATCAATAGTAGAACAAATGTTAGTGGGAGTGATCTTGTTTGATATAAACTTGCTCGATTCTTGTCTTTGAACTTTGGTTAATCATACCCAAGGACTGAAGGATTAACTACTTAAATACAGTGGTATTAGGTGAAAAATGTTCTGCAACTACATTTTTTCTGCACAAAGATCATTTTTTAAAAATGCCTTATTACAAAAAACTTGCTACAAGGAATGAACATAATATGAATCAAGTTGGACAAATACTTTTTGTTTTAATGGATACAGTCCAAGTCAGATCTAAAATCAAAGCTGTAATTTATGTACAGCTTTCCAGTCATACCAAAGTTAGTATAACGGTTCTCAGAGCCGTTGTTTTCAAGATGTCCCTCCATATGTTTTGACCTACATCTTTTGTTGGTCTTCACCAGTGGCTATGAGCTGGTGGAAGATGCATGGAAAAATGGGGAGGGTCAAAAGTTGCCCAGTGTAATCTCAATGTACACCAAGTGCTATTGATGTGTAATGTTAACATGCTTGCAGGTATTCCACTAAAAGAGCTTCCGGGGCTGATGCTTTGCGAGTGCCACTGTGCACCACTAGCCTAAGTTGCCCCTGGTGCAATGCTAATTGTGTATTCTGGCCTGGAGTGCCTTTTACTAACATAAGTTGAATAAGATCTCAATTGATTTAGGGCAGAGGGAAGTTTTCAGAGTAAATTTTTACCAGTAAACAGTACTTCACACATCACTTGGTTCAATAAAGCTGCCTCATGTTTGGCACATCTATATCTGTTCATTCATTTGCAGGTGTAGGCTTGGATACATGATAAACATGTTAAGGGGTTATAATAGGGCAAGATACATTCTAAGAAATATGAAGCATGTCCTTGAATATATGGCTTGTAAAAGGAAAGCCTAAACCAAAAGTGGCCTTCCAAATTATACATTACATGTTTCAGTAACACTGAAGGTTCTTATTTTCTGCTGAACTTGTTTCTAGTTTATATTTGACAAATTTAGCTAGGCCCATACTAAATATCTTTTAAAACAAATTGTTTTCCAAGTATATACTTTGCTTGATCATGGTATTATAGTCTAGTCCTATATTTGCTATAATGATTCAGCACTGGATCCAACACTTGCTTAGATCTTATAGCAGAAAAATAAGTTAAATATGGTATTGCTAATTTCATTGCTTACTACTAAACCCATGAACAATTGGGAGCAGTCAGGCCGTGCTTACCCATACTGATAGAAATAGTATTGTTTGTTACAGCATTGATTTTCTTGAAATTAAATTCCTGCAATATCAAAATGGAAGCAGGTCAAAGAAACATTGAACAGCTGCTATTTCTGTTTCCTTATTTGATTTATAGCTCACCATTTTTTCTTATAACTTACATAATTCTCCCCCTCCTCTCAGTCTTATCCCCACAACAACATCCCTGTGAGGTAGGTTGGGCTGAGAGTCTGTGACTGTCCCAAAGTCACCCATTGGCTGCACAGCTGAGTGGGGACGTGAAATCTGATTGCCTGAGTCCCAGTCCTGCACTCTTAACCACTACACCACCCTGACTTTCATGTCACCATACATCTCTGATTTTAAACCTTGTAGTATATTATGTTCCATGGATGAGACTAAAGCAAAGAGCTGCTCACTTTCTAGGCAACTGAGAAGTTTATGAGCTCAGTAGTTGCCATATCTTGACAAATTTGAAACTACCATAATCTAAAAATTAACCTCAACTAGAAAAGTGAGTGAATGCATGATATCCTGTTTAAAACATCACTTGTAAAAGAACTTATCTAATAGAGAATAATTCTGAAAATGGCATTTGAAGGACTTCATTGTAGAGACTGATCTTATTTGTGATGTATATATGCAGCACAGTTATAGGCATCTTTATTTGTACAGACATCAATTTTCCAGAAGTGTTAATACCAAAGGAAGGAAGGAAAAACCATTTCTTCTGTCCCTCTCCTCCAGTGTGTCAAAGCACCCATTCCCATAAAAAGAACTGAAGGGGGAAAAGGAAGGGGCTGAATCGAGATATAATATGATGTGTTGCTTCCAGTTCCAGTTTCTACTTCTACTTCATCTTGCTGATACTTACCATGGCCTTCTAAAAACAAAGTTTGTTGAGACAGAAACAAGCTTCTCTCATACATAAATTTATTTCTTGATTCAGTGTGAGTATTTCCACAGCTTTTTCACATGCTGAGAAGATGGAAGAATCTGAAGTAGGGAGAAAGCAAAAGAAGGCAGTGGCTGTGTCTTGCAAAGACCTTGCTCCCATGTTGCAGGAGGAATATGTTTGGAATCCCACCTGCATTTCTGGACCAAAGCCCCGAAGATGCTCTGTATTCTCCAACATTTGGAAGCACCTTTCCAATATCAAGTTTTAAGTGCTGTTTGTTTTCTACCCAGTCAAATGCAATATGAAGACTATCATATCTGCTTTTGAATCTTTGGGCCAACAGATTTGCAATAGTATGAATTGGATGACAACCAAATTCTTCCTGTTTAAAAAAAAAAAAAACTTTTCCATTTGCTTTCTTCTGAACCTGTAAGTGGAGATACCCTTAATTCCCAAAAACAAGTGTTTTTATCTTGACTATTAAGGAATGTCTGAAACAATTTCACTGTCTGGTTCAGATGCAGTGATGGCTGAAGATGTTGGCTATAGTAACTTCAGAGTCCTGCAGCAGTGCTCAGAAGATCTAGCAAGTACAGTGTTCCTTACACTAATGGGGACTTGAAGATCTATCACTGTTTCTTGGAAGAGCTTGTTTTTCTGTTTTTTTTTTTTTTGAATAAACTTGCAAAAGAGATCGCTTCTCTAGCCCATCAAGATTTACTGCAGAGATTTAGCATGTAGTAATCACTACTCGTATTTTATCCTTTACATTTTTTCTCACTTCTGCTAGAAGGCTGCAACATTTTTGAGATCATCTTTAGATCTTTTGGAGGCTGACCAGTTTTATGTAATTAAGAAGTAACTTCATCCCATGGCATACACATTCTGTTGTAGTAATGTGGTTGGCTATCTAGTATGATCTCCCATGCTGCTTTCCTGTTACTTGCATAGGCTGTGAGCAAACTTTACCACTCTGGAGGACTTCACATATTTTAAAGTTGTTTTAATCTGCAGAATGTCCATTCTCCCTTTTTCAATGCTTCTGTAATAACAATGTTTGTGGCATTATCTTTCTCCCTTCACATTTTGTCCATTCATCTGTAACTACTTCTAAATGCAGCACTTGGTTGATTTTTTTCCTTGCACAGATTCCATTATACATTCATATTCTGACTTTAAAAGATGCTTGCATAAAGAATGTGTTCTGGACAAATTGTAAGATAGTCTTAATACGTTAAAAGCTTCCTGCCAATATGCATTTTCAGATATTGACAATGGGATTCCAGAAGAAGCATGAACTGTGTTTACCTGCTTTTCAGATGTCATTTTGTCTAAAAGTGAAACTGAGGTTTTGGGCGGGGGGGTTGTTTTGTTTTTTTTTGTGGTGGAGGAATATAACTGTAATATTTGTTCAGTTGAACATGCTGTGATGGAGGAACTGGTTGTTATATGCTGGTGTTATTGAGAAGATGTGATTTGCCAATACTGTCAAACAGTGGATACTGTCAAGCAGTGTGGAAATGCCACCATAGACTATATGTTGGTTCCACCATTATGCTAAGCAGAGGGGGAGAGAAAAAATAGTAGTTTGCTGGTGAATACTAGGCTATGGCAGAGTGAGGAGTTGCAACCAAGCATAAGATTAATAGGAAATACATTATAATTTATAAGAGTAATGAAGTCAAAATACGGTTCAATTTCAGTTACTTTAAACAATTCAAACAAGTATACTAGCAGCTCCTTCTTGTTACTCTGTACTATATTCCAGTTCACTGAGGTCTAGTAAGTCAGAAACAGATCCATCAACTGTACCAAAGAAGAAATAGAAATCATTTTTGTGACAATGGGAATACCTTCCACAGGCAGAAATATACTACTTGGGGTTGAGGGATGTCTCAGTTTACAGTGTAGGATTTCTTTGTCCGTAGTCGAAAAGAATTTTAATGATACTGTACATAGTCTTACATAAGCATTTATTACAGATTTTAGAGGGAAAATGGGAGTAAATGTATGAACACCTTGTCTAAAATATTTTACTCATTGTTCCAAAAGACAATATTGTATAATCCACTGTTCCATTTTTTTCCAGGGGGAAAAAGGGTTTCAGAAAGAAAATGGAAAATTCCCAGTTATTTTTCTGAGCCTTCATTGATATTTTCTCATTCTGTTAGGTTCCCAAATCTGTACATCAGCCAGCTGCAGAGTTTTGCTCTACTTCTAGTCTTCCAAAAGATCCAGTACTAAGAAGGGAAAAACTACAGGATTTGATGACTCAGATACAAGGAACATACAATTTCATACAGGTATATTTCCCTGTTTAACAAGGTAACACAAGACCAGTCAAGAGCAGACTTGATGCTTCACGTTGAATATGATTGAGGTCGGGAGGTATAGAGGACTTCGTGCTGGGTCAAGATTTTGAGGAGTAGATAATGGATTGCTCAATTATTCTGAACTGCTATATATTCTTACAGTTTTTTTCTGAGTAAAATCTTGCTTTTTTCAAAAGCTGTATTATCCTTTTGTGTCTAAGGAGTCCCTCCTGGATTTTGATAAACCTTCACAAAGTTCCATTTGCTCATCACAAGCAGCTTCTGTTGATTCTACAGGTAAATCCAGTGATGGTTAACTGTGAACAAGATAGACTATGTTTTTGAAGTCTTGTAAACCTCTTGATCATTTTTGTAAGTAAAATGACTAGAAAAGCTTGTCTGGAAACTACCTAACTAGTTAGTTCTACCCAACTAAAATTAAATTGGGTGATGAAAGGCTAGCAGTCAATAGGCCATGCTGTCTGGGGATGATGGGGATTGTGGTCCACTGCATCTGCAGGGCACTAGACTGGTTTTAAACCACTGTTTCTATTAAATTGGGGCAGGCATTAAAACTAGATGATTTACTCTTTTAAATTAAATTACATCTAAAATCCCACACTGATGAAAATTTGAAGAAAGAATTATGGATTTATAAATAAACTGTACTACAGTGAAAGTCTGAAAAGATCTCTACTTTTGAATTGATACTTTGAAGACTTTGGACTGTGGTCTTCACACAGCTAGCTACTAAGATGCAAAATAATTCTTGCAAATGTAAGGGCTAAACATCCTAACAATAGATTATCAGAAGATGACATACCCCATTATACTGCATAGTAGTAGATCAGCTGTGAAACTTTTCTTCAGTTGTTTACAGTATGAAAAGGGGTGACTGTATTCTTCTGTTTCGTAGCTTCTAATGAACAACTTTCAAGCCAGAACAATTTTGTTGAGCAACCAGCACAGGTAAGAATTAATGATAATATTTGTCAAGTAAATATTAAATACCATTATTAAATAGTAAAGTTGTAATTGTAAATTTGATGTTTTTTGTAGGCTTTACATCAGTATTTTAGTAATCTGCCATATTACAAAGTGGGATGTAAATAACTTAGAATTTGAGTTTAAATAATTGGGAGGCATGGTAGTTGGGGTCTAAAGCAGACAGGGAGCCAGTTAAGGTATTTTGAACTGCAGCTTTGCATCATTACCATCAAACATGGCCTATGGTCAGAAATGATGGGAGCTGTAGATCAAAACAACCATAAGGCAGTGGGTTGCCTGACCTTGATAAAGAACCACAGAACTGGCTTTGTGTGTGCACAGTGGAGATTTGGACTTGTCTGCCATGCAGCCTGGATAGAAACAACTGCTTAATTATAAGGATGTCTTCAAAGCAGCTTTGATAAGGCATTGGGCTCTGTCCCGTGTCAGTCTTTGTGAGGACACAGCCATTGTACCTTGCCTAAGTAGCTCCTTATAATTCCTTTTGTGTCCAGTCATCAATTGGACTCACTGTATATTGTCTTAAATAACACCCAGACTGTCCAAAAATCAGTAGCAACATGCATATCCCTTTACATCAGACTGTGACAGAAGCAAGTATCAGCACTGGGGCTGAAAACTTCTGTGGACACTTAACAGTCATCTTCTAGGATAGTGCTTGATTGGTGTACAGCCAGCAAGACTCTGGTCCCATAGACATGTTATGATTCTTCCAATATGGAGAGGATCTGATTTCAGACATCATTGGCTTCAGGCTGATGTGATCTTCATATGTTAAGACCCACTCCCTACTTCACAAAATGTTTGCCGTAAAAGGTAAACTGTGGTTTCTGATTGTACTTGGTGCCAAATTTGGACACCATGGCAACTATAGTTTAGAACAGGAAACAGATAATTTTGGAGTTTCAAAGGGAGCCTTCTGGTGGACAGAGAGACCAGAGAAGCCAAGACATGCTTCCCCTCTGAAATGCCTTTACCAGATGGGCAAATGGGCCTGCCTAGTAAAATTGCAGGGCAGGAGAATGGAAAAAAAAATCTGCCTCTATAGGATGCACATAACCTTCCAGTTTGGGGGCTTAATGAGATTTAAATGTTTCATTATCTAGAATGTTCTTATTGTGAGCTTGTGAAAATATGACAATGTAAAGCCATATTCACATTTAAGAAAAAATCCAGTGATATTAAACTGTTGACACGCTTAATTTTAGCAGCCTCAAAGAAATTTGTATAGAATAGATGAGAGTTCATCTGTCTCAGATCAGAGTTCAACTCTCTTCCATTAAGGCTGTTAAAGCACCTCCTTCTGTTTTGGTGTCACTATTAGTTCCCATCTCACTCTGGGATGTGTTGTACATGGATATTTTCTCACTCAGAATAATCACCTGGAAATATTGAGTCCAACTTTGAAACTGCCAATCTTGTCTTAACATTATTTTTACCTTTGGTATACATTCTTTTTTTTTTTTTTTACCAACAACATTATGAGTCTGAAAGTTTTCTATGGAAAATAAAGGAGTGGAGGATTTTTCATCTCACTTGACAAACTGAAATAAAAGCCTTTCCAGTAGTTTCTAACTATGAAAACAGTTTTTAAAATCCTCCTTATTTCTAGGAGATACCAATTCTATAAACTTCTGTTATCAGGCTGCTGCTTCTCCCATGACCTTGCATGGCTCAAACACCTCCTTAGCTTCTGATAACATGTTGTCTGGATCTGAAACTGAACTTGGTTCGCCACAGGTAAAATAAACATACTAATTTTTCTCTCTGCTTTTCTCTTAACTGAACCCAGATTTAATGTCTTAATACTTGAAAAACAAATCGAAGAAGGGAATAGAGGAAGGGGAAGGCTGAGCAAGGTTACTGTGCAACAATGCTTGTGGAGTAATACAGACAATTTTGCACAAGTGTATTATGATTTCTTTCAGACTCCCATCCCATAATGTACTGTCATTGAACATGAAGGGGAAATATAGCATTGTTGATAATGCCTTGAAGCTTATCCTTTTAAAAATCACAGAACTAGAGTGGTGGGAGGGAGTCAGTAGTTTTGGCTATACTTCTGAGGAAAGCCTCAATGGAGAGGAAATTGAAGGACAAAAGCAGAGAAAGAATGTATCTTGTATCTCTACCCTTTATCCTTAAAGGAGGAACTCATAAGGCAGCCAGCAACAGAGATAAAACCATGGAAAGAAGCAGAACCCAGCCTGCTTCTCCGTTGCAAATATCGCCATTCCTCTGCTGTTTTTCAGCTGTAGGCCGATCCAGGTTGTGGCTGGGCTAGATAGTTTACCTGCACTCGTTCCCAGGGAGTGACTGCTAATCCAACTTTGTCTGTATGTGATTCACTCCTGTTGGATAATAAGGTGTTAGCTGACAATCATAAGACAGTTTGCAAAAGCCTAATTATCAGTTTTGAATAGTTTGGCTTTCAGACAACAGCACTCCTCTGTTTTACAGAAGTTACACCTAAGGTACAACAGGGCATCTTATCCTACTACATATTATGTTAGCAGTCTAGTTTCTGGGGTTCCAGTTCTGAGTAGTAGGTTCCTTTAAACTGCATATGTTTATGTATATGTGTTGCTGTTTTGCCTGTGCATTTTGATTTGTAACTTTTATAAGTGACTCAGAGGACTCCGTGTGGCAATAGTCAGCTTTATATTTTTATGTTTCTAATAAAATGGACTTATGTCCATAAAAAGCCATAAAGGCTTTAATCTGTAAGGTGCCACGATACTTCATGCATTGTAAAAGAGACTAACATGAAGACTAGCTTTCTTGAACTGATTTCTTGTGTTCTCTTACAATACAAATTGCTCTTCTAAAATGAGTGAAAGGTTTTTAACTTTACAGTTTATTACTGCATTTGCTGGCATTTTGATGACATTTAATTGTGATTGGTTAAATAAAATTCAACTGAAATTCAAAATGCAATAATTAAAATTCAGTTAACCCAGTTTTAAGCTTTTTTGCACTCACCTTTGGGTGTTTTGCTTTTATTCTGAAAGAATTGTTACATATTTGAGTAATATAGCTATATTACATGACAACTAAATGATTGCAGTAGCAGAAATTGTCATGTGATCTTGCAATTGTCACTTGATTGGTGCTGTAGCTCAGTGTCAGAACACAGGTTTTGCATGCAGTAAAAGGTGCCAGGTTAAATCTCTGCATAGGGCTAAGGATTTCAACCCCAGGGAGCTCCTGCCAGTCAGGATCAACAATAATAGACTGGATGGCCCTGTGGGCTGACTTGGTACAAGACAGCTTCCTGTGTTACTAAAATGTAGGCCTAGTTGTACTCTGCTGCGTGGAAATAGAAATTCAGAGTACCATTACATGCAGTTTTGAACAATGATGTAGGAAAACTGCTAGATATGGGTTATTGAATTTAGAATGTCCTCATTCTGTGCTTATCATCCTGCAGCCTGATAACAGGATAGAGCCTTGGATTCGAAAGAACCTCCAAGGTTCAATATTAAACTTTCAAGCCAGGTAACAAAGATGGCATGCTGTGCAATGAGCTTTCTCTACTACCAGCCTCCATCAGTATCTTACAAAATGACAAGTTTAGTCTGGCCATTTTCATATATGTCCTGTTTAACAGTTCATGTGTCTGTGTCTCCAGACATCTGCTCCACATTCTCAAGAGTCTGAGAACTTCAGTTCACCTCAGTCTTTGTATCAGGCAAACCAAGGGATTTCTGAGCCATTAGTCCCCCCAAAGAGTGAAATGGCTCCGGTAAGTATAATAATGCCTCAAACCTAGGAAAAATGCATTAAATAGAAGTTCTTATGGGTGAGTTTGTATAAAAATCTATGTGCTGCTACTGCTATAATATAGATTCTCTGGAAAACTCCTAGCAAATGTTCAACTGTCATTTGGGAAAAGGTAACATTGCTCTGATGCAGGTATTAAACGTATTAAACATAGAAATAATGACAGCTTTTGTATGACAAAAGTCCAGTTGCATAAGGAACGAAGTTCACATTAACTTCTGCACACATAAATGCCTCTTTAAATATTTACGTGTCTAGTTCAAACACGTTTGACATAGTCAGCAGAGACCGATGGAAATACTGAATGCGCAGCAAGATTCAAATTGTAAGCAGAAGCTATTCTATTCTTTGCTATGCCTGATTGTTGGCTTGCAGAAACTGCTGATGTTTGACAGCCAGGGTTTACCAACTTATATTCCTTCCCACTAGGAAGACTGGGTAACACATAAAGGTTTGCTTTTGTTTTCCTTCAAGGCTCCTGCTCTTTCAAGTGAATCCCAGACACCATCAAGAACCAGTACTGCATCGCCAATACTCCAAGGAAAAGTTTTCCAGTCTCCTCCAAGTAGCAGTGCTGTTAGCATGAAAGCACCTCCCTTTCAGGCTATGCAGACTGTGAGTACCTTGGTTGTTGAGGCAAACATAATTAGATGGGAGGGCAAAACCTGTACCTGAAGAGGCAGAATATACTTCCCCTCACAAATGGGGAACAGCCCTGCATAGTGCACAGGTGCCTGCAAATTGAGGATTTGTGCCAAGGTAAACTCACTTTGCATGATAGATATAAATTGATTTACCACAAGTTGGAAAAGAAGCAATCTGTACAGAATCCCTCTTGACTTCTTTATACATATATTTAGACCACGCTATTGAATTGCTGCTCTATAGTTCCTGCTTGAAGTTATGGAGATGAGACTAGAACTGCAGTAAATTAGGGGCTTAACTTTTATCTCTGAATGAAAGTCAGTGCATGTTGCTGAGAGAATGGATAAAGCACTGGAGTTCCTGGGAAAGTGTAGGTCTCTTCTCCCCAACCCAGTGAAATGCGGAAATACTTCAATTTCTGCTTTGTGGGCTATATGCTAGCAGAAGCACGAAAACTTCTGCTTGTGGACTATAGAAACTCAGAAGTAAATAGGCATATTTTGAATAATTATTTGCTGTGTTGCAGGTGTTCAAAGTGAATGCACCTTTGCCACCTCGCAAGGAACAGGATATCAAAGAGAATTCTCTGCATTCTGCAGGATATAATCAGAATTTTTCTACAGCAAGTACACAGACTCCACCCCCATGTAAACTACAGTCTACTCAAAATTCTGAGCAATCCACTTTTTCTCAAGAGCCTCTGCCAAATGGTAAGGAGAATTTCAGCATGAGGATGGTAACTGAGGAGATGAATCTCATGAGGAGACTGGAGTGCAACTTAAATTACACCCCAGGAATGAGTGTTAAAGAATATTGAATGCAAATTATTTAAAGGAACTTGTTAATGGCTAAAGAACCGTCATCAAGGACCGTTAAGAATGGCAGCTTACCATTGCCAAATTGCTCGCCTCCAAGGCAAAGTAAGAAAGCAGCTAGGCTTATCTGATGCTGAGCTATAACGCTGTCATTTTTGGCATGTGCTTGCTCTTCCTCCCCTCCCTCCCTCTCTCTTTTTCTTTTATTGTATCACAGACCTAACTACTTTCATTTGACTGTGTAATACAGGGTACTTTACTCCTTGGGAACTGCATTTTTGCATTTAGCCCAGACCCTGCTTTTTATTACACCTCTCATTCATTACCTTTTTCACCTACATCTAACTGAAATAGAAAATTACTAGCTACCTCTTCCTTGGTCTCACAAGACACTACTGAATCATGGAAATGAACGTAATCAAAGGTATAGCAAAACGTTTATCTCCCTTTATATGGTAATTTGTGGAAAATGCCAGAACTTTTCCTTTCCATCACTTTTAGATGTCTGCCTTTTCTAGATGTTGTAATACTATGAGTGCTAGCACTCTGATTCTATGTCAGTCCCCTACAGACCACGTGTTCAGATGAAGAGCAGGGTCATCTTCCTTCCTTACATGTGGGAGACATTGGTACATTAAGCCGCGCCATCCTGGCATATGGTGGGTTGGTTGTTACACAAATGATCAGGCTCATGGCAGGTTCTTTGCCCTGTTCTTCTGTAGCGTTCTCCCTCAGTCCTTTGATGGATATTTCAAGGGACAGATTTATCTCCCCCCCCCCAGAAAAAAATCCGGTGCAGATGGCAAGAAGGATTAGGTCCCCCAGAAGCCCAATTCTCGAGGGACAAGTGCCATTCATATTGGGTGACTATGTCTTCATAACCTGTAGACATGCAGCCAATATGCCAATATAGCACTGAGCCCTGGCAAAGCAGGGTGGTCACTCATCACCAGGTTTTGCCTTCTCTTAGCAAATCCCTCTAGCTGTTAATTCAGCAACAAGGTATGTAGATGCTCTGCATCTTTCTATGTGAATAAACAGAAATAATTGATGCACAAGGCACAATGACTCCAGTTCTGTCTGTGTATCATGCCTTCTCTCCTCTGCTAAAGAGGTTCAGTCAGAGTGGATATAATGTCAGCATTGCATTGGTCAAAACAGGTGTGATTTCAGCTCTCATGCTCTAAGTGCTTGACTCCAATTCACTGTCAAGGGGGGGCAGTGGTTTTGCAGTTCATGTCCTGGGTCCTAGAGACACCTTTCACTATTCAACTTGTTAAGTTGCAAAGCAGTGGAAGTTGGATAACTTTCGAGTTATCATGGTTGCCTTGATCCTATTTCAGCCCTGAAATGGAGAGCAGGCCTCTCTCACACAGGAAGGCATGCACTAGTCTGGGAAGAATAGCCTATTCCACAATTTTTTTCATTCAATATAGAAAATAAACTTACTATGGTAAGTCCCACATTATATTTAGGGAGTTCTAGAAGGTGGGTTGTATTAACAGGGAAGATACCCTTAGGTGTTGCAAGCAAAGCATTACACAACAATTATCCTGGAAAATTAAAAACTCATCCTGCTTCTGTGCAGGAGGTTTTAGGAATGTTTAAACATTTATTTATTTAAATATTTTCCTTCTCATCTTAAGCAGGTAACTACCAGGCTGAGACATCTGTTCCTGTAAGCAACAGTAGTCTCACCTTTTATGCTGCACAGACAACTACATTCCCTAGACCACCTCAGCCTTTTGTCACAGGTCGTGGCTCAGTCAGAGGATCTCTCAGAGGTGCAAGATCAGTGAGCAATTCTTACCGTTCTCCTGGTGGCTATAAAGGTATGTACAGGCAGCTTCTGTGGAAATGCTTAGGAAAGGCTATATCCAAGTATAGTTCTACTCAGTCAGAAGTAGCTGCAGCAATCCAGGAGTGTTGTAATAAACCAAAAGAATGACCTATGGCTCAATTAGTTCATTTTTTGGCAACAGTTAACAGCAGCCCTCCCCCTCCCGGTGCCTCCAGAAATATTGAACTGCAGTTCCCCTGGTCCCCCAACCAGCTGTGAATACTGTTCATTTGTGAAGGTTCAGTTTGTACGACAAGATGCACTTCGGATATCCCAACCATTTTCTGGAGCTTACAGTGTCTACTGGAAATGTGGCAATTCCTTGATTAATATATTATGCCATTTAGTATTTCAAGCACTTGAATAAATATTTGTACAAAGGTTACGTGCCCTAAAGAATTCCGCCTGTGCTTAATCTGAAGTATTATGTTTATACTAAGGATTGTCCCTCTGTTTGGGATCCTGAAGGGAGTAGCACACTCCTTGACTTGCACACTAGGAGTGTTAGGGATAACACTCTTCTCAACATGGTTCCTGGTTACTTTCTACAGACCAAACTGTTGGTCATGTCGAAGAGTCCCTCCCTGGGCATCTCTTTCCAGAACAATATATTGGGTTATTTTCCTGCCATTGTGGTGGTGGTGGGGATTCTCCAGTATGCTACTTGATGTCCAAAAGAATAAATTGGGTTTTTTTTTTTTTTTTGTTAGCATTGGTTCTAAAAGGAAATGTCGTCTTGGTAGGATAAAATGGCTTCATCTTCTATCCCAGCAGGTTTTGAAGCTTACAGGGGTTCACCTTCAATCCCTAATGGCACCTATGGTCAATTGCAGCTTCCTGGCAGAGACTATGCTCCAATGCAGTATCCTCAGAGGGTAATGACTTTGGCAAGCTTTGCACTACACCCTTATAAAAGGAGGCTTAACATTGGTGGTGGAGTCTTGGGCCCAGCTCAGAAGCCAAAAGCAAGCACTGGCTTGTAAATAATCCGATTTGGGATGCTTCACAAATCTGACATCATGCTATTGTAATGGACTGTTGATTTGGGGCTAATCCTAATTGAATGCCATCTAGAAAAAGCTAAAACAATATACAGGAAGTCCCCTACATACAAACGAGTTCCGTTTCAAAAGTGCATTCATAAGTCCAGTTTGTTCCCAAGTCCAACAAAGTTAGTCTAAGTACCCAACTAACAGGGAAGGTCACAAAGCAGCCTGTCTGTAGCTTGACAACAAAAAGAAGCAGCCCTTCTGTAGCACCTCAGATCATCACGTAGGATTTCTCAGAAGTCAGCCCTGGTACTTAGTCGAGAAGCAATATTTGAGGTTGCCCGAATTCATAATTGTACCACACACCACATGCATGCGTGTCATTAAGTAACCAGAGTTTTGCACTTTGGCTTTAAGAATCCTGCAAAGGTGATCTCCTGACTTGGTCTTGATGCAGGGAATAAATCCATTGCACTAATAATACTGTGACAAGAATCAACTGTGATTTAAAGGACACATACTTAAAATGCATCCCACTGATTTCAGTGAGCATTAATTATATTGGACTGTGAATGACATTTTATTTAAAGCATTTCTATGCACTTTGTTTTTTTAAAGATCCAAAGCATAAAAAGATTCCCCCACCCCCAAAGAAACCTGCAGTGAAAAATAAACCCCAGAGCAGGCTGTAATACACTGCTGTCAGAATGGATATTAAATGTGACAGTATCAATGGTCATGAAACAGCTGTTGAAACAATTTTTCAGCACATGATGGAATAATATTATTCAGTGCATGACATCCAAGGGGAGGCTTTTCTGAAAAATAGATGTGATTACTGTAAAGTCTTTGTTCTGGTCCTCAGATAACTGAGGACCACCAACCCAGGGAGGCAGTGCAGGAGGATACCTTGGTTGATAGTATCAGAAGGTACTTTGCAGTCTTGGGGCAACAGGTCTCCATTCCCCCTTTTCCTTCCCTGATAAAGATCATCCAGCAGAACAACCAAGGTTGAGTCGGTCCCAAAGCCAAGTCTAGACCTCTAAGAGCAGCAGTGCGCTTTATGGACAGGAATAGCTCACTTCTTGCCACCTGTCTAATACCTTAAATGTTGACAGCCGGCTGGCTCTAGATATTACCTGGTTGCTCTTAATTAAATTGAAACCAATGTTTTTGTTCCTCCAGGATATGAGTTACCAGCAGAACTATAAGCGAGGAGGTATTAATAGTGGTCGAGCCAACTCAAGAGGTAAGGCTACATCTAATATTGCTTAAAATGCATTTCCGTCTTCTATATTTATTTCGAGCCATGATACAGCATTTGGACTGCCTTCTATAGTGACGGGATGTTTCAGTATGCCTCACACCGCATGTGTTTTTGCTTGGAATACCAAACGCTGTGCTCTTTAGTTTCTTTAGTTCAAAGGTTTTACTCTCAGTAGGGGTAAACTGCACAATCTGACCACCCCCAAATCCAATACAACTGACTTGGGTGTCCTGATCACATTCACAACTTGTGAGTGTGCAAGGAAATATTTGACTCAACCTGAACAGGACTTCTGTTCTTGGCAGGTGGGGTTTGTGGGGCCTGGCAACTGACACAAAAACCTGCAGAATGTCATCCTGTTGCAGCTGAAGATGATGGGGCTTGTAGTTGCTGGCTTCATATAATGGAGGCACAGTACATGTCCTAGTTTAATTTAGGGCAAGTTCAAAGTGCCTTTTGCCTGATTTAAACTAGGCTACCGTACTGGTAAAAAGGGAGGGGAGTGAAATTTCAAGTTTCTCAATCTAATTTTTGATAGCTAGAAAGCCTTGCCAGGATTATTTCAGAATTTGGGATAGGGGCTTCTACTGAAGATCATCATTCTTAAAACAGACTTGCCTTTATTCCATAAGCTAGTTGTTTTCAGCATTCAACAGGAGTGAATTCTGCCCTGTTGACCCAATCATATTTCAAACAAAAATGCGACATACTTTACAATGGCAAAGCGCTTGTAGAGTTGATATTACAGGACTCAAGGATGCTATGTAGTCTGTTACCCTTCTTTCATTTATGACAGGAATACAGTAGCTTTTCTGGTAAGAACAGAGATTCTCACCACCACCAGAACATCTGCAGCCTGAATGACGAGTGACTGTGACCATCCCCAGTAGAATGGCCTGACCCTGCGCATGTCAGGGTTTCTCTTAGCACAGAGAAAGGGACTTTGCCAGCAGTGGAAGGAGCTTTGCCTGGCATCTTCCTATGAGCTGTGTGTCTGGCATGGGTCCTTTGGGAGTCCATGACCCCATTGGGAGGGCGAGTGCATGCAGGGGAATTCCCACTAATACAGTAAATCTGAGTTTGGAGATCACAGCAAAGATTTCTCAAGAGGGGCCAAGTTCCACCACCTGAAGGAACTGCCGACTCTGCAGGCTAGAGCAGGGAGGCCAGTAGGCTAGGGATTCTCTGCTCCTCTTTCATAAGTACATAGTTTTCTATTGCACAGGGTTGGTGGCTAGGAAAAGTAGACTTTGCAACACCCATCTGAAGGTCAGACTAGAAGAAAACAATCCCATGGCGGGTTGTCCCCTCCCCCCCCCTTTAAATTTTGTCTACTAGTGTAGAAGGAGGGTTTTAAGGAGTGGTTTTAAGGATACTGATCTGGATCCACATGCCTTTGCAGGTAGTGATGGCCATCACCGAAAAATGGTGGGGAATGGCTAATCATAGATCTGTTCTTGCTTCTAGAATGGCCCTCAGCAGCTTGTATTCCTTCAGGTACTCTGGTTTATTCTCAGAGAAACCACAGTCAAGGCAGGAAATGCTCTTTTCTATCAATATTCCAATCAATCAATATTGGATGTTTTGCCAAGTTGCTACATAGATTGCAACTGCCTTTGTTAGGCATTTTATAAACCTTTGCCTTGAGTTTGCTGAGGTTATGTTGAAACCTGCTACTTGATTGGAGCAGAACATCAAATTCCATTCTGGTTGTCCTTAGGACGCACAAATTTCAATTTTTTTCCTCTAACCTACAGGACCTCTTTTTCGTTCACTACAGTTTCCTATTTCTGTCCCAGTTTCAGTCAGCTTTTAGACCCAGGTTTTTAGTTGGGATAGATTCCCTTGGTTCTACCACTTTACTGGGGGAGTCACCCTCTTAGATCAGAATGTTTGATAATTCTGCAAATTCCCAACTCCATTGGTGGGACAGGAGGGACCTGTCTATCATTTGATGTCCTACTCTGAGAAGAAGCATGTGTCATAAACTAGAAAATCTTTTAGAGACCAAAACCAGCTTACATAATACATTTTAAGAATAGCACTTTCATTTATGAGGAATCTTTTACTGTCACCTTTTCATTAAACCATTAGTATATGTTTGGGAGATAACATGGATATAATCTAATTTCAGTCTACCAAAAACTGCCATTACTAATTCAGTGTAGCCATTGCAGCAGCTCTGTGCAGACTTTACATAATCCTTAAAGTTTCTATGTTTTAGGTTGCAGGCAAGGAAACAGACAGGAAGAGAATTGCTCATCAGGTAGAGCTCAAGGTAGAACTCGTGGTAGAGAATACTTCAGAAGAAGGGAGCTGAGAAAAACTGAGAGAAATGGGAAAGAAGCAGAGAGTCCAAAAGCAGTCTTGTAGCTGCCAATATGCACCAGTTCCGTTAGCATTTATAAACAGTACAGTTCATATTGGTAACTTGATTTTCTACACTAAATAAACACACATTTTTAAGATTTGTCCTTTCTTAATAGCAAGAATAGTGCACAATGGGGTATATTTTCTGTGCTGAGGGTAGGCACTTAAGAGGTCATCTTATTTATCAGTGTGGGCACTGGGCCACTGCACATTTCACCCTTGAATACAAATGCGCACATGCAACAGTGCTACCCTGTGCAAACATGCTTGAAGTACTTGAAGTCAATAGGGCGTAAGTTTGTTTTGCAAATAAACGTTGGGTTTCTGTTGCATTTATAGTTTAAAATGTGAGAATTAATTTGAAGGGCATATATATGTAAGTATCTGGAATATATTCTGGAAATCCAGCAATACAAACTAGTGGATATTCAACTAGATACTTTGGCTCTGAAATCATACAATGAACAAAAATCCCTCAATGGTGGATGTGTACTACTCTGTATGACATCCAGCTTAGGAATTTTATTATAATCAGTATATAAGTATTACTGATAAATAATGAATTAGCTATTTGCATCCAACCTCTCCCACTCTTTCTAGATCAAGGCAGACTCGGCTCATTCCAGTGCTAAGCTTTTTGTAGAAGCATACTTACTGCATATCCTATACATGTTCTGCCTTCAGAAAGGAAGGAGTTTTAGTTTAAAGCAAAAGTGGAGTTGTACAGTGCTGATTGGGTGATTAGCTACTCTGCTCTTAAAGCTGGACTGCAAATAGAACTGATTGGCTGGCTCTTTTTGGTCAGCAAGTTACCTTGCTGACTTCACCATTTTAAAAAGCAGAGAAATTTTTAAAAATATTGAACAGATGTTGGAGTAGACAAGTCTGATGGGGGCCTGGAAAAATGAGCAAAACAGAGGCTTCTTGAATTGTGATGGTTACTCTCATTTAATAGGCAGTACAAGCTGAGGTAAAGCAGAGTTTGTCTTGCAGCTCAAAACCCCCACCATCTTTGATTGTATGTGTCATTCTTTGAATAAAAGTGTCTCCATCCTCAGTTTGAAGAAAAATAGATAATGAATTTGGGGCAAGTCTGGAAATGGAATCTGTCTAGTACATAAACACTGAGAATTCATTTTAAAAGTACTTGGAACCATTTGCCTGAAAATTGATCGTGAAGAATCCTGAATTCTGATTTTAAGGTTACTTCAGAACTAACCATTGCTCATGATCTTCAACAGCAGGATGGAGTGATTCTTCTCAGGTGAGCAGCCCAGAACGTGACAGTGAGACCTTTAACAGTGGGGACTCTGGGCAGGGTGACTCCCGCAGCATCACTCCTGTTGACATGCCAGTGACAAGCCAAGCGGCAACCATACTACCTGTGCACGTCTATCCCCTCCCACAGCAGATGAGAGTTGCCTTTTCTGCTGCTCGAACATCTAACTTGGCTCCTGGAACTCTAGATCAACCCATCGTGTTTGACCTCCTGTTAAACAACCTTGGTGAAACCTTTGATATCCAGCTGGGTAGGTTTAACTGTCCTGTCAATGGCACCTATGTGTTCATTTTTCATATGCTGAAGCTCGCTGTGAATGTTCCCCTGTATGTGAATCTCATGAAAAACGAAGAGGTTTTAGTGTCTGCATATGCCAATGATGGTGCTCCAGATCATGAGACTGCCAGTAACCACGCAGTCCTCCAGCTTTTCCAAGGAGACCAGATTTGGCTACGTCTCCATAGAGGAGCTATTTATGGAAGTAGTTGGAAATACTCCACATTCTCCGGATACCTCCTGTATCAAGACTGACTATTATGTTTACAGTAAATCTGCTCCAAACCATGTAGTGAAAGAAGGTGAAAGCTGGGGTCTAGTTTTGCACTGCATACTGACTATTTAAATACACACGTCTGAAATGGGGGTATGGAAATCTATCTTGCTAAGAGATGGAGGTGGGTCAGCACTGATGTGGCACTTTATCGGTTATGATGTAGCCTTGATAGGAAAGCTGTGAATGTTACGTTTGCACTTACTCTTGAACTGTAATTATCAGCTTCTATGCTCTTCAAAATTTGCCTCAAGCCTAGGCTATCCACAATGCCTTGTGCCTAAATAAAAACGTTAATATGCCTTAGTATCAGTGTCTATAGTACTGGGATAACTGTGGGTATGTGATTTCTTCTGATGTTCTTCATAGAGAATGGGGAGGGGAGCAAATGCAGTGGTAGAGCATATGCCTTAAATGTAGGAGATCCCAGACTCCATTCCAGAATCTCCAGGTAAAGGGAAGAAAGAGCAGACGATGGAGATCTCTGCCTGAAGTCCTGGAGAGCTGCTGCTAGTCAAGGTGACACAGGCTACACTTCGATCCAACTCACACATTTGCATATTCCCTGATAAAAATCCAGTTGGTAACAGTCAGAGTGAAGATCTGAAGTGTTTCCCATTTTTTTACAGACCTGCCTGCAAACCTTCATTTCTTAAGCCCCATTGTAAGATGTGGGGCTTAAGCCAGTGCTGGAAGGAAGACTGGTAGCTAATGGAATTAGTTTTAGAAGTGTTTTAGTTCTTCTTGGCATTTGATCTCTCCACACAAGTCCCAACATGCAAAGCAAATGCTGTTTACTGCATATGCTGGTTAGGCTCATGCAACTGCCCACTGTGTGTGGGGAAATGCTGCTTTGAGGATTATGGAATAAAACCTGTACCTGCTTGCTCCGTGATACATGGAGCAGGATTTAATGCTGTGCTTATCGGTTTGTAGCCAATACAAGTGGCACTTCAGAGATGGGGAACTTGTGGCCCTCCAGATTTTTTTGGCCTTTTTCTGTCAGCCAGTGGTTGGAAAATAAGGGTGCTGCAGTTCAACTTCTAGGGGGCTGCAACTTCCTTACTGCTTCATGGGCATCTTTTTTTTATGGGCAACTTAATTTATATTGTTTTACAGGATTCTATTTATTTATGGTTGTGAGCCGCCCCGAGGCTTCGGTGAATGGGGCGGCATCTAAGTTCCCTAAATAAATAAATAAGCATTTTACATATATGACACTTGCCATGACAGCATCCACCTTTGCAGACTTGAGAGAAAAGCCTGTGCCTTTAAGTCTTTCCACATCCATTTGCTAAAACCATCTGGGTGGCTTCATGTTGGTGGTTGTCATTGCTGTTAAGAAATGAGAGTGGTTGAAACAAAATGCTTTCATGTGTGGGCTCTTTTGGGTGTTAGAGGTGAAAATGAGCTTGTCAGTACAGAAGAGTGATAAGACTAATGAGAGAACTTCTTAATGCTCTAATCATCCACCAAAGTGGCCATCATTTTAAATGTGTCTTTGGGGACATATACTGGTTGCACAGCTACTGTTCCAGATGTTTGAGATTTAGCAACATGAGTTCAAATTAATCTGTAAGTGAGTAAGATCCACAAATTTAAGCTATTACTTTCCTTTCTCCTGTCCTACCTGCTAAATGAGTGTGACATTCAACTAATCAAAAATTGAGTGGTCTGTATTCCTAGCTTTATGGAAAACATTTTCTAGACTACGGAACTAGAAGATTTGTAAGAGTCTACATTAAGGATGCTTAATACGCATGTCATTGCATTTGTAACTGAGCAAATGTAGGATTATATATTCCTTAATATAAATTGGTTGCCTTGAGGTGTGAGAATGATTTTTTTGAAATCTAAAGCTTGACCAGGACACTAGAGACATTCCAGAGTTCTGCGGCTACAGTTTTGTGAGATGGCCAGTGCCTAAGGGGTTATTAATAGGAACTGAGTCATTAAGCAATACTATTATAGTATAAGAGCAGAAAAGTCTCCATAGTTTGAAAAATACATTGTTTGGATCAATAATTCAGTGGTAAAAGCTATACTGTACTGGGGAGGAATATGGAATGGGCCAAAGATGTACCACTTGCTTTGAGGGCAGCTTTTACTTACTGCCTTTGGAGTGCCACATTAGCTGTGAGAAAGCACATTTGTGGTTTCCTTAACCTGATAAGCTTTTTATTGAAGGCATAATTTGGATTGGATTAGTCCCTCCTGGAGTACTCTTACCATGGAAATGAAGTTCAGGTTCTGTTCTGGCCATATTTGTATGTTCATGATGTTCTTTTTTTGTACTTCTGCTTCACCTGGTGAGTTTACTCCCTCCCCCACCTTTCATTTCTGTAGTGAAGCAGAAAAGGGGCTCTGACCTGTCCAGTCACTGCACTTTTTTCCTTGCCTTGCCAAATCGCAAAATAGTAGAGTCAGAAAAGGCCAGAGGGCCATCAAGCTCAACCACCTGCTCAGTGCAGGACGTGGAAGTTAAACCATCCCTCTCAGATGGCTCTCCAGTGCCATCTTGAATGCCTCCAGTGTGGGAGAGCCCACAACCAACCTAGGTCATCGGTTCTGTTGTCCTGCTGCTCTAACAGGAAATGTTTTGCGATATCTAGCTGGAATCTGTTGGAAGAAACAGCTGAATGAACTTCAGCTGCAAAAGGAGATGTAGCTCTCAAAGTGTTGGAGAATACTGCTCTCTGCTTGGCACTGACTGAGGCCAAAAGCTCCAAGGAGCCTCTGAGCAGTGCCAAAGTCCAATTGAACTAGGCAGCCATCTTGGGGCTAGACCAAACTCACAAGCAGTGACAACATTTGAAACCTGATTGCATAACCTACAGAGCATCTGAAAGGAGTGATTCTAGGATTCTTTCCATTTATTAACAAGACTGAGCAGCGAGTTCTTTTTTTTGGTTTTTTTGCTTTTCTCTATCTCAGTTCTTTCTTGGATTTGGTGGGGTGAATCATCTACAGGGCTCCCTTCTTGTAACCCTCCTTCTCCAAAGACTGAGAACCTCTGGCCATCCAGAGTCATCCTTGACCATCAGCTGTGCTGACCATGGCTAATGGGAGTTGGAGTCAAACATATGGTAGTTGCAAGATCTCTACTCCTTTAGTGGGTCAAGCATGAGCCTTTATGACCAGCAGTCTTCTTCTGACCCCTCACATCATTCTAGAACAGCAAAAAAAACAAAAACAAAAAAATCAACACATAACTACTCCATCTCCTTGCATGGAAGGAGATTCAATCCCTGGAATTATATTTGCTTGTATTCTTCTAGCTTGTCGTACTTTGCAATGAGGGGCAGCTAGAACTGTATGCAGTGTTCCAACTGCATCTGCATGTCTATTCAAAGGCATTAAGATATTGGCCATGAAAGTATGACTCTCCACTCTAATAACTCTTGGCATGGGAATTTGCTTCTTTTATGGATGCTGTACATGCCAAATTACATATTTGCATAATTTTTGCCCATCCCCAAGATTCATCTTGGATAATCTTAACCATACAAAGGGAAGGCAACAGAATGCAAGGCAGATGAGAGGAGGAAACTTCTGGGTGCGTGCAATTCTATTTGAGCCCAATGTACTTGTATTTTTTGCAACAGAGCTGGAGGCTAGAGACTCGGGATGGTTGTGCCTAACAGTGCCCCTGCAGAAGATAACTTGAAAATATGTAGGGCTCAAATATTTATGTGTACTTGGAAGTTTCCTCACCATTTTTCTTTAAATGTATCAATTGAAGAAATTCTGAGAATATTTTTTTCCCAGTGTGCATCATTCTACACTCTGATTCTCATTTGCCATTTAGTTGACCACTAGCCCAGTTGGGAGAGATCCTTTGAGTCCTTCAGTCGGCTTTGTATTTCACCATCCTGAATAACTTGTCATCTTCAAATCTGACAGCTGGCGTTCTTCACCTGCAGTATCCCCCAGAACTCTTTAAGTGCACAATCCTATGCATATTTAGACAGAAAAAATCATAAAACATGCACAGCATTGCACCTTAAATATTTGAAATGTGCCTGAATTTAAAATCTACCCAGTTTAACTGATTCTTTTCTAAATCTAGTACTTTAATGTTTTGAGTAAATCCCATGTTGGTTTGTTTAAAATTATGCTTTCTCAAATTGATGCTCTAATCTTTTCATGAGAGTTTATATCTTTAACTGATATACTTTTCTTCTGAGCCCACTTTTGTTGCTTTATGTACATGCACATTCAGAGTACAATCAATGCAAGAATGTTGGAAATATCTTGTTAGATTTTTCTTTCTTCTGCCTCTTGGTTTTTCTCCATCTTGAGAATCTTGGACAAACTCGCCCAGACCCATTCTACACAGCAGCAGGATTGATAATGAGTCTTTGGCACTTTTACTTAATCGAGATAAGTAACTATTTAAAGAAAACACTTGTCTTTAAACAGTTGGATCTACGTAACTTTTTACAAATATCTGTTTCATGTTGTTACCCTGGTACAAAACATTCAGACTGGAGAATTCTTTTGTAATCCGTACTACAACCCTTTAAAGAAAATAATTTACAGCTTTGTGTCTTTGGAATATGCCTTCAGCATACAGATAGGCAGAATGATTTTCCAATCCACCAAAGATTTTGTATCTGTGAATCTGGTGAGGCAGGGGAAGTTTACATTATTTATTGTCTTTTATATGAGCATCCCAGGCATAAACTACTTGCTAGTATTCTCCAGTCTATCAAACAGACCTGTTTGGCTTGGCTCTGTATGCTTTTTGCCAGTGGTGATATATTCTTTATTAATCCAGATGCAAAACTTGCATTTGGCTGAGAAAATCAGTGCCAAAAGACATAGGGCAGGGGGCTGAGTTATATCAAGTACTGTATGTATAAATGCTTTATTTATATTTATACCATGGTGGCTATGGTATTGTTTGTTGCTTCTGATGTATTGTGGTAGGCTATGCTTTTAAGCAATAAACTATTTGTTTTTTCCTATCCCACAAGCACCAGAGTTCTGAGCAGGGGCCAGAGTGGGCAGGTGGGCATATATCTGCAGTGTAATAGTTTTAGCCCTCTAGTATTCCTACTCGACACATTTCAGCTGAATTTCTTCCTCCTCAGACTTAATTTTACTCTGATACTCTCTTTGATGTGTAAAGAAGTACCACCTTGATGGACTACTCTGTCTTTTCTGTCAATGTTCTGCACTTTAAAAAAAAAACTTGGCAAAGTCCCATTAAAGCTTTGAGACTTTTAGTATCCGTGTGTATGTAGTATGGCCCTCTTGTATATATGACTTTTGCTTATACCTTTTCAGGCAGTAGTTGCACAAAATCCTTGACAGCAGAATGAAGGGGAAGGAGAACCTGTGTTCAGTAGGAAAGAGATAATTTAACAGAAAATAAATCGGAGGGGTATATTCAGATTTCACAGCACTGTTCTTTAGAACTGGTATTTGGCATCAGGACAATGAAAAGCAGATAAGAGTGTCTATTTAAATTTGGTGGATGCAAGGAATACTATAGCATTGTTTTGATATTGTGATTTTTCTTATTTATGCAATATTTTGTCTAATTATGCTGCTTGAAAGATGTTTTACAAGCATCTTGTAAAATCTGAAAGATACTCCCCTTTTCTTCCAAATGACAAACCTAAATTATTTGCTGACTCTTCTAATGATTCTTAACTTTTTCCTTCTTTGAATTAAAAAAACACAACTAGCTAGCATCCTGAAGGCTGCCGCAGATCTTTTTGTGAACTCATCTGGTGTTGAAAAGCTTTGCAGCATTTCAGAATGAACTGAATAAAGGACAATTTTAAACTTGCTTCCGCAGTAGCCTTTTTTCTTTGTGTTTGGGCTGGTCTATTCTTTATATTCAGCAGAAAAGAGCAGCGTACACATTTGTAATTATTTCCAGAGGAGTAGCTATACTAGTCTGTTGCAGCAAAAAAAATGTCTTCCTTAAAATGAAAAGTTCTGGTACATATTTATCTGGTATAAAACAATATTTATCTATAAATATACTTATGTAATCCACGGGCACTGGCTGCCAGTCCACATCCGGGCTCTATTAAAGTGCTAGTGTTGTTATTCAAAGCCCGTATTGGCCAGGTGACCTGAAAGACTGTCTTGTCCCATGTATACAAGCCTGGACCGTAAGATCTTCCTCAGTGGTCCTCCTTCAGGAAACTCTGCTACAGGAAATCAGGTGGGTGGCTACTAAGAATAGGACCTTTTCCACTGTAGAAACCCACTTGTGTAATGAACTTCCAAGACAGGCTTACCTGGCAGCTAAGTTAGGCTCTTTCCAGTGCCAGGTTGAAAACTTCTCAGTTATCCCAAGGCATTTAAATCAGTTTAAATCCTTACTGCATTTTGAATCTTTCCATTGATGCTAGTTGACACTGGCTTTTAGTTCCGTTTCCGTTCTAGTGTAATCTGTGTTGTACTTCGGTTTTACCTGTAAACTGTAAACAGTTTCATCTTATTGGGTGACTCTGCTCATACATTTGTGTTCTGAAGATCAACAGTGCCCATTTCCTATGTCACACTACAGAAAGTACTACAGTAACACTTGCTGTAAAATTTCTGCCACTGTGAATTTGCAAGCAGCCAGTCTTTACCAGCTGCTCAGGAAGCATGTATATATCCCTTGTCAATATGGTGGCAATCAGTGTGGTATGTAGCTGCTGCTTTGCAGGTACAAGGGTTCTAGGCAGGTGTCCCCAAGTTCTGCATTTGATTATTCCTTGCCTGTGACCTTCTGGCTGAAAAAGGAGCGGCATTCTGTAAAAGCAGGTTTTCTAGACCCACTATACTAAAGGCGTCACTGCTTTGACAATGCCAAAATCCACTAACCTATTTTCTTAGGTATGACTTCATTTATATTATTTGGCGCATGAACTGAGTCCATAGTATGTGGAGGTGTTATGTGCAGTTTTAGAGCTGTTACAGCAAAGCAGACTCATCGTATGCAAAATTATGCACATGTGCCTGCTTAACATTTCATGAAGTCACCTTAAGCAAGCCCCTATTATCTCATTCCTCATGTCTGTAAAATGGGAGTAAGAACTAGAACTGCTTTGTGTATTGATACACACAAAGTGTACCAGAACTTATCTTTCTTCATTAAATCATGTAGAAAAAAAAATTGTTAAATGGGTCAGTCTTGAATCATGTTCACACTTCGAGCCTCACTCTGTGTATTTGACCTCTGGCATCTCTCTTCCAACCATAAGGCCTCCTCATGGGTGGGGAAAAGAGTACACTTTCACTAGGAGTCAGATGTGGTGGTGGCCCAGGTTTTTAACACATTACTGTTTGTGGGGTGGAGGGTAAAGCTAGATTTTGGATTATGCTTGGGAATATTTATGCACACTTCTTTTCCCTGATGCACCTATCACCCAGATGTGAAATTTGCTGGAGCGAATCAACAGCCTTGTTCCAACACAAGCAACCCTCTGAGAAGCTAATTGCTCCTCAGGTCCTTCAGTAAAACAGTGAGTTGTACAGTTAAACTAGAAGACGTCATCGGAGAAGCACACTCAAACCGCACCAATCCCAGAAACACTGTGAACTGGCCAAAATGGGGACATCTGGTGGGTAGCATAAAAAGCCACAATTATTATAGTCATGGATTCCAGGGACATCAGGAGCTAGTGCCTGCCAGTAAGATGTGCAAGCTCTAACCATACATACATATGTGGCCTAAGTATCTGAGAACTGGTCTTCAATTCCCTTCAAGCCTACTTTTGGAAAATAGGTTAAACAAAAGTAGCAAGGTTGGGATCACGGTAGAAACCCCCCAGTGTGTATGACTCATGGTGTAATCTCAGAAATGGGGAAAGCATGTCAGAATTAGAACAACAAAACGGCCTCTGGCACAGTGAAAAATATCAGATGTATTCTGGCACAAGTTTTCGTGGACGCTGTATACGGACGCTTCCGCCAGAATAAATCTGTTACGCCTTTTAAGGTGCCACAAGACTCTTGGTGGTTTTAGCTGAAATAGAACACTTCTGGAAAACATTAGAAAGGAAAGTTTTCTGTAATGCTACGAAATTATATATCAGGGACGGGGTCATCATGTGACAATGAAAGGGGCCCATCTCACAAATGTGTACCAGTGTCCCCCCTCCAAAATGAAACCTGAATCCTCCCTTTCTAAAGCTATTTCATTCTTAGATGAGTCGATCGTCCTCTGTAGTGCCCAAGAGGCAGCAGAGGGGAACGTCAATTTCTGTACCAAAGATCGGGAAGCGATGCAGAAATTCCCGCAGAAAGGCTCCGACCAAAACATGCAGACTGCTGGTGCAATTAATATCAAGGTTTCCTTGGGCTTCAGTAACCACTGGCGAAAAGTACCCAGCCGCTTGATCGAATTAAGCCTTTTTTCCAACCCTCTCCCTTTTGCAAAAGCAGCTAGAAATACACAGGAGAGCCAAGAGTGAAGTAAGACCCGCCAATACTCTCTTACAGCCGCAGCACCCCATTTCTGACCCGACCCAGGGCCTCCTGCAGCTGATAAGCCACGTGTGAGAAAAGCCGCGCCTCTTCCCACGATCTTGGAAAGAGCGCGTCGCTTTTCTTCCGTACAACAAGATGGCGCCTACCATGCCCAGCTCCGCGAGGAGGAGGGGAGAACGAAAGCGATGAGGCCGTAAAGCAGCTTCTTCACGACAGCCAAGCCGGTGAATGGTTCCTGTGCAGCCAAGGGGGAGAGGCGAGCTGGGGGGTGAGGGAGTGTGCAGCGGCGGCTCCTTGTCGCGGGTCCTCAGCTGAGCTGCACCGCTGTTCCCTCCTACCGCCCGGCAGGGAAGAGACATGGATCCCAACAGGATCATCCAGGCGCTCAAGGGCACCATCGACCCCAAGTTGCGCCTCGCGGCCGAGAATGAGCTCAACCAGGTAAGAAGAACGCAGCCTCCGGCCCGACCCTCCCCTAGCCCGCCGGGGTCGTGGGGAAGGAGACTTCCGGGATCGGCATCGTTCCTCGCAGGGCCTTGGCCGAGGAAGGGGCTTTGTTTCCGCCTCAGGGGGCTTGGCCGGGCCCTGCCTCCTCCCTGGGCTCGCCTGCTGGTGCCCCATCGCCGCCGCCCCGGGGCTCCCTCCGCGCTATTGTCTGGCCAGCGGGCGCCCCTTTTTGTTCTCTGAGGGGAATCCTGTCAAGGCTGCCTTCACACCGAGAGGCTTAAAAATAAAACAAGTAATTAGAAAGAGGGAGAAGTAGTTTTAAAGTCGCTTCGGAAAGGTATAGGATGGCTTTTGTGGACGGCAGTCCGCTTCATCAGAGCATCTTTTGGTCCCTAGAAGCAGATGCCACCCGAGAAATCGGTTCGTGTTTACAGTGCCGCGCGAGGCTTTGTCCGAAGGAGTAGCTGTGTTTGGTTGTTTTACTGCAAAAAAAAGGAGCCAAGGGTCCTAACATGTTTCTGTGGCATAAGCTTTGGTGGACTTGAGCCGATGACCGGGTGGGCAGCTTGGGGCTCTCCAGATGTTGTGGCCTACAGCTCCCATCCCACTCTGAACATTCCTGTGCACTCTGCACATCATCTGAGGTCCTCCTTGGGAAGCCTTCTCAGTAGTGGCCCCCTAATTATGGGATGCTCAGTCTAAGGAGACCCACCTAGCACCAACATTGTTATCTTCGTGGCACCTCATTAAGACCTTCTGTCAGGCACTTGGCAGTATAGGATAAGCTTTTAAATAGGTCTTGATTGTTTTTTCTTTATGATTATAATCTGGATTCTGGGTTATATGCTGCTCTCTGTTGTTTATATCTTTGTATTGTATGGTTTTTAATGATACATTTTAAAGCTTTTAATCTTTGTAAGCCACCTAGAGAGCTTTGGCCATTGGGCAGCATAGTAATGTAATTAAAAAAATGAAATTATCCCTGATCAACATAGCCAATGATAAGGACCCTTAACTCAATGTGAGAGCACCTCTTTGGGTGCAGATGGCCTCAGGTTCAGTCCCTAGGCTGGGGAAGAAATCTGCCTGCAACCCCAAAAAACCATTGCTGCCAGTTGGTATGACCATTACTGAATGCATTGGACCGATCTACTGGTCTGACTCAGTACAAGGCAGCTTCCTATGGTAAGGAATGAGGGGAGCTGTAGATTGGGTAGCATTTCTGAAGGGTCACAAATTGTCCACCCTGGTGCATGAAAACCTGGAGAGGTGATTCTAATTCATGGAAGCATATCCCATGCTGCAAGACATTCTTTTTATAGAGGGGTGTGTGGCTGTGTATGTAGGTAGGTAGGTAGAATCATAATGTTGGGAGAGACTGCAAATGTCATTTAGCACAGCATCCTGCTAGGCCAGGAAATGTTCTAGTAGCATCTTAACCATTTTATGGTTGTGGCATTTCTTCAAATTGTTCCTTTCCCTGCAATTGTGGAATCTTGCAGAGAGATTGAGAGAGAAAATAGCGGCTGCTTTAGTGCTAGGAACTATTGTGGCTCCTTATTAAAATGCTAATTATTGGATGAAATGAAGTTATTAGCAGTTGTGACAGGAAAAGGTTAACCAGAAAGGTTGAGGGAAAGGTTAACAAGAATGTTTAGCTCTGAACAGAGAAAATGTTAAAGAATGTAAATGGCCTTGTGTCCCAGTAGATAGAAAAGAACTCATGAAGTTTGCATTGACCATAAAGCATAGAATGGCAATCAGAAAACCTAATTTACCAAAGCAAATGTAAATGTCCTTTTGTTACCTGGAGTTAAACCAATTAACCAGTCAGGATAAGGAAGGTTGTGCCTTGAAGGTGTTAGACTGCAGCTGTTTTTTTGCTACTGCCTGCACATGGTATTAGCCTCTTGTGTGCAAGACAACAAACCTTCCTGTTAGAATGTTTGTGTGGCAAATGCTTTACATTGAAAGGACCTCCAAGTCTGAACCAGAAAAGAGGCTTCAGCCTTTCCTGAAACTAATTTTGGAGTCCCATCATAGTTGATTCCTTTTCTACCACTCCTCAGGGATCTTAGCTTGTTGAAGCAACTTTGTGAAATATTTTAGTGTTGATTTTAAAAAGAACCAGTTTAATTACAATAAAGTAGCATAAAATACCAAGCAGTAAACTTAGTCAAAAGAAAACACATCATGGAATCATCATATGTACAATATATTGAATTACAGTACATTAGATCATAATCTTATGATTAGCAGAACAAGTACTAAGCAACAGCATGAGTGACAGTCATTCAATTAGGATATAAAATCCAGATGTACCAACATCACTATTCAGTTATGAGTCAACAAGTTTTGTGGTAATTTTTTTCAAAAAGTCATGCCATAAAACATGAGAGCTATGATACATGATAGGGAATGGAAGGTCTGTGGACTTTGGCATGGGACCAAGATGCTCCCAGTGATCCAAGAACTCTTGTGTTGCCAGCATACAATTTTTTATACTCCAGATGAAAGATCCAGGAAATCAACAGCTAGTGAAACTCTTTGAGCAAAAAGTTTTATTTTATGTCTTTCTTAGTGCCTGGTATTTTTGTTTTTAACATCTACACTGGACTCAGCTGTTGTATACTTTAAAATATTTCAAGTGTTCATTTAGCTCTGATTCTGGCAATGAAAATGAAGGCAAAAACCTTCAGATGCTGTATCAATACTTTGTTTTCTAACTGCTGTCTGAGTCCATTATATGCACGAATACTTACATTTCATTTTCATTTCCTGGTATATCTAAAATACCACTTTCTTTGTCATATGGCTGCATTCTGTGTTGTGTCTGTCATTTTTGTTCTTTGTCAAAGAAGGGTGATAAAGTCAGCATGAACCAACAGATCCTAAGCAGTGACTGTAATCGTTTATTTAAAATCAAAGAAGTTATAAATATTTGCAAGTGTTAGGTGGCTAAGTAAATGAAGAGTACACTGGATGTTGGAAAGCACTGCCAGGTCCAGAAGAATCTTGAGGTCCCTAGATGTTTATCCTGGGTGGCATCTAGGAATCTGAAAACACATCATTTTGGTTGGCTGTTGCCAAAGATGTCAAGTGCATAAAAGGGTATGATATTCATTCTTTTTCCTGACCCATTAGCCTGTTGAAGAAAGATGGACATTATTTTGCAAAAGGGAAAGCTGTGGAAATCATGAGTAGCTCAGAAAATTATGCTGAGTGGGAACATGGGAGATGCTAAAAGCTGGTAAGATCCTGGGGTGGGGAGGAAAATTAGTAGGTCAGTAGGTAGTCAATGCTCAGCAGGTAGTCTACTGGCCTTATTCTGAAACAAATGGTCCAGACAGAAGGAATATAGCTGATCTGGGCACTTTGTTTCAGATAGTGGCTTGGTATTTGGACTCCAATAGCATCTAATTTTCAGGACCAAGTGAATTCTGTGATAGTGTAACATCATTCCTGCAGTCCCCTCCTCTGACGGCAACCTCGGTGGTGCCAGGAACCAGTGCCTGACCATCAGATTTCCTAGTTTGAGTACCACGGTACGTGATAACATGAGCCTTGCACATGCCCAAGTATTGATTGCACACATAAGCAGGCTGCCCCCGCTGCCTGTGGAGAGATAGGAAGCTGGGTGCTCTCATGCTGCTACCTTCTCCTTGCCTCTTTTCTGAGTCCAGACCTCTAGCCATGAAAGGCTCAAACAAAAGAAAGAAGCATCTCTTTAGTTGAAGGCCAGTCCTGCTCTTAATCTATGAGACATTTTTGCTTCAATTTTGGACACCTTAACTTAGGCTTTAAAAAAATACAGCATTCATGGTGGAAGGCTTGCTGGCATTCATCCAGAGTGACCCTAAGAGGTTGTTTCTTAAAGATTAGTTACAGTTTTGCCTTTTCCATTAACCTATTGGAACAATTAACTGGCAATTGCTGAATGAAGTCTTTAAAGTCTTCTAGCAGATTTTAGCAAATCAGTAGGATAAGGATGCCAAAGCAATTCCCGCCTTGAGTTCAGGATGCGTCTTTGATGAGTATGGGTTGAAATATATCCTTCTTTTCCAGGGTTTAGGTGTTAATTTTTTGAATAGTAACATTTCTCTGAAGTGAACCGGTACCCCATCAAGGACATTTTCATAACTTATTCTAATACTCTCTACCCTCCTCCATTTTGGGTCTGTTACCCATGTAGCTGCAGAGAGTGTGTGATAAATTATGCAGTGTATGCCCTCAGGGCAACAGTTACAGACTGTATGGGTGCTGTCCAGGAGTTGCTGGTGCTGATCTGCTGGTACCTGATGCCAGATTTCCTTCATGTACTCATACATCTTTCTATTGCTGTGTGTCTGGGGACCTAACAGAATGATTTGAACTGAGGTTTCAGAAGTGCCTAGTCAGGTAGAACTGGATTTGAACCAGGAGGGAGTGTGATAGTAACCCAGCTAGTCATGTGATATCAGAAATCATCACTTGCTGTGGATAATATATTTAAGTGATGAACATAAGGAGAAAGCAACTGAATGATTGGTACTGCATCCTTCTATATCTAGGCACTTTCCATCTGTTTTGAACTGCAGTTCTCACAGTTCGTTCTCTCACAGTGGTTCTGGCAATCCAACAACAACTGGGGGGGCACGAGCTTGAGGAAGGCTGCAGTATGTAATGGCCCTCCAGTCCTAGTAGATTAGATTCAAGTTAAAATTAGAGGCACCAGAGACAGCCATTCAGTGTGAGGCCTAGCAAAGTTTGAATTTGCTGCTGACTGAGGAGAAAAAGCCTAGCACACAGGGCTGCTTGTTTGCCTGGTTTTAATGTTCCATGATTCTGCATTTTACAACTAGCATCCTTTTTTCTCTTAGTAGCTCAATCACATTACAGAGTTTTCTCGAGCTCTGTTGTTGGATTACTTGTGAGCCCAGAAAGAGCAGTGGCAACTGGAAACTTCCACTAGAATGTCTGTGACTGAGTCAACTTTTTAAAAACTTCCTCCAATTGTTTTAATCCTGCCCCCCCCCACGTATAGAAGTCAGCACACTGCTTCATGTTTGTGATTACTTATTATCCATAGTCAAATGAATGGCAGCGGGGGGGGGGGGGGAGTATAAAAAAGCACAGACACTCAAAACTTTTTAACCATTCGCAGTTTTTCCAGTTTGCAAGACTACCAGTGCAACTGTGCAATTATTCAAATTAGAAAATGTGGACTATTTGGACTACTAATATAGTCCCTTAAAACAATGTTGCAGAAAATGAATAGAGGCAGGGAATACCCTAAGGGTATGTCATAAATCTGTCTTTCTGTAACCAGGATCTCAGAACTAAGAGTGTTGCTATTTCTAGGCATAAACATCATTTTTTCTTTCCCAGTTCCTTTGAAACAAACACAAGCACATGTCTGATCAAAAGTATTCCTGGACCAAGGGCAGAACAGTACTCCTTGCACATAACCCTGCTAGTGTTCAATAGGAGTGTAATTACATGCTTAAGTCTCCTCTTCAAATAGATGGTACCTAAAAGTGCTTCACATTGGCAGTGCATCTGACATGGGAGGAAAGATATTCTTATTCATGGCAATAGTGCTGTCTTTATCTTTTTGCAATATGTGGTACTTTGTTGATTAAGCATTTCTATGCATTTCAGTCCTACAAGATCATCAATTTTGCTCCTAGTCTGCTACAAATAATTGTCTCTGATCAAGTGGAATTCCCAGTCCGACAGGCAGGTGAGTCTATGCAGAGTAGTCTGCCTTTAAACTGTTCAATAACATTTTGCATGTATACTGTACTGTACTCTATACTCTTTTTGCTTTTAGGTGTCAGACTAAGACCTTTTTATTCTCCCAACTATTTCAGTTGTTGAATTTTTATTATTTTATATTTTATGAACCCACTGTGAATTTTTTGGTTTTATTTGATTATTGATTGCTTATTGAATTTATTTTACTTATTTAATTTTATTGTCTTTTTAACTTATTGTGATTATTTTATGAATTGTTAATGCAATGTGTTGTTATTGCTATTAATTGCTGTTGTTTATTTTAAATTATAAACTGTCCTGAGAGCCATTAGGCTAATTTGGTATAGCATAGAAATGTTACAACAAACAAATAAATAACATTTCAAATTTTATTTATGGAAGCAAAATATCCATTCAAATTGAATATAATGCGGAGGGATGGCTTTTGTTATCATTTCCCAATTTTGTCCTAGCCACCAGAAGAAAACTCAAATTAAAAACTCTTACTGCATGTTTGAAAGAAGTACACTGTGAGACTGGCACCTCTTCTCTTCATACACAGAGGAACAGTTGTACGGATGGGGTTGCCAAAGGATCTTTTAGATCCCCTTGGTGGGTATTTCTGCAGCTGCTTGGCTGCGGGGAGAGCGGGTCCTTTGCTGTGCAGTTCAGCATGGCTGGAATACCCATAGTTTGGTCTTTCCTGCTAGTTTGCCATGCTCACCAAGAAGGCGACCTAGCAACTGAGCAGAAAATCCCACAGGGGTCAACCATGATCATATGGCTGTGGTATTTGTGCATAAAACACAGAAAGAACATAAAAACAGAAGGGGACTCCTGGGCCATCTAGTCTGGTCCCTGGCTCTAGCTGGCTCTGCTCATAACATGCCTACCATGTTCATGTCCATACTGTCCTTAAACACCCTCACTGATGGGGCTTCAACCACCTCCCATGGAAGCCCATTCCAGACCCTCAGGGTCCTAACCATCAGGAAGTACTTCTGGCATCCACCTTGAACCTTGGTTCCCTGAGCTTTGCTCTGTTGGAGTGTGTCTTGCCCTCATCCGCAGGGGAAAGAAGGTCATAACCCATCTCTGCGTGCCACCCCCTCCCATTTGCTGCTCCCATGTGTACTTCCATTGTGAAGCTGCATTTTTGTAGCAGAGTAGTGTGCATATGAAGCCAGACAAGGCCCTGGTTGGCAAGATAGCAAAGCTGAGACTCAGTTGTTTTGGCCACGTCATGCAATCAAGGTCATTAGAAAAAGATACAATGCTTGGAATGCTCAGCAGCAAGAGAAAACAAGGTCACCCAAGAGCAAGGTGGTTAGACTCCATCAAAGAGGATGCAGGCCAGAGCATAGTTCAGCTGAAAGAGGTGTCACTGCATTGAAAAATGTGGCGAGATTTGGCCCATAGGATCATTTATAGTCGGACATGACTGAACAGCTGAACAACAACTATGTGACTAGAGTCTCAGTTTCTTGCAGTTGTTATATTGCTATTGCAAGTGCATGCTTGCTTAGTTCCCAACTTGAGACTCCCCTGACAGATCAGCATTGCTTTCAGATATGCACTTTAATGTGCTGTTCATGTGAAACTGTAGAAGGACTTAGGGATGTTGTTTTCCTTCTGTCAATTCAGCTGCTATTTACCTGAAGAACATGGTGACACAATACTGGCCAGATAGGGAGCCACCGCCTGGAGAAGTGGTATTTCCATTCAACATTCATGAAAATGATCGCCAACAGATCCGGGATAACATTGTCGAAGGAATTATTCGCTCTCCAGACTTAGTGAGGTATGAAAGGCTTGGCAACATGCACCAGAAATCTTTGAATTTTGTACTGAGGAAATCAAATTATTCCACCTGAAATAAATTATGTAGACTTAACAACTTTGCATAGATTTTTCTGACTCTGATCATTCTTCTTAGAAAATTATAATGAGTTCAGAAGGATAAAGGACATTAGGCTAAAAGTGCAGGAGTTGCTTCTGAAAACATTCATAAATTGAGGCTTCCAGGAGAACTGTTTCTGAATTAGATGCCCAAAATACTCTGTGTAGAGAACTGTAAAGAGGAAGGTTATGAAAAAGGGTAGTTAAGAGCAGAATTCTTGCATTTGTGAGTTTTTTTCTGGGTAAGTGTGCATATGGCAGTGTCCCTATATGCCAGAGGTCCTCAAACTTTTTCAACAGGAGGCCAGTTGACAGGTGCCAGTGGTGGGCACGGGCCACTAAAGCAGTGCTAGCAGAAGGGGGGGCGTGCACATGCGCACGCATGCGAGGCAGGGACAAGAGGGGTGCGCACAGCGAGGTGCTGGCTTGCTCACAAGGAGATCGTTTGCTCTGAACAAGTCCAAAATGACCTCCTCATGAGCAAGCCATGTGCCCATGCGCACACACAGCGAGTGCAAAACCTCTGGAGCGGGCCAGTTAAATGGGCATGGTGGGCCGAATCCAGCCCGCGGGCCTTAGTTTGAGGACCCATGCTATATGCCCTGCCTGCAGACCAGTTCAGGTGATTTACCTAACCTGATGTCCTGCTTGGTGGTAAAGGATGGTGCTGTCTCACTGCACATAGTCCCTTGATCAGTGGTAGGTAATCTAGTCCTGTCCAGATACATTTGATTACCATAATTAGTAATCAAACCAATAGACTTCCACGATTTCAAGCCATTGGCCAGTTTGGGAATGATTGGAGTCTAGGAGGCACCATGTCTCCTGTCACTGGGCTAAATTAACCAAAGCAGTCTCTAGATTCTCAGAGTGACTGACAGTCTGAGAATATGCAAAGTTTACTTGCTTTATTTTTATGAATATTTCAATTTTGTATCACATTGTTTTTAGTGGTTGTTCAGTTGCTCACATATTGTTTATTTCATTAATCGGTTGTTTGGTTATTGGAAAAGTAAAAGGAAGGAAGCAGCAAAAATGTCTTGCTACATGGTCAATTCCTCTGTATCTCCTCCCTTCTCCTGTCCTTGTCTTTTTTAAAGGTACCTCCTATTTTAAGGTAATTGGCTGGTGACTTTTCTTAGAAAACAAACTTTACTCCTGGGTTTCAAAGAAGAAACAAACTCTTTAGCACTTGTAATCATGTGTTGACTCTTCCCTCCCCCTCTCCCCCTGCTTCCTTCTTCCCCAATCTTTCAGGGCTCAGCTGACAATGTGTCTTCGTGCTATCATAAAGCATGATTTCCCAGGTCACTGGACAGCAGTGGTGGACAAGATAGGCTACTACTTGCAATCTCCAAATAGTGGGAGCTGGCTTGGAAGTCTGTTATGCCTGTACCAGCTAGTGAAGACCTATGAGTAAGTTGATCTTCGTCAAGAAGGATCCCTTTCTCAGCAATTAATATAGGTGGTAATGTCTGGAGGTTACCTCTAAGTACATTTTGCATGTCCTTTTGCCTTACCTGATTCCATTCGATAATAGCGGCTGCATTCTCAGAGGGAAAGAAGTCAAATGCTTGAATAGGAAGCATTCCTTGAACAAGGCAAGGTTAAAAACAAAGTGCATAGTGTATACGTACAGCTTTGGAAGCACAGAATTTCCAATTTCTGCCTGTAATGGCTTCTTAGGAAGAGATGTTCCTTCCCGTCTCCTTGATTACTCAATTAAACCTCATCATCAGAATTCTCGGAAAAGACCACTTTTCTTCCATTATTTGGGGGGTCATTTTTGTACCCCAGGCCCGGCAGATATTCCATGTGAAAGGCCATTGATTGACAGAATGTTCTTCCAAGAGGTTGCACTCAGCATAACATGGATTTGAGGTTTTAGCTAGTACAGGTGATTTCAGAATGAATTTTTCCTGCATCAGACTACATTCAGGAAAACAATGGTTTGTTCTGTTCAGCTTACAGTCAGCATAGCAGTGCTCTGGCTTGTCAGTTTACAATTGGGATAACAATGCTTTCCCCAGTGGATTTCTCTTTGTTTGTTTTTTGAGAGAGAAGTTTGCTTCTCTTTCTGAAGTGAACAGATTAAGATGAATTATAGTGTATTTAACCTCATTTTGTGCCTCAGATGTTGGGATGAAAAAGTACTCCAATGGCTTATTATTATGCCAATTTAGGGGGCACTTTTTGTCCCAGGCACATTTGGTTTATAAAAAGAAAAATGTAAAAGGGAAATGACTGAAATTTGGGGCATTATTTATCACCCTGGAGGTGTCAGTGTCCTAGAAAGATGAAATTGTGTAAATTGTACAACAATATATGAGTCTGGGGTAGGAAAGTAAGCCCAGGGAGTGGAATGTTAATGAGAAACCCTGTATGACATGTGACTCAGTTCTAAAGTTCTGTGGCTGAAGTGCAAACAGATCATGTGTTAATTACTTACCATATGGCTATATAAATTATGGCTTCTCCATCATGAAAAATTGATACATTAGGAAGATTAACATGGTTTAATTTTTTTTCTCCCTTTGTTCTGGGCCTGTTGGTTAAAGGATCTTTAGGATCTTTAAGGATTGTCCTGTGGAGATACAAGAAAGGGAAAGATGACAAAGTATATCTTATTCTTTCCTCAAAATGTAGAATGATTAGAAAAGCAACACTTTCCTCCCTAACTCTTTCTGGGTTTGACTACCTCTGCAGATACAAGAAAGCCGAGGAGCGTGATCCCCTCATTGCTGCAATGCAGATATTCTTGCCTCGAATTCAGCAGCAGATGATCCATCTCCATCCCGACAACTCACATTACTCAGTTCTCCTACAGAAGCAAATCTTAAAAATTTTCTATGCACTTGTTCAGGTATAAGCCTAGGCACCCAAATAAATCAGAGTAGGAGGAATTCCACGAAGGTGGGATGGGAAACGTGCGCATGCATACTTCAAATGTGTTTCATTGATTTTAAAGTTGACTACATTCGCTTTGTGTGCTTAGGATTACCTAAACAGTATTTGAGTAAAGAAATTTGCTGAGACCCTTATTATGTAAGTGCCTCTGGAATGGGCATCCTTATGGTTTTGCTATGTATAACAAACTTATCTATGTACTCCTTTTGTGTGTGGGCTTTCTCTGTTTCTCAGTCAGAAGGAAGGGATCCTCTCTTGGGTGCTGTTGAGGAACAGAATCTAAATAGTCTTCTGTTCTTTCCTCAAGGGGCAGCACAGCATTGTTTTCACCCCACTGAACTTGTTAATCCCTTCTTACTCTTGCTTTATGTATTCCTGGAGACCATAGTAATGGTATACCCAGGAACCCAGAAGCTTAGGAGTTGGTTCATAACAGACTAAGGACACACATTGGAGTCTTCTGTGCAGTCATTGAGGCTGGGATCAGACAACCCAGCAACCCATGGTGGATTTTTTTTACTATTGTTGGTCTGTCCTGTTGTCTGAACCCAGTCGTGTGATTTTCAGTGTGGTGCTGGCCAGATCAGGGTACTATGCACAGCTTTTTTGGCCTAGGCCGCTGTGATGGGATTCCTGGTGAGTCTTCTTGGAGAATCCTGCACACTGTCACTGGGAGTGAATTAACAGGATGTCCATGTGGTTTCCGTGTATGATATAAGCTTGCCAAAGTGATGCAAAAGCTTTGCTGTGGCATAATTTAGCACAAAAGGTTTTGCAGTAGTAAACTTCTCTTTCCCTACTTGTACATGCGTAACTAATTTAGTCAGCACAAAGAAACAAATCCTAAAATGTCAACACAGAGAATGCATAGCACTGGTTGTTGGCTGCTGCCCGCAGGTAAGCAGTTACATGTCTGGCTATGTAGATTCTCATAACAGGATGGAGGGGAAAAGACATTAGTGAAGCTGTGCTGAATCAGACCAAGGTCCATCTAGCCCAGTATGTTTTCACACAGGATGTGAGTGCAACAGTGCCCTCCCATTCACATTCCCCACAACTGGTGTACATAGGCACATTGCTTCTGCTGCCCAAGGCCCCATAAATTCCCAGTGGAGCCAAAAAACATTCTTCAGTTGTATCATGTAATTAATTGTTTTTATCAGTAAAAGCAAGGAATAATTTCTGGCTGGGCACGTAAACAATGTATTTTGGAAATGCAGCACTCTTGGTTTTGTCTCAAATTCACACTCTCCTCTCTTAATTCCAGTATGTGCTGCCACTTCAGCTGGTGAATAATCAAACTATGACTGACTGGATGGAGATTTTCCGGATGGTCATAGACAGAAGCGTGCCACCTGTAAGTTGGCAATGTTACTATCTTAGCACTGAGGATCAGCAAATGGCATGTTTAGCAGGGAAAATATACTGAGTTTCCTTTCTCCATTGGTAATGTTTGTAGAGGTTTCTCACTTCTTTAGCTGTACTATACTGCCTTATAAAGAAGGCAGAATGAAGCAGGGGAGCAATTGCTCATCTTTACCACCCAGTCAACAAGAACATACTATTTTGTTTTTAATTAGAAAAAGGTAGACATATACTCAGAAAATATAACTTCAGGTGCAACCCACACCTGCTTCATACTTCCCCTTCTGGTCCCTCAGCCTCTGGCCAGCCCCAAGGTACCTTGGCCTTCCAAGGATCAGCCATATGCACAGTCATGTCTCTTTGGATTGTGCCTGATAAGAGCAGATCAGGAAAAGAATGCACTGCCAAGACTGATTGCAGACTCTCCCCCTTGAAGATTGTTGTTGTTAAAAAGTTGCTTACATTTGCCTGTAACATTCAAAGGGATCTGAAATTGAAATGAGCCAAGTGTAAACAGTCCTAAGGACCAGACTTGATTAACGTGGTATAAATATTGTAGACCATTGTGTTAAATTGGTGGTTACGGTTTTGATAAGTGTTCTGATGCTTGAATACCATATAGATGTTAGGTTATGTGTCAGAGAGATTGTTCTGTTGGTTTAACAATGTATGTTCCACCTTTGCATAAACCTGATATATCTGGTTAGAGACAAGCTTGAGAATTCATCATATGCAGAATCTCCAAGCTTCCATATAGCCTGAACTGCCTGATCCTGCCTGATCTTGCAAGCTAAGCAGGGTTGGCCTGGTTGAAATCTGGATGGGTGACTTAATGCTGTGAACCACCCAGAGAGCTTTGGCTAGAGGCAGTATAGAAATGTAATTATTTAATAATTATTATTGTTAGCACAAGTGTTTTGAAGTTTGTTATAGCACATGTAGAGTTTCTTATTAGCACTCTCTGGTAATAGTCATTTGTGTACTCACTGCTGATAGCAATTTCCTTGGCTTAGGAGACACTGCAGATTGATGAAGATGATAGGCCAGAGTTGGTGTGGTGGAAATGTAAGAAGTGGGCTTTGCGGATTGTTGCTCGCCTTTTTGAAAGGTAATAGGCTCGCAATAAAGTATAGAACTCCTACATTCTATTTTGGTTGCTTCTAAATTTGCATAATAATAACTTTTCCATACCTTTGATTTTAAAAGTTATCTCTTGCCTCTATTTCTGCCCTTACACTTGTCTTTCAAGTCATGGTTTTCTTCCTAAAAGGAGGAAAAGGCAGAAGACCAAGTAGGAGAATGGGAGGAATTATGAAAACAGCAGACTGTGGTTATGTTGGGTGGTAGCATTACATGTGCTCTCCTCTGCTCTGGTACAACCACAAAGAAGAGTTCAGAAGCATACACCTTTATTTGTTAACCACAGCATTTTCAGACATCCATGCCCAGACAGTCATAGCCAAAGATTCTTGAGCCAAGCCAACTTCATAAAGTATGGCAAGGATTGAGAACCTGTGCTGCTTGGATTGGAGGATCCCCATCAATGATCCAGCCCATCCTCCTCACCTCCATCTGGTTGTAGACAAAGCAGCATTTATTGCTCTCTAGTGTTGTGAGCATTCTCTCCCCCTTTCCCTTTCCAGCACATCTATACTGAAGGCTTTTCAAGTACAGTCCTTTTCTTTTTAGCTTGGCAAGTTTTTTTGTGATGCAAGGTAATTCATAAAAAGGCTGTTCTCAGCTAGCATCCCTCTGGTTTCTGGGATCATTTCTTGCCCATATGAAGAGTGGATTCCAAACTGAAGACCCCCCTCCTCCTTTCTGTTCCCAAAAAGCTTGATTCCACCCTCAGGGAGGTTCATGCAGCTTGTGACCAGAGAGCAGGATGTTACTTAATTTGTTTAAAATACATTTTCTCAACCAGCTGCCAAAGTGGCAATTTTGGCTGTTGCTAGGGCAGACACGAGAAATGTGACTCCCAAAGCTGTGTGTGGCCACTGAAGAAGGGAGGTAGCAGGTCCAGCAAGCCACAACACATGGCTGGTGGAGTCTGTTTGGCTTGGTGGAAGAGTCAGAAGTCTCACCGCTGTAGTTAGATGTCACCATTCCATCACAGAAGTAATGGCCCTTTAGCTAGAAGAGCCGTTCTCTGCACCCAGCCTGTTTGATGTGATCCATCTCTGACATTAGACTAATGATGACATCTATGCACAGCTAGCCCATGGGAACTTGTGACAGGTGTTTTTCATGTTGCATCCTGTGCTACAATGAACAAGTGATGCCCCAAGTGGCAAACCTGCATCATCCCAGCTCATGGCTTCCCTAGATTTCCGCTTTGTTCTGCTGATGCCGTTGCTTTAAGCAGTAGCCCTCACACCCAAGAAGTATAACCAAATCATAAGACAGAGGCGGAAAGAGAGAGCTCTAGAGTGTACAGGGCACTTCACCTATGTTGCTGTAATCCTTGCAGCAGCCCAGTAAGTTAGGCAGTGGTACGATCTGCATATTGCAGACTGAGGCTGAGAGAATGGTAGCTTATGTAAGGCCACCTAATCAGTGCATGGTAGAGGTGAGACTTTCCAACTCAAACTCAGGCCTCCTTCACACAATTGCAGTTGAGAAAACAAGCCATGTTGGCTTACCTCCCTGCTGCACTTGTTGGGGAACGTGTGTGTGACAGTTAACTTTATCAGTCTGGGCAGCAGTGTTGTTGTGTCGTGCAAATCCTGCCAGGGTATCTTGTTGCAGCACTTAGCATGCTAACTCCAACCCTGTAACAGTATATGCTTTCTGGGCAGCTTGTTAACCCCAGCAGCAAGCTACCCAGCTAGCTTTGCACAAGCTGAGTAGTGGCAAGCACAGTTACTGTGGCTTATTAACCACTCTGCAGTTGTGCAAACCAGCTCTCTTAAGCCATGATGCTATCCAGGCTCTCACCAGTAGCTGCTTGGTGGTTGCAACATCCCAGAATGTGTTTCTGAACTTCATTACTGGTAGATGTGCCCTTATGCATCTAACAGCTGTATAGCCTGAAGTGCCTGATTCTGCCTAATCTTGGAAGCTAAGCAGAGCTGGATCTGGTTGAAATCTGGATGGGTGACTTTGGGCGAACTGCCCAGAGAGCTTTAGCTGTGGGCAGTATAAAATGTAATGTAATAATAATAATCATGGAAGTAGGAATTTCTGATCTCCAGGGTGCCTTACAGGCCAAGTTTTTAGCAAATGTGTTGACATTCTCACATTATCTTCTCAGTTGGCCCATTTCCAAAGAACAGAACAATTTTGATCAGGTTAAGCATTCCTATTGTCATAACTTGATTATTGAGCTTTGAATGAGAAGTAGCAGGGTGTATGAGAATATAGAATAAAATGCATAAAAAGATTTAACTGTATGTATCCCTCTTTAGTATGAAGTCTACTTTTGTACATATTAAACTTCAGTTTATATGCTCATGCTTTGGATTCTTTCTTAAAGGTACGGTAGCCCTGGGAATGTAACAAAAGAATATTTTGAATTTTCTGAGTTCTTCTTGAAAACGTATGCTGTGGGAATCCAACAGGTAAAGCTTTGTCCTTTTTTTAAAAGCAGTATGATGGATTTACAGCAGCCTTCCCCAACCTGATGTCATTCAAATGTTGTGAACTGTAGTTCTGTACAGCCCCAGGCAGCATGGCCAATGGTGAGGAATGCTGGGAGTTAGTCCAATAATATCTGGAGGGCAGTAGGTTGGGGAAGGCTGGTCTGCAGCAAGCATTTTAGTCTGTCTCTTGTGTAGCATCCCAGTATAAGCCATTGATCCCAGTACTTGGGAGGTGGTAGTGTTGTTATGTGCCATCAACTTGTCTCTAATTTATGAATGAGAGCCCTCCAAAATGTCCTTTCCATAACATCTCTGCTTAGCAGTTCTTGGGAGGTAGCGGTTTCTGTGACAGAAGGAAAGACTAGCAGATGCAGCCCAGGAACCTGGGAAAAAGGCATGAGAGGTGGGTGTCCACTGCCTAGGAAATTTTTTACTAGGGTGTTTTAAGGACACCCAAGGTGCTTTGTGCTGACCTGGCATAAAGCATGTACAGGTTTAATATTTTGATCTCCTTTGCCAGGAGTAGCACTTTGAAAAGGGAATAGATGGGTGGGTCAGTGTACTCCCTCCAAAACTCCAGAGTGGGTGGACAGAACAGTATAATGCCACAGTCACTACTTATGCCTCTCTTATCTCCGAGATGGCAATGTGGTGGTCAGCTGCTACTCCCTAGGAGACTAGTTTTGGCCAAAATCTACCAGTTGCTGGTCCCCAATTTGACTGGTGGTATGCATTATAACAAAACTTGCCTCTAAGGTCCAAGTATTAGTCTGGGACTGTCTGCTGGGAAATCACTGATGGAAAAACTTTCATTTCTGTATCAATAGCATTACAGTCATGATATCTTGGATATTTCCCCACACTTTTCAGCAGGATAATAGCAACACCAACATCACTATTTTTTATCGCATCAACTTGTTAACTAAAGAGAAAAAGGTCCCCTTGGATGTATTAAACTTGGCTTTCTTCTGTTTATTGAAAATAATCGTGCAAATCTGTGTGTGCCTATTTGTTGGCTCCATGTTGAATTCTGAACCTATAAAAGTTTAGTAGCTAATTTATTGGTCTACAAAGAGAAAGCCTCAGAAATGAAAGTAGCTAAATTTTGCCAGAATTGGGTCACTAATAAAGGAAAATTAAGTCCTGAGTATTAATTGGCTCCAGTTTCCAAGATACAGCTTCAGGTCAAAATTGCATCAAAATAATTCAAAATTATGAGGGGGATGTGCAATTATGCTCCATAACTTTTCTGCAAAATGTGATATAGCAATGAGAATGGTGCCACACCAATCATTATAAATTTATCTTATTATTGATACCAATAACATAACTTTCCAATCATTTATTGGTTTTTCATGTAAAATTTTCATGTTTTTTGCATGAAAAACTGACAAGCTCTAACATCAGGCTCATATAACATTAAATGACAAACTGTGCCTTTTGGCTTTTCTCTTGTGAGCTGCAGTAGGACCATCCCTGGAGAGATTCCAGCAGTATTCGGCAAGCATGGATGGACTCAATTTTCCCTGGTATCTTTTCTCCATGCTTGCAATATCCTGGTGGATTCTCTCCCCATGCTCATCACTCACTGCCCCACAGTTCAAAGGGAAGTAGTATAAATGCTAGTGCAAGAAGTGAATTTTCAGTGACAGGTTTGCACCAAGTGCTTTTTAGGAACTAAACAAATTTTGTACATATTTTTCATAGTCATCTGCCTTGCTGTTCCCAAGAAACTCCAACTATGATTGGTGGGTTCACACCATTGGGACTGCAAAAGGCATGGACTTGTTCTTCTTGTTTAGCCAATGACGCAGATAAGTTGCACATGTAATGCAACAATAATGAGGGGCCCAACTCTTGTCCTGATCCCCTATTTTGCATCCAAAATATAGTGCTATGCCTTTTTTTCCCACTGCCATCATACCGCACTTCTGAGATGCAAGTGTAATCTCACCACAAATGTAGCAGAAGTTATCTGCATTGTTTACACAGTTTCAAGGCATCTTGGCTTCTGAGGGAAAATATCACACAACTGTTCCTTGGAAATGTTAGGCAATGACACTTTCACAAGCCACCAGATGTAACTGTATGATGCGTAGATCTGACCAAGACAAATGTGCCTTACAATAAAAGAACAATAAATTACAGTTAGGTAATAATCTTTATTCTCAAATTGAAGGAAAATTTATACACTTCCATGTGGTACCATTTTCATTGTTCTACCATATTTGTTGAGAAGTTACAAGGCATCATGATCATCAGACACCTTTTTCCCTTGTTGGCAAATATACATGCAAGTGTATAAATCTTTATTGTGAAATATCTTGAAACCTTTAGCCAACCAGCACCTTTATCACCTGTTTTCTAATTCTTCTAATCAAAATATGTAAGAATTAGCACATTTTATCCTGGAGGTCGTGTCATGAGGCTGGCGCTCCTTCCCATCAAAAGCAATCACTCCAGTTGATACTACAAATGTCTTTATTCTACATAGCATTACAATTACAGTCACATAAGCTTGAAGTTGTCCTCTTGTTCTGAACACATTCACCTTACATTGGATTTATGACCCCTTCAAGGTAGTCCTTCTAAAGGCAGGGCGGTATGACCCCTTTCCCTGCGTCGCTCAATCATTCTCGATTCTAGCTGTCCCAATCTGCCTGTGTGCCTGCATGAATGAACATCCTCTAAAGCTTCTTCCACGTTATCTCCTAAGTTCCCACATCCCATATCTGGAACAGGTTTCAAAAACTGTTTCTCCTTCCACATCCAAATTGTTCTCTTGATGTTCCGCTGTTTTGACTGCTTCCTGAACCTCCTTGTCTAATTTCTGATTTCCATTGTCTGTGCAGCTGGGGAGTACAGAGTGTTCTGCTGGCATTAGAACTAGCTCTTCATCAACACTCTGGTTCTCATTTATTTTTATTATTATTATTTTATTAAAACATTTTTATGCCGCCCCATTCGCCGAAGCCTCGGGGCGGCTTACAACAAAAAATTTAAAATAACATTTTAAAATATATACAATAAAATACAAATATACACTATAAAACAAGCCGCCCTGGCCAAATAAAATTCAATAATATTAACATTTAAAATACTGCTTAAATAAAAAGGTCTTCGCCTGGCGCCGAAAAACAAATAACGACGGCGCCAGGCGGACCTCTCTGGGGAGCGCATTCCATAACTTAGGCGCCACCGCTGAGAAAGCCCTCCTCCGAGTAACCACCCTCCTAACTTCTTCCATGGAGGGCTCCCGGAGAAGGGCCTCTCCCGCCGATCTCAGGGGGCGGCTGGGCATATAAGGATGTAAGCGCTCCTTCAGGTAACCAGGACCCAAGCCGTTTAGGGCTTTATAGGTCATAACCAACACCTTGAATTGGGCCCGGACTTCAATGGGAAGCCAGTGAAGCTGACGGAGAACTGGAGTCATGTGAACATAACGTCCAGTCCCCGTCAGCAGCCTGGCAGCTCTATTTTGGACCAATTGAAGTATCCGGACCGTCTTCAAGGGTAGCCCCACGTAGAGCGCGTTGCAGAAGTCCAAACGGGAAGTCACCAACGCATGTGTCACTGTCGCAAGGCAATCATTCTCCAGATAGGGGCGCAGCTGATGAATTAGCCGAAGCTGGAGGAAAGCACTCCTCGCCACTGCTGTTACCTGAGCTTCCAGTGAAAGCTCTGGGTCGAGGAGCACTCCCAAGCTGCGGACCTTGTCCCTAAGAGGGAGTGCAACCCCATTCAGGACAAGGTTCAATTCACCCTCTCCGAAGCCCGATCCACCAACCAACAGGACCTCCGTCTTGTCTGGATTGAGCTTCTCATGGGAAGTTTCCTCCTCTTGTGCGTGCGCCAAAGACTCTTCTGAGTCTGCATGCACAAACAGGTCGATAATTTCCCAAAATTTGTAGACCAGTGTAATTCTTTGCTTGTAGGTGCTCTAGGTATGTCACAGGGTACTCCTGAAAAGCAGGAATTTTTCAAACCAATTTGACATGTTTCCTTTTTTCCTTAGGTGCTCCTAAAAATCTTGGACCAATACAGGCAGAATGACTATGTTGCTCCACGAGTCCTTCAGCAGACATTAAATTATCTGAACCAAGGGGTCCATCACTGTATAACATGGAAGCAAATGAAACCACATATGCAGGTCAGTCTAAAAATAGCAGATAGTTCCCATAAAATCCTGAGGATTTTAGCTACAGCAGAACTTAGGAAAATATTAATGTTGCTGTTACTGTAATAGGAACACAGTCGCTTGAGCAGGAATAACCAACTAATACTATGATTGCTTTATATATCTTCATTTCTATCTCTGGTTTATGTATCTTCATTTCTATCTCAGTTTGTCTGTGGGACTCAATATGGACTGCATACATGGTATTTTTCCTCCCGGAAGGCAACAGCAATTTTTGGCCTGCAAACTAAAACTAAACATTATGCCTAGTATGAGATTGCTACCAAACCTAGAGAACCCACATTAGAAACAGAAACAGAGTGAGGCAGAAACTGGGCCATCTATTCTGACCCCAATTATCTTCTCCCTGGATAGATCATGTAAAAATGTGACAGCACTGCATTGTGAGTGTTTGAACCCTTGCAGTGGTAGCCAGTGACAAACAGCAGAAGCAGGGAAATGGGCAACATGAGAATATGGTGCCACGATTTTTATATTTCTAAATGTTAAAGGGAGAGAAAGAGCAGGAGATGCCTGGCTGCTGCTTTCACTGAAAGTGTTGCTTAAGCTGTAATGGGTAATTTCGGACATTGTGTGGTGGCCATTTTGGCCTTAACTTTCTAAAAGATTCTTGTGTGTATGTATGCAAACAATATTGAGATGTGCAGTGATTTCTCTGAAAGAGTGTGAGTGATCATCTGACATGGTTCACATAACACAACATCCCACTGTGGCTTAATTTGCCCATGGTGGTGGTTTTGTTGTGGGCACCCACAGCCGCCTATTCTGCATGGCTCTCGGCTTGTTGTTTCAGTGGCATGAGTTGTTTCGGGGTTGACAACCCTCAGATAACCCATGGCTTGTTTCAGGGTTGCCATAAGTCAGAGATGACTTGACAGCACACAATAACTAACCCCTGATCAACTATTAGCTGCTGGTGTTTGCACTGCATGGCAAGCGAGCCCCTGTTATGCCAGCTAATCCTGGGGAGCAGTACATCTCAAAAGGAAGCTTGTACTGCTAAATTGCCTCAAAAGGTTTGGGATCCTTTGCTGGGGTTTAACACGCTGCCAGTGGGAGAATTTGCCCTGGTTTCACATTCACACAGACACACACAGCACTTGGAAAGGAAAGTTGATCCCGTAGACAATATGGAGCAGGCACATGCTTTTAACCTGATGTTGCCTAGGCAGCAAAGATTCCGATTACATCCCAATCTTATTCAGTATTTCTGAAGAGATAAAGAGCTTCCTGCCTAACAGAGAAAGATGCTAACAGACAAAGAAAGGGAGTGGAGTCCATTGACTGTCCTGCAGGATAGACAGCAGACTTTTGCATGAGCAGGAAGGGTGCAAGATGTCCACAGGCTGGGGTGCCAGGCCTGCATTCAGAGCTTACTACCCTTCTATTTTCTAAGTCCCTGATCTTTATACTATTTCTCTCTGTACTTTTCATTGTGGGAATGAGGCATTTCCTGGGCTTATGCTAATGGTTTGGTGGGTGTTTGCTTCTTGATGACCTTGACTGTTGTTTCTATGGGTAAAAAGGTGAATTCCTTGTTCATGCTTTCTGGTTGCTGTTGATGATATAGTTTCCAGGGAGTCATCCTCTTTGCAGGGTCTCTTTTAAGGGATATGTCTTAAATGGGACCTTTTCTTTGCAAGAAGTCCAGCAGTCATTATTAACCATGAATTCTTACCCACACTGGCTAGCCCAGGATAGTAGGTCCTTCCTCCTAAATGTAAGCTTAGCCAATATGCCTGATGCCCTGAAAGCCTGCCCTGGCCTGGAAGCTTATCATTATGGCACTAATATTGATGTATACACACACTACAGTACCCACTATGCAAAAAGGCACCCACAGGCACCTGGCATGATGCAACCGCCCCTGTTAATAAACTAAGCCACTGTGGATTGTTGTGATGTTTGAACAAGCATGAAGGACATGGGCTGAGGAACAGTTTAAGTCTTATGGTAAGCACTGTCCTCTCTCTACCCATTCTTTCATTTTCATTTCCCATCTTTAGCAGAGTCCTCTTTTACTCCAGCTCAAGCTATGCTTTTCTTCCAACTGGAATATGCTGAAAGTTGAAGCCCAACACATTTTGAGGTCACCATGTTGGAGAACACTGCTTCATAGGAAAAAAACATTCTGCTTTCCCCTCCCCCCAAGTTTTTTTGAGAAAGGGACTTAATTTTAATCTTAAAGGGAAAAGATCTGGATTAATTACACTGGTCTACAAGGGAAAAGCCTCAGAAATTAAAGTAGCTAAATTTTACCAGAATTGGGTCCCTAATAAAGGAAAATTAAGTCCTGAAATTAAGTAAATTTAATTGGTTCCAATTTCCAAGATACAGTTTCAGGTCAAAGTTGCATCAAAATAATTCAAAATTACGAGGGGAATGTGTGATTATGCTCCATATCTTTGAATCTGGTGGATCTGGAATGGGCAAGTCCTCTCCATGGGGATATTCCACGGTCCACATCTTCTTTCTTCAGATCCCTTTTGCAGTTGGGGAAACAATGCAAAAATAGCAGTCTCTGCTATGATTGATGGGTTTCCTCCACACCATTGGGACTGTGAAAGGCATGGACTTTTTCTTCTCATTTATCCAATGATGCAGATAAGTTGCACATGTAATGCAACAATAATGAGGGGCCCAACTCTTGTCCTGATCCCCTATTTTGCATCCAAAATATAGGTGGTATGCCATTTTTACCACTGCTTTTTTGCACTTTTGAGATGCAAATGTAACCTTGTAGCAGAAGTTACCTGTGTTGTTTACACAGTTTTGTGGAATCTTGGCTTCTGAGGGAAAATATCATGCAACTGTTCCTTGTAAATGTTAGGCAATGACACTTTCACAAGCCACCAGATGTAACTGTATGATGCGTAGACAAATGTACCTTGCAATAAAAGAACAATCAAATACAGTTGGGTAATAATCTTTATTCTCAAAGTGAAGGTAAATTTATACACTCCCATGTGGTAGCACGTTCATTGTTTTACTGTTCTTTGTCAAGAAGTTATGAGGCATCATGATCACCAGAAACCTCCCTCCCTTGTAGGCAAATATACTTGCCTGTGTATAAATCTTTATTGTGAAATATCTTGAAACCTTTAGCCAACCAGCACCTTTATCACCGGTTTTCTAATTCATCTAATCAAAATATGTAAGAATTAGCACATTTTATCTTGGAGGTTGATAATTTCCCAAAATTTGTAGACCAGTGTTACCCAAGCAATAGTTTTACTGAAATAAGTAAGGGTCCCTCCCCTTCTCACTTCTTTTTTTCCTTTAGTTGAAGACATTTCCTTCCTGGCAGCTGGGCTCACTTCTAAGTGAGGGCCTCCAACTGCCTCAATCTTCATTTTCTATGAATGCCTCTGTGCTACAGTTTTGCAATGCAGTTCAGAGGCAGTTTTCGGAAATAAAGGCAGTGGGCGGCTGCAGACCAATACTTTCCTCTGTAGCACACTGATGAGAAAAACCAGAGAGAGCAGGTATGCTGGGGGTATACAATCAAAAGAACATTTACAGTTTATTGAGACATACAGGAAATACATGCAGCATGCAGGCAGTTCCCAAAGGGACTACAAAAATGGCATCTGTACAAGATGCTTTTATAACCTATCACTTACATGCACAGTTTGGGGGATCACGTACACAGTGTGGTAGAGGTACATTAGGGCAAAACAGAAAGGATTAAGATGACACCATACAGGAAGAACCTTCAGGACAGGGAAACCATTAGCATGTCTTAAGGAGTGCCACAACGGATGGGCCTTTCAGAACTCGAGGGCCTTCACATTTCTAAGATAGACCCCTGGGAAGCCAGACTTACAACATGGATTCCTGATGTGTTAGACTTTTTGCAGCCATATTAGGGCAAAGCTTTCGCTCATCTTGTCCTGACAACGCCCATTCACCAAGTAAAAAAAGGGAAGCCTGAGTGTTGGAGAAGTGAGAAAGTAGCTTGGCTTGGTGACAGTTGCTTGGACATGCCACTTGTCCTTTTGGGGCTACCTATATCTCCTCTGGCAACTGTTTTGTGGTAGTGCTCATGTCTGTGTCAGTTGTGCCCAAATGATTGCGTTCTTTCTCCTTTCAAGTTCCCCTTGGCAGGCAAAGAGTTGATTATCATTACATTGCACTGATACAAGGTTGATTGTGTTTTTTATAAGACTTTGTGTGAAGAAGTGATCTTCTCCCTGATGTGTTATAAAGATGAGGATGAAGAGCTATGGCAGGAGGATCCCTATGAGTACATCCGCATGAAATTTGGTAAATATCTGTGCCTTCCCTGGGTACTCTGTCCGTTCCGGTAATTAAATGTACTATCATACATTGGGGTAGATCTCAGAGTTTTGTTTGACCTGCATTTTTAAATCAAAATATGGTTTTATTACTATTGAGACGATCTGACAAAGAAAGATAAAACCAAAGAAGAATTGAACGGAAGATGTATGTTGGCTTTTCTATCTAATCGTCTCCCTTCCTCAGCAGTCTTCTTAAAATCCTTGAGAACTGTCACTGTAGAGAGGGATCGGAAGGAAAGTTTGAAAAAGTGAAAAGGAGAGAGAACAAAAATAGAGAGTGGAGGAGAGGCTGCAAGCTGTTTATTCCCATTAATAGTGCTACCTGGCCTCTATATCATGCCTTATTTTTAGCAACCATGATTTCTTGCATGGGATACAGACCTGGTTCTCACTTCTCCTGTGGTGGCATGGTCGCTACTTGTGCATCGATGTTTCTCGCAACCCTTTGAAATTGTTAATAGTGGGAAAGGCTGTGTGAGAAGGGCATAGAACTGTCATGACAGGGAACCCGCTTGAGAGCCTCAAACATGGACTTTGCTGTACATGAGTTACCACAGCAGCATGAATCGTTGCTGTACCGCAAGCAGGGTGATATGAAGTGCTATGAAACAAAACCTTAAATTTCCAGGTTGTCACACAAGAAAGTTCTCAAACAATTGAGCAATTTCCTTAGGGCACAATTCTGTGCAGGCTGGGCCTGCTGGGAGTCAGGCCCTTTTTCCTGGGTAAACTTGCATGGGCTCGCCCCTTCAACACGTGGCTGGTCCTTGTTCATTCGGCTTTGAAACAATATTTTCAAAATGTTCTTATTTTATTGTAACACTCTCTCTCACTTTCTTTTTCTTTTATATTTTGAAACCTTGTAAGATGTGTTTGAGGATTATGCATCCCCTACAACAGCAGCCCAGATTCTTCTGTATACTGCAGCAAAAAAACGAAAAGAGGTACTTATAATTCTGTCAAAACACAATTGCTTCTTTTAAAACCTGTGCAGCTTTGCTTGCTCAGTTTCTCAAAGACTGTTGCAGCATTTCTATTTGTCTTCCTCTGCTTTTTTAAAAAGACTATTCATTACATCCCTCCCCTGCCCTTCCCTTCTAGGAGTGGGTTGTGTGATCTTTCACTCCCTGTCCTTCCATGTTATCTTTGTGCCCAGCCGTTATCAGTTAATTTAGGCTAAAGGCTAGTGGCTGACTCAGGGTGCTCCAGCAAGGTCCATGACTGATCAGGATTAGAACTCATGTCTTCACCATTTAAAACTCTCATCACTACAGATTGACACTCAGTTGTCTTGCAGTTTAACTTAGTTTGATGTTGCTTAACATGGTTTTTAAACTGTTATTATTACCAGTACTACAGATTTTTCAATTACCTAAACTAACACCAAGCACCATGTAGTATTTCAGAAGGTCATCAACAAAAGCAGTTATCCTCTTCAGAGTCAGGAAGGCTCCTTTTATGGTTAGATGCACAAGCTTGTTTTTTCTTGGGTTTCATGACTTTTTTTTAATGTGCCAAGGCTTCTAGGACTGTTGTTTCCCTTCTTGATAACTAATGTTTTCCCCTCTGTGGAGAGGCATCCAGTATGAGAATTGTGGGTTGTAAGATAAGATGTATGTTATCTGAAATACATTCCTTAAAACAAAGCAGTCCATCTGTTCTAGTCTTAGTAGTAAAAATATCAATGTTTGTGACTTTTCTAGTTTTAATTTTCTGGTGGGGGGTATTTTTGGTCATTTGTTTAGGTGTTACCAAAAATGATGACATTTTGCTATCAGATCCTCACTGAGCCCAACATTGATCCCAGGAAGAAAGATGGGGCATTGCACGTGATAGGATCTCTAGCAGATATTTTGCTGAAGGTAAATGGATGAACACACACAAAATGTGTGTAGCTGGGTCACCAAAGATACCATTCTTGCATGTTAATAGTTGCAGTTATGAATACATGAAAACCTAATGCAAGAACCAGAATGCATGCATGTATTTCTGAATTTGATGAATTTTTTGCATTTTATATGGGATTTTAATGATTGTAAGCCGCCCCGAGGCTCATGCGATGGGGTGGCATATAAGTTGTCTAAATAAATAAATAAATAAATAAATTTCTGAGAAAGTGGGAGTTGTTCAGCAATGGTTCTTATTTGCAATGGTTCTTCTGTTCCACTTTTACATGTATCTCTGATGATAAAGCTGTGCACAGCAGGAGCTGCTTAACTTGCCCCTAAATCTTGTTAAAAGATATGCATTCTTTGTAAACAGGCATGTTTCACAAGAGTGCCCTGAATACTTTGGCCTGAAAATGTAAAGTAAAAAGGAATCAGTAGGCTATTGTTGAAATAATTCCCTGTTGATGTCAGGGCCGGAAGCCTACAGCAGGTCTTGACCATGAAGGCTATGAGGCAGAGAATGGATTGCCCCTGTGCATCTGGTCTAAACAAAGAAAGGAATTATAGGGATGGACCACAGCAGCAAGGGGCAGGACATAGAGCGGGCCCATGTGACTAAAGCTTCCAGCTTCAGTTTATCCACTGGCCCAAGCAAGGCTTTCTGCTCTGTGCTGCAAGCCTTCTTAGCCTCTGAATCGCTTCATCTCCAGCTTGTCCAAAGTTTCCTGCTGAACAGGCACCAGACTGACAGTGAAGGCCTCTGGGTTGTATCCAGTGCTGTCTTTCCACAAACGGAAGGGAATCTCTGGTGGAAGAGATTTTCCCTCCCCTGATCATCCCCAAAACTGCTCCAGGGGTTGGGAGACCTTCCAAAGCAGATTTGGGGTGCTGGTGGAGGCTTCAGGAGAGAAGAAAGGAAGGGGTAAGGCCTGCTCTGCAAGGGTTGTATCCAACCCTGTCTATTAAACTTGACACCTAAGGCTGCTTCAAGTGCTAAAATTTTAGTCTGTAGATTGCATTGCACTGAATTGCCCCTGCCTTACAGTATTCCCAAACACATACTTTAAAATGCAGTGTTGATACAGGTACATGTCCGGTGACAGTTCTTTATATTATTATTATTATTATTATTATTATTATTATTATTATTACATTTCTATGCCTCCCCTTGCCGAAGCCTCGGGGCGGCTTACAACACAATAAAATACATTGAAATACAATAGCACATAATAAATTACCATTAAATACAAAAATACAAAAAATACATTGAGTTACAAACATAATAATATAAAATTAAAATTATCAGTATAAAATAAGTAAATAAATAATATAGGAGGAGAAAAGAGAAGGAAGAAGAAGTTGCCCTGGCCAGATTATACAGGTAACTCAAGTCATTGGGTCATGTTGTGACTGTAAATTCCAGTAGAATGCTTAATGAATTGCCATAGCAAATCCCAACTAATGGGTGCATGTGCCGTGCATGTGCCATACAGGTGCACATTCCAAGGTGTAGCCACCTAACTAGTCTGAATCTAACTAGTCTGAATCTCCTTGTGCAGGCTCTGCTTGCTTTGGGATCATGGCAGCATTGTAATATTTCCCTTTCAACCTGAACAGTGGAATGTTTTAGATCTAGTGGTTTCTAGATCAACACCTCTGCATGTCTTTGAGTATATAATATCAGAACGTTGTCTTAGAAATGGAAATAGAAATTAGAGCCTCTTTTGGTTTGTATTATGCCATTACTCCAGAGGAGTTAAATCTTAAGAAATAGATCAATGTGACTATATCAAAATGGAAGTGTAACTTATTTCTGTGACTGCTCTTAATTCCCTTCAGAAGAGTGTATTCAAGGATCAAATGGAGCTGATGCTACAGAATCACGTCTTTCCATTGTTCATGTCGAACCTGGGGTATTTGAGAGCAAGAGTAAGTGACTAGAACATGTCATTTGGTGGTGATTCGTTCTTCACATTGGCCAGAGCATGCCCTCTGCTACTGGGGGGCTATTTAAACTTAGTTGTGTTCAGAAGTCTGAGGGTGTGAAGGTTGCAGTGTGGCCCATTTGCAGGTGATCTTTGGTCCTTGTTGGTCCATTTTGCTTAGATGTTTAGTGTGCTGTTTTATGGCTGAGACTCAAAGACTGAGTCCTTTCAGACCCTTATTCCCACTTGCTGCCTCTTAAGCAAGGTTTGCTGCAGTCTTACGGCAATAGCCTGCAGAAATGCCTTAGACATACAGGGTTCCTATATCTTGTTCTATGATTTTAATGTGTTGTATTATTAATATTGGGTGAGGATGCATGAAATTGTGCTGTATAAGCCTCTTCAAGATATATATTAAATAAATGGAGAACTGCTAGCACACAATTAAGTTCTATAAATGTTATCAGAACTTTGGTACAGCCTGGTTTGTTTTCTTCTTGTGCCACAGTCCTGTTGGACGCTTCATTCATTCAGCACCTTGAAATTCCACAATGAACTTAATCTAAGGAATGCAGTTGAACTAACAAAGAAGAGTCTGATTGATGACAAAGAAATGCCAGTAAAAGTAGAAGCTGCCATAGCACTTCAGTCCTTAATAAGTCATCAGGAACAAGGTTTGATTTTCATATTGTTCCCATTTTTTATCTAGGTCATGTCCAAATGGGACTTTACTCTTCCTTTTGTTTCCTCATCAGTTTTTTCCTGTTTGTTCAATTATATCATTAGGTTATGAACTGCAGGCAGAGATTGTCCCCTTTGACTTTTGTCCCCTTACAATAAGCTTCTTGGAGTACAAACCAGTCTAGACTTCTAGGTATCATGTACCTAGTTTTTAAGTATTTTAGAAATAATAAATGTTACAATTATATTAAAGTAGGTTTGAATAGGCATGGTACATGATTTGGAATATATGTTGAAATATTTCCTATAATCAACCCTATTAATGACTGTAGTGCAGACACTGGAGTTAAAATAAACACCTGTTGCAGCTGCACTAACAGGTAGAAGTGCTAGAGCAACAGAAAAATTGTGCTTGCTAGTGCAACTCAAGGAACTATATGAAACAGTTGCTCCCAGAATAGAACAAACCAGTGAAGATCATAGAAGGGGGCTCTGTTGGCTTGTCCCATTCCAGAAGCAGTAGTTTGGAGTAATTTCTTGGCTTGTGCTACCCATCAGTTCCAGTAGCACATGTTTAGAGCTGATGGATTGCCAGGATGAGATATTGCCCATAGTACGTTAGGCTGAAGTGTGCAGCCTCTGGAAATCATTAGTTATTCTCCGTGGCCCCTGTGCATCACACACATGGGCTTTTGTGCCCACGCAGAGCCTATTGTCGGGAAGCTTCTATAGCTAAGCATTCATTTGAGTGGAAGCCCCTCCCTTCCAGGTCCCAGGAGGTATGGGTGGGCCTCCCACCCATCCCCTTGGTTCCTTTTCGACTGCCGTCATGCCTAGATTGGGAATCGCTTTGTTCTCCTCTACCTTAGGTACTCCATTTTCCATCTAATATCAGAGTAGTGACCATGAGAAGCTGTTTTCATACTCTTGTGTCTTTTTAAAAACCCAAACGTGTGTGTATATGCGTGCACAGTTCCAAATCAAATGTACTGTACAGCATTGTTGTATTCTCTATTTTGTATTCTCCAACACAATTTAATCATAAAAGTGCAGCATGCATGCTGCTTGTTTTTAACCCTGGTGATCCTGACCACATACATTCATCCTTGACTCTTCTTTTCCAATTGTGAGACCCTTCTTTAATTGTCAAGCTGAGTTGAGTGCTAGCCATGCAAGTGGGTGGAAGTGGAGATTTCCGTAATGACTCAAGTACCAGTAAGGCTCTGGTGGCATGTTGCAGTTTCTCTGGGAAAGGGGTTTGGCAGGAAGATGTTTCTCTGCAGTGATAGATTACAAGTTCCCTGAAGGGTCTGCTAGTTCCCCCCTTTTCAGCTTTTTGGCAGATCTCTCTGGCCTACACCAGTAAAGTGCGTAAGGAAAATGAAGCTGACAGACATGTAGACATATGGCACATTCTGAGAAAAGATGAAAGTGTGGTAACCAAGGAGCATAAATGTAGTCAGGAGTTTCCTGCACCTTCATTTAAACAAGCAGATGTTGTCAAGATTGACTTCTTTTATCTTTTGGGATATATTGCTGGTGTGTGTTACTCTTGTGTGTGCCTCTTTAGCAAAGGAATACGTTAAGCCCTACATCAGGCCTGTTATGCAGGAGCTGCTGCGTGTTGTTCGGGAAACTGAGAATGATGATCTCACCAATGTAATCCAGAAGCTGATTTGTGAATACAGCCAGGAAGTAGCAACAATTGCGGTTGAGATGACACAGCACCTGGTAAGAGATGGCAGGGCTCCATTTCAGTTTCAGAACGCCTATGTTTTAGTTCCAGTTGACTTTCTTTGAACTATTTTCAGTCTACCTGTTTACCAAAATGAGTATGAAGCATTTCTTCTGGACTAAATGTTCCTCTTAGGAAAATGCACATCAGTGGAAAAAGAAAAACGGGGTCAGCTAAGCCTGCCCTCTGTCCTGATGATCCCAGTGCCGTTGTAAGGAGCAAATTTAATCCATCTCTAAGTATGTTCCAGAGAGCTTATCTAGGTCATGTCCAAATGGGACAGTATGTTGAGAGTTGACTTTTATATAGGCCAACATATTTTGACCTTTTAACATAATAAACTGAATAATCTTATTTGGTATTAAAAGAGACTAAGCAATCAAAGATAAGTCGCTCTTGTAAACTGCTACTAATATTTCTTTTAAAAGATTAATAGGCTGTCAGTGCACTCAAACCTGTATTTCCCCATCTCAGTTTTCAGCCATTTATTTGCTTTTTCCATGGACTATAAATGCATCCCTTATATGAATGTCAGTAGTAGTAGTAGTAGTGGTGAATCCCTTGCTTAACAACTAGAGCAATATCTAAGTATATGTGATGGCTTTTTCTTCTATTCCTCTTTTGTATCTCTCTCCTTGCATTTCTCTCTCTGGTGCTAAGCATTAAATTACTATAAGTTTCTTGGAGTACAAACCAAACTAGACTACCAGGTGCCCAGTCCGAGTGGACTCCGGGGGATGGTGGAGGACAGGAAGGCCTGGAGGAATGTTGTCCATGGGGTCAGACACGACTTCACAACTAACCGCAACAATAATAATAGTAATAATTTGTGTGCTCCAAAGTTACCAAGTTCATGTTAGGAGCTTGTGGTTCATATCATGAGCAAGTGTTCTGCAATGTTTCATATTTCTGATTTCTGTAGGCAGAAATATTTGGCAAAGTTCTGCAGAGTGAAGAATATGAAGAAATGGAGGATAAAACTGTTATGGCCATGGGAATCCTGCACACCATTGACACAATCCTGACTGTTGTGCAAGACCACAAGGAGGTGAGCCTTCTCTCCCACTTCAAAGCTGTACAGGCCAACAGAGGCTCTCTGGCCCTATCAATCTTGCAGCCCTTTGGTATGCAACTTTCAACCATTTGTTTAAAATAAGTACAGTGGTACCTCGGCTCACAAACGTCTTGGTTCACGACCAAATTGGGTCTCGAACAAAAATTTCATGGAAATATTGACATGGGTCACGAACTCCACATTGGGTGGCAACCAAGATTGCAGCCATCTCCCCACCCTCCTGAGTGCGGAGTTGGCCACGATCACAGTTGCATTCATGCAGGGAAGATGGGTTCAATCTCGGCCATCTCCCCACCCCCCCCAGTCAGCACAATTACAGTCATCTCCCCACCCCCCCAAGTGAGGCGATGGCCACAATCATGCTGGGGGTGGGGGGGGGGAGATGGCCGAGAGCGCACCTGTCTCTCCCTCCCCGAGCATGCCCCATTCGCACCCATCTCTACCTCAGTGCGCCCGCGATCACGCCCATCTCTTCCCCCCCACAGAGTGCCAGGATGACGGGCGCGTGCAGGGATGACAGGAGTGATCTCGGTCATGCTTGAGGGGGAGGGTGGGGAGATGGCCGCAATCTTTGTTGTTCTTTGTCACTTTGCTTCACATTTTTCTGATTTAAAAAAAATGGTTACAGAACGGATTAACCTTATTTACAGTGAAGCTTATGGGAAATTTTAACTTGGCTCACGACCAATTTGGATCACGACCTGAGTCCTGGAACGGATTGAGTTCATGAGCCAAGGTACCACTGTATTTCAAAATCTTCAGGATCTGAAGGATTCCAAGCCCCCTGTGGAGGGCAGAGGGAACACAAAGGCAATGATCACCGGTGCTCCTCCTGCCTTGCCTCTCAGCAAGACATCCAAGTTCAGCCACTTACGAGTAGCTGAGGCACTTCAGAGCAGGAGGGAGGGACATGGAGCTGCTGTCAAGATGCATGATACCTTGGTGGGATCCTCTCCTCCCCAGGATACCCCCAAATCTCTGTCTCCAAGGCTACCCTTGTGACCACAGAGATGCATCCAGAGCTGTCCTTTCCGTGCGGGCTGCAGGGCAGGAAGGAAGCACCCTGAGTGCAGAGAAACGGTCAGAGCAATTTTGCAACCTCACAGCTGGGTCTCCAGAAATCCCTGTGACTGCCCAGGTGCTGTCTAGCAGCCAGAGGATTGCATGGCACATGCCTTAAACCCATTAAGTATGAATTTTACTGCTGGCTCCTCAAAGTTTTAAATGTTTAAAATATGCTTAAATGTTTGACATTGTATTCTTTTGTTACTTCATTGTTGCTGCTTGGTTTTATGATTGTAAATCTCCGAGGGCATTGGCCAATTAGACAGTATACAAATCTAAGAAATAAATGAAGCTTTTATAGAAGGCGTTTTGCTTTAGGGAAGCTGCTCGATTAAACAAAAGCCTCTTTATTTTACTGTGAAAATTTAAAATTGTACGGTCTTTCTTTTCTTCTAGATAACTCAACAGTTGGAGAGCATTTGCTTGCAGATTATCGGTCTCGTTTTGCAAAAGCATGTGATAGGTATTTCTTTTATTTTTAAGTAGACTTTCTAGGGAATATTATGTCTTCTTTTATATGGCAGAAAACAAATTTGCAATAGCATATAATACACCTGCTTGTTCACTTTTCTTCTCTGCCACTCGCTTCAGATTGATCTTAAATAGAAGTAATTCTGAATTCCATTTTTGTCTTAAGTTTAACACAACCAGTGCCACACTAGGATTATAGGTTGTTTTCCATTTACTAGAGCGCAGACTGGCAGTCAGGCTGTTGAAGAGCCAGTTCAATTCTGCATGAAGCCAAGGGTGGAGCTGTACATAATGTCTGGGTTCAAGCCGAGTCTCAGGTTTGCTGGATGATGCTAAGCAAAGTATCATCTCCTTACCTTGGATTATCATCTGTTAGACAAAGCACAACATAACAGGTGAAACCCATGGGGACATTTTTGAGAGAGCCTTTTGGAGTAGAGCAGGGGTGGCAAACATTTTTTGACTGAAGAGGCAAAGCGCAACTTGTCAAGTGTCCCAAGGGCCACATACCATCAGAGGTGGGGCTAAGGACACGGTGGGTCTGGCCAAAGTAAAGTGGATGGGGCTATATGTGCCAATTTGGAAGCCACAGCTTAGTTCTCTGTCCACAGCTCAGTTTTCCTGAAGTTTGGTTCAAGAGGGCATGCTAGAATTTACAAGTGCATCTTTCTAGAAACTGAAGTCAAGTCTGTGACAGTCATTTCCTCCTTCATAGGGGATACTGGAGAGAGATTCAGAGTGTTGGAGAATATTGATTTGGACCCAGCATTTATTTTTCTATGTATCTGCCAAATACAACTTTGCTTAAGCTCTTAATCGGATCCATGCAATGCTGATAAATGCTTTACAGTCATGTCCGTGCCTGACCTGGCAAGTTGGCTGTCTGTCTATCACAGAAGCACATAATGCATGTCTGAGTGTTCATGTTGCTGTTTCAGTAGTTAAGAATAATGCAGATTGCTACAGTTGGACAAAATCTCCAAACTTTCCGTTCCAGAACTTGTCACATCTGTATGTGATTTTTCTTCCTTCAGAGTTCTACGAAGAAATCCTCTCTCTGGCATACAGCTTGACATGCCATCTTATTTCACCACAAATGTGGCAGCTTTTGGGTGTCCTATATGAAGTGTTTCAGCAGGATTGCTTTGAGTACTTTGCAGGTAATGAGCTCAGCAGCGTGTTCTGGAAGGGAATTGATGGATGTTATAATAACCCAGGAGACTGGAGCAGTAAGAGTTGTACAAGTAACCCAACTGAAGAGTAATGTTGCTCAGAATGCTCTGATGGAGTGTATCAACTGTCAATTTGTCTCAGCTGAGTGAAAAAAAGCCGGGATTGTTCCTTAGTTTTACAGATTCAGGCTTGGATAAGCGCTGGAGAACCACCACCTTTATTATCCATTTCTATCAGGGAGGAAAGCAATCTCCATCAGCGTCTCTGGGGAGATGGAGTAGAGAGAAGCCTTTCCACTCCTTCCTGTGGGTCAGCAAGAAATGTCATATTGCTGAGAGAGCAGTGACATATGTTGGGCTTGCAGGGATCTGTGTGTGCCTCTGAGCCAGTCTCACACAAACCCTTTGGAAACAAACAGGTTGTGCACCCCTCGTGCGGGAGGAATGTTCCAGAATCTCAAATGAACAGTGGGTGATTGGGGGGGGGGGGGAGCCACAAAAGTAGCTGTTACCTTATTGCATTTCCTTTTACTCTCACAATTAACTATATCACTTGTGTCTGCCTAGATATGATGCCTCTCTTGCACAACTATGTCACTGTCGATACCACTACTTTATTGTCGAATCCCAAAAATTTAGAGATTATTTACACTATGTGTAAAAAGGTAAGTGTTGCAGTTGTACATACCATTCATACTGAATATCCAAAATGAGTATGAAAATGTGATCTACAAATGTATGGCTGCAACTGGTCACATTTAGCCTGGCTTTCAGCATATATTGATACAGTTTTTAATTTCACGTGTGTGCATATGTACATGTGTGCACATGTGTTACATACATATAGTCTTTACTTCCCATTGCCAAATTCCCAACTTCAGTGGGTTTGTATCTTCACGTTATTCTTTGCTAGGACTGTTATGAATATAGCACTTTCGTGTGCAGACTTCGTACCCGCTTTTTAAAGCAGAATATTTATGCATGATTCATGGGGTTCTTCCTGTTGAAAGAGTTGCATTTCCAACCCTGTTGCTTCTTCCATTTTGGCACTCTGATGTTCTGCATGCAGGGTGCCAACTTCTCAAACGGGAGGAGTGATATGCATACCACAAACGCTCTCACATGAATCTTTTTTTTTTTCTTTTGCCTTTTTGGTTGCCACAAGACTGTTCTATTTTGCTGCTCCATAGTGTTTCTTCTAGATTATCATAATCTTCTGGATTATTCTTGGTTGCTCTTCCTAGTGATCTTGTTCTGGAAAACCCTGCCAGGGAGAGGGAAGGCTGCCTTTCTCTGAAAGACTGCCACCTTTTGACTTCTTTTGTCTGAGCAACAAGAAACTTTTTGCCCCGCCATGTATCTTCTCTGAGTGTAACATGTGGACATCTAAACAACATAGATGGATCTGTGTGAGAACTGAAGGTCCTGCCTCACTTAGATATTTTAGACTAAATGAGCATTTGGTCTTTTCCAGCTCTGAATAAGCCCAGAATGCAGAATAGTAGAAGTGCATTCTGATTTCTTTTTATTCCCTGGACCTATTAAGCATAACATTTTGAGAACTTGCTTACAGAAAGTGTGGTCTGGAAGATATTGATCCTGTATTATTTTCAGTGGGGAGATCCTTGAGTGGCAGTGAACTCCATGGAAAAGAATAAAACATGTGCCTTTGTGGAAATGCATAAAAATCTATACTAGTGAGTCTTACTGAGTGTACTTTATTTGGGAGTAATTAACATTCCTGTTTTATTTGCCCTTTTCTTACTACCCAGTTATTCAGCACAATAAGAATCCATCCTGAATGGAAAACATGTTGTCAATATTATGAGAAATCTAAAGCATATTTTCCAATTGGCCATATGGGACATGTGTATTGCCTTCTGCTTATATCTCTCTTTTCAGTAAAAGTACACTAGTCTGTCTTTCCATGTTTTCTTGCCAGGTATTAACAGGAGATGCAGGGGAAGATGCTGAATGCCATGCAGCCAAGCTCTTGGAGGTTATTATTCTACAGTGCAAAGGGAGGGGTATTGACCAGGTAATTTGTCATATGCAGTTTTTTCTTCTCATATGTTCTAAGATGCAGTCAGGGTTTTGGAAAATATCCGAAAATGGGATTTAGGTGGGATGGGACTTGTTTGTTTTGGTGTTGTTTGGATGGGAAACAGGCTGGCATTGGGAAATTCCGTTGAATGGAGTGTTTCCCTTCTCTCTGGCATGCCTCACTTGCTTGAGCCATCACAATGGTGTTTCTCTCCTGCTTTTCTTCAGACAGTCATTTCTTCAGATGAAATGACTAACAAGGCTAGAAAATAAAAACATTACAAAACAAAGATACCAACAATATGGAAACACTGACAAGGCTTAGAATGGCAGGGTAAAAATAAAAGCACCCACTAAGACCTGTTTATAACAAAATTAAAATAGCTTTCCATCGAAGCCTCAGACCCAAACTGTTTCTAAAAAGGGAGGCCTTCCCATTAGGGAAACAACCCATAAACAAGGGAGCAAGATGGACCCTCCCCTGGAAGTAGCTCCAGTGCAGCCACAGGAGGGCTCTCCCCTTAGTCTGCACCAAGCATCCTTCTGGGGATGTTGGGCCATGCACAAGGAAGGCCTCACTAACATCTGCAGACCATCGTAGTAAGTGGGTGGATCCAAACAGTTCCCTAAGTCAGGCTGGCATCTGCTGCTGCCTTGCAGCCCAGCACCATCTATAGCAGTGGTTTTCAACCTTTTTACCTTAGGGTTTGGCAAAAATAGGAAAATTATGTCTCAGGGATCACTGAGGCAGAAATAACAAGCATTATATACAGGAGAGTGAATTGGGCCTATCAGCCTTCCCTTTGTTTCTGACTCAAGTCACTCTGTAAGCCAAAGCTGCACCATTTATGCTCGTGAGAGAGAGATTTTGGCGGACATGGAATAACCCCAAGGGTTGCAAATCCTGAAAAAAGCTAGGGGAAAAAGTAAAGGAAAAGGAACCCCCAAAACATCCTATAAGGCATGGGTCCTTAAACTAAGCTCTTAAGGCCGGAACTGGCCCACCAGGCCCATTTAACCGGCCCACCCCAGAGGTTTTGCACACACCGTGTGCGCGGGTCCACAGCTTGCTTATGAGGAGGTCATTTTGGACTCGCTCAGAGAAAACGATCTCCTTGCAAGCGAGCCGGCACCTTGCTGTGTGCGCGCCCCCGTCCCTGCCTCGCATGCGCACACGTGGGCGTGCCCCCCCCCCCCCCCGTCGGCACTGCCTTGGCGGCCTGCGCCTAACACTGGCACCTGTCAACTGGCTCCCTGTTGAAAAAGTTTGAGGACCCCTGCCATAAGCACTTGGACATAAAGAGACTTGACTCACTGACAGGAAAAACTGATGAATGGGTTACAGTCAGAATGGAAAAGGAAGAGAAGGAAAAGAGCATAGATTTTTAAAAGGGTGGAAAGAACCATCTCATTGTCTGGGTATGTCATTTTCTCATTCACATTGAAAAGCTATTTTTAAATGTCCCATAGAAATCAGTGGAGCAAAATACAGTTTTGATGAAACTGGGAGTGGGCATTATTTTCTTGATTTGCCCATCCTACCGAATAGAAAGGAAAAAACGAAATAAGGCGGTGAACACTGTGTAAGCTCAGAGGACATGAAATGCTGGTTGTTGGGGTGAGGAGGGGAATAGAAAAGTGGGGAGGGGCGATGGAATTTAGTGGTTGGAGCCTTGCACTCCACACTCCACCCTGTTGTTGCAGGGCCCCATTTAGTTTTCCACGATGCTGTTTTAGTAACCCATGTTTACTTTGTATGAGTGCAAGTAGCTGCATCAGTTTAAGCCTCTCCTCTGCTGCCTGGTGCAGCCATGCCTCATGGGCGGCGAAACAGATGGAGTGCTGGTGGAAGGCAGTACAGTTCTTTGAATATTGTGAGCTGCTCTAAGTATCCCCCAGTAAAATGGAAAAGCAGGGCAGACGTGCTGTAAATTCAGTCTCTGTTAATCCACAGAGCTGTAGGGCTTTCCCAAACTCTCTTGTCTGGCAGTGCCAAAGAGTATTCCCCTCTGGTACCTGTCAAGGGCTCTCTAGGCAATGTATCTTGTGTCTTCCACAGCAGCCTTCCCTCCATATGTTTTGGGCAGCAGCTACTAGCATTCTTGACCAGTGGCTATCCTGGCTTAGGCTGATGCGAATTGAAGCTTTGAAAAAATCTGGAGGGCAGCAAGTGGAGAAAGGCTGCCCCACCAAGTCCCTGAATAGAGTGCAGCTGCTGCTGCTGCTATCACAGAGTGAGTTTGGGAGGGGAGGTCTTCTCCCCTAAATTGCTAGTTGCCCAAGGCCCTTCCTTCGTTCCTTGGGAACGTTCTTCATAGCTGCTGAGAGGGGCAAGCTGGGGTGCTACTTGCGGCTGATCAGATGGGGAAGGGGAGACCAGCAGGGAGATTGAGAGAGTGAAGCACAGCCGTGGCGAAGGAGAACCAGAATAGCTGGGGAAGGAAGAGGTAGGACGTGGTAGTCCTACACCTCTCAAACACACTTCACCTTTCCAATTGACAGGCTCTTAGGGGATCACCACCGTCTTGATGCAACACATCCACCAGGTGGCACTTGGGGAACATCATTTAAAATACTTCCATAGAATCTCACCTTTCTGCCAGAGTGGCTTTCTGACTGCCAACAATCTGCAACTGGATTGTCCACATTCTAACTTGCACAAATGCTTGGTCACATGGTACAAGTGGCTAGAAGAAAGTCTCAGGTGACAGAAAGACAACTCCTGGCACATCACATATGTGTGGACTCAGTGTGGGACAGAATGGATTGTGTGCTTAAAAGAATTGAAGCAAATCTGTACCAAGTTAACCCGCACTATGCAACAAGCAAAGTTGAATATTGTGGCCACTGTATATTATGTGGATTAAGCAGAATTGTTGTGTGTAACCTCATTTTGCTAGCTGTAGAGAGGAGCAAAGGAAGCAATGATACTTTTACTTTTTGAAATTTCATTTTGTGGGTCTTTTTTTGAAATGCATAACCATAAGGTCTAGAAACATGCCTTAAAAAACATAGGAAAAAAAGAAAGCTGAAGTGCTTAGAGGGCAGAATTCTCCATCTAGTATCCCATTTTGTAGCTTTGTTATTGCCACTTGAAACTTCTGTAAGGAATTGTGTATTATGTTATTGTATATGCTGAGGAAAGGGAAGTGTAATTCTCTTTCAGGGACTAAATCCTTATTAAAGTTCTCTAAACTTATTTCTTTTCTCTTATTTCTCACTGGCTTCATGGTCCCACATCTCCTGCCTCTGCCTCCAGTGCATCCCACTCTTTGTGGAAGCAGTTCTAGAGCGCTTGACACGAGGGGTTAAAACCAGCGAGCTTCGCACCATGTGTCTCCAGGTTGCCATTGCTGCACTTTACTACAATCCTGAACTTCTCTTGCATACTCTAGAGAACATCCGATTCCCTCACAACCCAGAGCCCATCACTGCACAGTTCATAAACCAGTGGATGAATGATACGGATTGTTTTCTTGGGTAGGTGCTTTCAAAACTAGATGAATTTGGAAAGTAGCTTTTCTACTTGGCTTTGATTAGCAGTAAGATGGTCTGGGAAAACATGAAAGTGTGGGGGAAAACTTTTCTTGCTCTTTCTTTCTGCAGCTCTATAGTGTACCATGATTTTTTTTTTCACAACAAAGAACAAAATTTCTTTTTAAATCACAGTGACTGGTGCTGTTCAGTCACACTGTAGCTCTGCAGTAAACCAACTGCTCTTAACCTGGAACCCTCTGAATGAGTTAGGCTATTAGTCCTATCATTTCCTGCTACTGTGTTTTCTGGGAATGATGGGTGTTACAGTACATATATCCAGAGGGCCCAGGGTGGGAATGGGGGTGCTAGAAAATCCCACTAAAGAAATGATGCTAAAGATTCCATCTCAGCCATGTAACTAAGTACCTTGATTTAGTGGATTGCAGGCATATTGCTGATGGCAGTGGACTTGGTCAACATATACCTGAGACGGACCATCTTGTTTTGCATGAAGATAAAAGCTGCATGATGGTTGCTCCCATATCCAGCTGTATCTCCTTGCACAATGAATTCAAATAGCCCTTTCCAGACGGGACCAGGCTGCTCTCCATTTATGTCACAGGAACAAAGTGTACACTTTCATGCCAACCTAAAGTGGGGGTTGCTTTTGCTCATTTTGTGCCCAGAAAAGTGGGAATGTAACCCAGCGCACCTGTTTAACAGGGTGCCTGTTGGGTGTGCGTGAGCTCTGACTGCTTCTTCTCATGTGAATTGCCTTGAGGGCACCTTTGGTGCTTCAAAATCAACTGTGAGTGAGAGGTGGTGGCGGCAGGAATGGGGGTGAGCCTAGTGGGTCCTGAGTTTAGGGGCCCAGGTGGACACCCGTGGCTTGCTGGCCAAGGACTCTGGGTCTGCAGCAGCTGTCTGTGAACACATGTTCAGAAACTTTGTTCACTTCCAAAGCTCAGTTGAGAATAAGGGAGTCCTGGCGTGCCACTTTTTAGCACACTTCATTTTTCTACATTGTCTGTGATTTGCTGAAGGTGAGATACAGAGAGAGACTGTGGACACCCCTAATTCATGTGGGGTTCTTTTAAGACTTCGGCTTGCTTTAAACCATGAGGCTGCCTTACTTCATTTTCTGTAATCTTCCTCTCACTAAAAAGCCATTTTGAGTTATCCTTATTATTCTCAAATATGTATTTTTCCCTACTCTGAATACTCTTGCGAGTTACTTGAAGGATCTTCTGAATTATGTTAAAGATTTCCAGCATCTTTCTGAGCATTTTAAACTCAATTACAGTGTTAATTTAATGTGGAGGCACGTATCTTGAATACTAATGGCTCTTTTCAGGAAAGCAGCATCCCTGCTCTTTTATTTTAAAATTATCTCTTCTCTTCTCCCCACCTGAAAATCACAGCTAATTGCTCCTATATGCTAGGACTCTTCTGCTTATTTTAAATCCATAGATGAGCGCTTTTCTTCAAACCAATTCAGATTAATTTCTGGGCAAATTTATAGTTGGCCTCACATCATGATTAATCGCCAGAGGGTAAGACACCTATCATTAGTAACCACATGTGTTTATTTAGCAGCAGACTCTCTGCAAATTACAATTTTCTAAAAACCCTATACCCCCCAAAATGCCTTTGAAGGTGCTTTGCAATGCAGCTTAGTGGGGTTAGAACAACACTTCAGCTCCCAAAACAGCCCCTACAGTCTCTGCCACGGCCTTCCCTTTTTGTGCTGTCTGTCTGTCTTGTCTGTCTGTCTTTTGTTGTACCCTGACTTATATAGTACGCAAGGTATGGGCTGCCTTGTATCTGTAGGTTTCAGCACTTTCACACACAGGGCACATCTTTAATGCAAGCATTCATATGGGATCCTTCTGCTTAACACTGTATTATATATTTCTACAGTGGAATATTGCTGTTGCAACCCACTTCAAGACAATGCTGCCCAGTAGGGTCCATGAGTAACATTGCAGTCCAGCTGTGTGGCAATACACAACCTGTGGACCTTGAGCTGCATCCAGCCCTCAATTCAGAACTTTGACAAAGCAGCCATTTCCTTAGCTGGCAGCCCACTGGGCCAGGAGGAGAAGTGAGAGAGAGGGGAAATGGCAGGAAGAAATGGAAAAGGGGTGGTCCTACCCACTGGTGGGGTGAGGCCCCTAACAAATTATTCCTGAGGAAGTGTAACTCGTAGCAGAAAGGAGGTTGTCCACCCCAAGTAATGGTTCCAAGTCCATCAGTTGAAGGTTGGTGCCTTAAAGGAGTAGATTCATTTTGCTTGTTCCAAGCCAGCTTTTCCTGAGCTGTTACTTGCAGAGAAGGAAGAATGAAGCCATGGCTCTCTAACTGAGGTGTCTGACTGATGACTAGAGCGTTCCTTGATTGTAATGGGCAGGCATTCTTATTTTGGATGATATTTATTCCCTCAAAGCCCCCTTCCAAATACATGGTATGCATTCTGCATCGTCTGTGTTTCAAACCTCTTTCATTAATGTATGCCTTCTAAGATGTCCAGTTTAGTGCTTTCATGTAAGAGATTTGATTGGGAATCCCTGTGTTTAAGACTTACAATAGCATATTGGAATACAGCAGGACCCCCTTATCCATTGGTTCACTTAACCACAATTGACCTTGGTTTGAAAGAGAAGATGCAAAGTGTCTTAAAGTGCTTCCTTTAAGTGAAAATTCTCAATTCAATAGGGAAAGATAAAATCATGTGCTGAGGTTGTTAGGATGTATGGTAAGAACAAATCTTCTATCCATGAAATTGTGAAAAAAGAAATCTATATGTACAGTTTATAGTACGTGTTTTGTTTGCTGTTATTTGTGGTTTTGGGCATCTGCTGGGGTGCTTGGCATGTATCCCCACGGATATGGAAGTCCTGCTGTATTGGCTTAGTGAGTCAAGTAGGACTAGACACCCCCCTAGATTCTTTTGGATTATATTTTTGTGCACTTGAGTGGATCCTCTCCTTGTACTACCCATTCAATAATAGTACTATTAAAAATAGTCAAGACAGTACCCCCCAAAAAGAACGAACAATCTAAAATGATCCAGTGTAAAAGAAGATATAAAAGGCCACAGGGGGCACCATTTAAAGGCAGTTCCAGAACGGAAGATCCCTAATCTGGCATAAGCTACATTGCTTGGCTGGTCTCTCCTGGGAAGATTACTCCATTATTGTAGGAAACAGCAAATGGGGAGCACACTTACAGTAATCTCTGATGCTTGAAATAAGGGATTATACTCAAGACATTTCCAAAAATTCCATTATAATTATGACCAGAACAAACATTATTTTCAGGCACCTGAGAATATTTTCTCTTCTGTTTCTGTGTTCTGTTACTGTATCGTCATGACTGAGGTTCTTGCCCCAGACTTTCAGGTGCTCTTTCCCATATGCATGTCTGGAATCCAGACTGATCTTTAAGAACTAGAACTTGTATATTGGGATGGTAAACCTGCACCCCTTACTCTAATTTCATGCATAATTTCAACCCCTCTCCGCATGTGATTGATTATTCAGGCTGCTGGCAAGAGTGGTTTGTTTCTTCCCTGGGCGCCCACTCGCTGGGACGGAAGAGGAAGGAGTTGGGGATGAGGTGGCAGAAAGTGAGAGCAAAGAAAGTGACAGAAGGGGCATGCAGCCCCCTGAAAGCGTGTCCACCCCAGTTCTTACCGTTTCTTTCCTTGTGCAGCCTACATGACAGGAAGATGTGCATCATTGGACTCAGCATCCTGATGGGGCTGCCAAACCGACCTCCCGCAGTCGATGCAGTGGCTGCGCAGATTGTTCCTTCGGTGCTCCTTCTCTTCCTGGGCCTCAAGCAAGTGTGTGCCCCCCCGGCAGCACACCGAGCATGACGAGCAGGCCAAAGTGGAAAAGAATGATGTGGAAGATAATGGTATCAACAAGGAAGAGCGTCATTGTGCAAATAGGATGGGGGTGGGGAGATGGTTGGGACAGCAGTGCCGTTACTTTGCCAGCTATCGCTGTAAGTTGTTAGTCGTGGAATGCTGTCCGAGTGTCTTTCAAGCTTGTGAGTGGATGGAGGGCCGGTATTGCATGTTTCAGGAACTCTGGAGGCATGTTCTCAGGGTCATAGACCTCACAGCAGGGGTTTCCAACCTCTGTACTTGTGGGCACAGCTGGGAGTCTGAGAGACTGCTGTGGGCACCACTACAAAATGGCTCTCGTGGAAGGTATTGCTAGCCACATAAATGGCTGCTGTGGGGAGCTGGCTAGCAAAAAGACAAGGAATTCACTCAAGAAACTTGGCACAAGCAGAGGAAGGGGCTGTGCTCCAAAGCCATACTTCATATTTGAGCTCATGGGAGCACAGCAAGCTACCCATCCGAGGTTGCAAACCTGTGCACACTTGCATGGAATTACTTCTGGGTAGACCTGCATAGGATTGCTCTTCTATCTACATGCACCTCTTTACTCAGGCCCAAAGGAAAAGGAAAAGTCCCCAGTCTCAAAAGGAAAGGAAGGGTTTTCCCTGCCTTGACCCCAGGCTTAGCCTCTCCGCTCCCTACCTGAGAGGCTGCTGTCTCAGCCGTGTGTGTGTGTGTGTGTGTCCTGACAAGGGTGGGGGCTAGGATGGGAGAGAAAAAGAGCAATGCCAGGGGCTCAGTGAATAGGGAGCGAAAGAGCAAGATGGTGAATGGGGACAAAAAAAGTGAGGCTGGAGGCCAGAAGCAGGGGAGGTAAAGATGGCTAGGGAGATAAAAATAGTGGGGCTAGAGGCCAAAAGCACAGCAGAGGGGTTGGGGGAGAGTAATAGCATGGCGGGAGGTAGAGGGAGCGTGCAGACCAAAGGCGACTGGGCCAGGCAAGAAAGCAATCTCTTCTTCCTGCCCATTAGCAGCAAAGTCAGGAACAGGATGGCATTGTTGGTTGTGAGCTGGCAGGAGGTTTTTAAGGCGTTTTTATAAAAAATATTTAAAGGAGTCAGGGAATGGAAAATTTCATTGGTGGAGATTCTCACCATTGGGGAACCCCTGCATTACAGTTTCACCCCTTCCCTGGCAGGTGCTCTGCCACTGATGATCAGTTTCTGTACCTATAGAACTTTTCCCACAAAGTCAAATTGTAAATTCATGGGGCAAAGCAAAAGGTGTATTCTGGGACACCACAAGCGGTGTGGGAACGGGGGCTTAAATTACTCACTACTCATAAGGTTAACCTGACTCTTAATCTGCATGACCCTGGCCAGAACTGGCTTTTATGTAAACATTATTTCCAAGGGGCTTCCTGAGGCTTGTTTCAGAAGTGTGAGGGCATCCAGCAAGCTGACCTTCCTCAGTTACAAAAATCATTTTCTTTCCTTGGCTGCTTTCCTCAGGGTTATAACTTAAGGGGCTGCTCATTATCTTCAGTGCTCACTGGGGATGCCATTCATTTAGGAGCAGAATTAGAATAGCCAGTTGTTCAGGAAATTGGAATAGGCTTTGCATCCTAAAATACACGTTGGTCTGTTTTATATCACAAATATATGGAAGCACTTTAATGCCTTTTTTCAAATAAACAATTACAGAAGAGATTCCAAGTGATGAAGAAGAAGTACATGAAGTAAGCCAGGAAATGCAGGAGAACCATGCAGGTGGAGGCGGTGATGCAGATGAAGATGACGATGACGACGATGACTGGGATGATGATGCATTGGAAGAAACTGCTTTAGAAAGCTTTAGCACTCCAATTGACCTGGAAGATGGCGTGGACGAGTATCAGTTCTTTACACAGGCACTGTTAGGTACTCACACTTAAGACGCATCAACCTAGTAATGGCAAACGTCTTAGCTTGGCTAATCTCAGAATGGCAGAAGGCTCAATCCCATGCAAGCTTAGACTCAGCTGGGAGCTGTAGGCCGTTTTGCTGTCTAACTTGCATAGGATGGCACGCTGAGCCCCACGTACCGTTCGTTGTTACCTTAGGGAAAGCGAAACAGCATTTAACAAACTGGTCTGCTGCTTGTTTTAAAAATGTCCCCATGTCTGGCCTGCAAGGGTTCTGTGAAATGCTGAAGTTAAGATAGAGAAACCCACTAAGCTGGATTTTTGGGTTTTTTTTTAGTTTTTGGCTATACTAGTTCTAGAAGGCAGGAAGAAAACCTGTATCTCCAGCTGCTTTTCTGAGCAGAACTGGTACCACCTTCACTTTGGTTAGCATAGCATAGCCTTTTCAGAGACCGGCATCAGGCAGATCCCATCCAAGGGGTGGAATGCATGCGTTGCATGTCAGATATCTGAGACTCAGTCCCCATCCCAGCTCTGATAACAGAGTTAGATGACTCCTTGTGGCCTTTGGCTGGCAACAGTTCTCTTTTTGTTTATGTCCCAGTTTTGCAGCCTAACCTACTTCACAGGGTGCTTCTAGGAGTAATTGGGATATTCTGACACGAGAGGCCCTGAGCTTGGAGCAAGAATAGGGTACAGCACAGTAGATAAATTCATGTTTACGGTGGCAGGGCTATTCAAACTATTAGTTTGCCATCAGACTGTGCTTGTAATACTCTGACCCTTAGGGAAAGCAGCCCCTACTTGTCTGATGATTGGGAGGGATGTTGCCATGGGTTCTGTATCCATCTCGGGTTTTTGAAACTCTTCAAAGCTGGACCGTTAATTCTGTGTTGACAGCTGTGCAGAGCCGAGATGCAGCTTGGTACCACTTATTGATGGCCCCACTTAGCAACGATCAGAAGACACAGTTGCATGAAATCTGTGCCTTAGCCGAACACCGGAGGAATTCTGCAGGTCAGTTGGCCCTCTGGAAAAGCATGACCTGTTGAAAGAATATTTGCAGAAAGTGTGTATTGTGCAAAGAGGAATTCTTAATTATTGCAATCATGTAAAGCAATTCAAGCTGGTCCAGATTGCAAATACGATGAAAATAAAGGATTGAAAGAGAAATGCTTTTATTGCCCTGCGTGTGCAGAAAGAGAAGTAAGAGCAGTGGGTGAAGATTTGGATTTCCTTAGCTTTTTCCCATTGTAAGATGCGTCTATGTATCAAACATCAGGGAGGGGATCCCATTTTGTAAGCATGTCTTGCACTTTTAAGGTGGACCAACAGGCTAATCTTCAGAGCAAGAGCAAGTTTGGAGGGGAGAGAAGGAGAGGAAAAAACACAACTCTCGCTGCTTCATGCCCCAGTGCCATTGGAAGTAGAGAAGATGGAGGCTGGGGTGCAGGGTGTCCCAGGGAGGGTTTCTTGGGGGGCGGTGCTCATGTAAGGGGATGCTGCAGATGACAGAGTATATAGGGTGGAGAAATTCAGAAGCGTGTAGCCTGATCTCCCTGCCATTGCCTTTTGGGATCACTTCAGTAGGAATGAACAAAAAGTTTTCAAAAGTGGAAGGAAACCAAGGTTCTAAGCATATTGTGGACAGTCGCTCTTCCTTGGGTCACTAGCTTGATGGCAGAAGGCATCCCTTGCATAGAGAGAGTCTCCAGTCCAGTCCCTGACATCTTCAGATAAAAGGGTTGAGAGGCAGATGATGACAGAGACCTTGGTTTGAGACCCTGAGCCGTGGCAGGCGAGAATAGACAATACTGAGCTAGGCAGACAATGTTCTGCCTCCATCTAAGGCAGGTTCATATGTCACTTTGCAGTGCCTTTGACACGCATCCTTTGCTGACATGTTCGTAACAGAAGCATGTGGTCGGTAGAACAAGGGAGTCCTCCAGAAAAATAGTTGCACACAGATTGAGACATGCAGAGGGACCAGAAAGGAGTGGGTCTTACTCCAGACTGCTTTAAGTGGAGTTTCTGCATTATCCACCCTTTCTTGGCTAAGCTTCATGTCAGATTGTATATAAACAGTATTTCCAATTATATGATGAGATACCTAAACTCTGTCCATTTTTCAACAGCTGCTAAGATGCCACACAATTCTACTGATAGTAATGGGGGAATTCGGAAGTATTTTCTTCTGATGGGGTCCAAAGTTGTACTTTCCCTCTTCAGAATGATAATATTCAGTAGATGGGGAACAATACAGATGAATACAGTTTTGCAAGATAATTTTGAGTTTATCTGTAATAGAGGAGATTCTTTATAATGTTTTAAAGAGCACTTTTTAAAGGAGATTAGAAAAATCGTTGGTACTGTATAAAGACATATTTTCTGTCCATCTCTTAACATTCTTTTCCTTTTAATTCTAGAATCAAAGAGGATAGAACAGACAGATTTCACATTTAATATCAAAGGACTGGTCTCTGGATTTAACTTTGGCAATGCTCCAGGAAGCAACTGAAGGAGAAAAACACTTAAAGGACTGTGTAGAATCTTTCATTATTGCATTTTATTAAAACAAAGAGATAATTTGTGACTTGTGAATGGGCAAGGAAAGGTAATTGAATGCTCTGGAAGATTCCTTCTGGGAAAAAGCAGTGGTTGACCCTCTTCCCCCTCATTAGGACACTCTTTCTAACCAGCTGCTGTAATGTATAAATTCTTGTGGTATTTTTATAAGTTGTTGGACTGAAAAGAAAGTACCTGTTCCCAACTCCTCCTGCCGAGGAAACAGGGAACCAGCCATGTGAAACTGGATGGAGTTGCACTTCTCAGGTCTTTGCCATGTGAAATTGAAGGGGTCCTATGGATAACAGTGCCTTCTGTTGTATATGGATAGCCTGAACAAAAGATTTTTGGGGTGCATTATAATACTAATTTTTTTTTTAAGAAAGGAAGGATGGACATTTATAGGCACACTTCTAATCTTGTATTCCATGTTCTTCCGTTGTCTCCCTCCAGTGAAGTTGTGGCTGTATTTTATCAGTCACAAGTCTCACAGCATTGGCTACACAACCCTTTCAGCTTCCCTGCAGTTGTATGCATTCAGGGTGATGTCTCCCTGAGCTATAATACCCCTGTGTCCGCATCTGCACTTAGAAAACAGATCTTCCTGTGTACAATGAATCTGAATCCCCTTTCCTTAGGAGAGCTGAGCCTTTGTGAATATTGCAGAATTCGGGGACTTTCTACTTGAGAAAACTCTTTCTCTAGCTTGCCTTGCCTACCATGGAACCAGTTGGGCACTGAAGGGCATACTTTGGGGTGTGCACCCAGACTGCTTGAGGCAGTGGCTGTGCCCAGAAGGCCTTGCTTTCATCCTAGAGCTTGCCCAGTGCAGTCTTGCAGTTGCACTTTTGGGATGAGATCATTGTGCTGGCCAGTACATCTTTCAGGGAGGCTTGTCAGCCACTTATTGATCTCCTAAGGAAGCGGAATAGTTCCATAACCAGTACTTAAATGGAAGTAGTGGCATTGTGAGTCTTCAGAAAACAATTTTGTAGACATTTCAGTGCTGCTCCTGGCCTTGAATATTCAAAGCTAAGCTATGTCAGTGCTGTTGTGGATTTCTTAATGTACCGATAATTAGACAGTGGACTTAAGTAGTCATCAGCTTTATATTTTTGCCTCTCTTGAACTCCTTTCTCTTGCATTGAATACATATCATTCTTCCAGCCATGCTGGTGATAGAAACTTAAATTTTAAATACCAGCTTTTATTGGCGCCATCCTTTCACTGTATCCAGTGACTGGGTGATCATTTTAATTTTTCTTGGTTTTAGAAGACCAATCCCCATTACGTTTAGGGAGACATCATGTGTTACTGGTTTCTGTGTGCCTGAGCAGAGCAAAGGTGAAACAATCAATTAAAAAAACTGGTGCAGAATGATGAGGCTGTGTTTTAATGGCTAGGCTTGAAAGAAGCACAGGGTGAGTGCTTTGCTTTGCTTTCCATTTCAGCCCATACCTAAGGTTCTTTTCAACCATATGTGGCTGAAAGAATAAGGACAAAATCCAGTGCATCTCTAGAGAGAAAAATGTCCTACAGCATCCTGATTGGGGAATGATGGGAGCTAGAGGCCTTTTTCTGTTTAAACAAGTATAGGATTGTGTCCTAAATTGGTTTGCCTCTCCCAAACCATCCATCAAAGTTAGTCTTATGCTTAGTTTTCCATAAAGGCCTGTTCTTGTGGCTTGGCTTTCTGCAATGGAGCACACAAGAGCATTGGAGTTCTTTCCCCAATTTTAAGTGATAATTGTATAATAGTAAATTAAAGGCTGTTTCACACATAGTTACACAAAGGCCAGGTTGGCTTTGCCACCAGATGTATACCAAACTAAGAACTGCAACCAGTTGTGGCATCTTGACAGGTGTACCTTTAAAACAGCCATGGGTACAACCACTTGTTGGCCAACTTTAGGTGCAATGGTATATATTAAAAACATGTTAGGTGAACTGCTAAAAATTCTAAATTGTCTTAGGCTATAAGGTATTGCCATTTTCATTCTACCTAGCCTCTTAGTACAATTAACTTGTGCCTCCATTTGATTTTGTTTTGGTTCCTTCCTAATCCTGCCCTTTTATCCCAAAGAAATTTCCTGTAAATCCATTTCCTTTGCCTCGCTGGAATTTGTTGCTGTACAGTTGATTTGAGAAAGTTCCTTGTTAGATGTTATGTTTGCGAGAGAGAGAGTCTGTTGCCCTTACCCTTCAGAGTAGATGTTCATGCAAGTACGTGCATAGGGAAACCACAACCAAAATAGTGCAAGATTTTATTATTATTCAAGCTGTTCTGCTTAGGGATTATACTTTACTTTTTCTTTTCAAACATTCCTTTCAACTTTATTATCTTGCTTAAAAGATTGACATGTCTTCCAAGATTGTGCCCAGATTTGTTCAGAAATCAATCAGACGGTAACAAACATGTGTACTCGTTGTCTTATTCTGAAGACTGGGGCTTGAGCAGCTGTTAAAAGTCAGTTCTGTTAAGTCTAAATCATTGCGAAGCTTTTGAGTCAGCACACACATGCAGCAGAATCATGTAGTGTGTTTCTTTAACGCCCCTGCCATGAACCACTGTAGACAATGATTGCATGTCTGAATATGGCTGGTCTGAACCTTCCCTGCATATTTAAAACTAGTGCATTAGAGTGCGGTCATGTCCCTCGTCCTAGATTTTGATGCGCGTGGAGGATTTCGGGCAAGAATCTGCAGACTGGCACTCGCTGGCAGTTTGTGGTCATTCTGTACAGATAGAACAGCTGCTACAGATGGCTTCACCCCAAAAATGCTTGTGCTGGACTTACCCAACCTGTTGCTTTCCAGGTGTTTCAGACTACAACTTGCAGAATCCTACACCTGGCATAGCTGACATGGGGATGCTGCGAGTTGTAGTCCAGCAAGGAACTGTCAGGGATGCTCGAGTGTCTTATTGATGACATGTCGCTCTTCCAGCCTAGAGTAAATAATTCTCTTATTGTTTTAAATGTTTTGGGTTATGACAGATGTGACGAGAGAGAGCATTTCCTTGATTTAAAAGCTGAATATGTAAAATGATACTTGGAAATTCAAGGCTTGAGTGATCGGTTCACACGTGCCTCTTTATTCCTTGATGACTGCTCTGACAAGTAATGACTTGCATGTACAAATGGAGCCATCACAGATACAACACCCTAGACAGACCTTCCATTTTGGCTCACATCTTCTCAGACACAGTGCTTTCATTCAGCTGAGTCAGTCGCTTAAGCAACTGCTGGTTACCAAGTGTACCATAACTGTGCATAGAAAAACCAGGTGTTGCACATGCATGCCTGAACCAGCCCTTGAAGATGTCTGAGCACTCAGTCTGTCTCTGGACAAATGGTGCCAACTTGTGAGCTGTGATGACGACCATGGACATTCTAAGTCCTTTCATGTGAAATAGTTTGTATTGTTTAATATACTGGAATTGTAAACATCTGGGTAACCCTAATTGCTCCCTACTGTTAAATTCCAAATATATTTGTTGTTCTGAACAGAAAATGGTTGCCAAGTTGGCAGAGCATCTGATTTCCCCCCTTCCTGGAGGTTGAAAGGATTATCACAGCTATCGCAACAAAATGTACACTGTAATTAAAAGCAACCGCCTTAAAGGAGAGTACAAGATAAAGAACCATTTTGTGCTCAATTTTGAATGGGGCTTGTTTGGCTTTAGCAGAGCATAGGTTAAAACTGTACAGGAAACCAACTGTTGAAAATAAAGGGGCTGAAATTGTGTGCAAGAATTCTACCACTGAAATATTCGAGTGCAATGTTTTTATGTTTCTCTTGTGTGCCGTGCCCTCTGTCACTATCTGCATGGTGTGGATTTCACTACACAGCCCTCCCATTTTTAAATATCACTTTAAGCTTGATTATCTTTGTAAAGATACATAAAAGGTTTGAAGTGTGAATCTGGGATTGCGTGAAGGTCTCTTCTAAATTGATGAGAGAGGTGGTTCTTCCTACAACTGTGGAGTAATAGAAACATTAAACTTCAGATGGGCCAAAAATAGACATCCAGGTATTTCCCGTCCCCAGCATTCCTGACTATAGCCATGCTGGCAGAACTTCTGGAAGCTGTAATCCCAAACATCTGGAGATATAACTTCTGCCAAGTCCTGCCTTAGACCACATGGCTGAAGGTTACCACCATCACACTCAGAAACCAGAGTGGTACTTCATAGTTCCTGTGCATATTAATGGATTCTGCATCTTGTCAGGTCAAGATCATGGAAAGTGGGAGATGGCTCTTGCCTATCTCCATGAGTAGCAAATCCAAATACCTTCTTACCTTATATTTTGCAGTAACCTGAAATGGGGTCCTTGAGATTTGCAGCTATATCACCCAATTTGGTAAGCTTGCTCTTTCTTTAGACCAAAGCCAGGCAAGTAGCTGTGCAAACTGCAGCGCCTTTTAAAGTGGCTTTTTTGACAGGATATATGAGGGTTCTTCAAAGTTTCCACACTTTTAAAAACTATTTATTAAGAATTTCAAAAACAAATTACATCACTTTTCTACATAGTCACCTTCCTTTTGTGAAGCATTTTTCCAGCATCATACCAACTTTTTAATGCCATCAGCAAAAAATGTATAAAATATATTTATAAAATATAAAAGTGTGGAAACTTTTTGAAGACCTCTCATATATACAGCCATATATCTTTTTTTAAAAAAGAAGTAGCTTATACTTTCTCACATTCCCAAGAACCTAGAATCTTGGGAAAGGATAGAAAAGTATGAGAGAGTCAACTTGTCCCAAAAATCCAAAGAGGATCTTGTGAAGCCCCCCCGCCACCATTTCTTGAGCAAAGATCACTTACAAATTTGGTTCCTGTTGACAGCTCACTTTTTGACAGCTGCCAAAAGAAAACCAAGTGAAAAATAATGCAGTGTCTTTGGGCCCTTTTGGAACCACAAGCTTCCACAAGTCCCACTATAAAAAGTTCAAAAACATTTGTGCAAATTTTAAAAAGGGGTGTGATGAACTCATGACAGCCCCTCCAAGTGGCACTCGGACACTAGCAGGGGGCTCTTGCTCACTTCCAAATTAGAGATCATGGAAATTATTCTCAAAAGGAGGACAAGGGGGAGGATAAAGTTTCCCAGCAAGCACCAAAAAGTGTTTGCAATCAGCAGTGGGAAAAGAAATCCAGAGTCCCTTATACCCATGAGAGGACCAAGGAAGGAATACAATGCCCAGTGAGCCCGGTTGTCTGTTGGATGCAGCATGGCCTGTTTCAGTGTGCAGTCGGGTTCTAGGAGTAACTACCATCAGAGAAAAGAAAAGGTTTTGTATATTCTACAGCATGGGAAGGCACAACTGTGCTAGATGTTACATGGCAAAAACTGCAGCAATACTAGGGGGAGAATTCTCTGATGGAGTTCCATAACCTTGGGTTGTGTATTAGGACCAAAAGGAACTCATTCAGGTATACTCTTGGATTGGGAGCGACTGCTGAAGAATTCGGTATGGATGCTGTTTTGTTATGCTTGCTATCACGTTGTTAAAAGATCTAATTCAGTGTCAATGGAATTACAATTGAAAATAATGATTCTGTGGGATATAAGAACTAACTGGAAACTTAGTGTGAATGTTCACTTCCCTTCAGCCCACCAATTCTGTTCATTCACAGTCACAGTTTCCTTTGACTTCTTCTTCTCCTTTCCGGATCCATCACATGGGTGACCCCACTCTGAGCATGCAGGGAAGAACAAGTTGTCAGCTTGGCTACATAATCAGTCCCTTTTGGCAGTGTAATTCCGGCTCCCTGGGCTGATGGTGTAAAGAGCCTGAAAGGCAGATACTAGCAATCTAAATGAACAGACAACCTTTTTTTTTTTTTTTTTTTTTTTTTGGCAAGGGATGATATCATAGAAAAGAGGGAAGTGCTTTGCTGAAAATACCTGAGGAAAGCGCAGAGTAGCTTTACCTCAGTCCCACTGAAGTATTCTTCAGGTCATCTCTGAGCTATTGTTATTCAATTTAGGTTTGAAAGCCCCACCCCAAAATACAGAGATGGTTATTTTGATTCTGAAAAGGGGATCATGATCAGATCAGCACATAGTAAAGATCATCCCATGTGTGCATCTACAAATATCAGTAGCTTGTTACACACACAGTGAAGAATCAGGGTGCCATTTCATGAAAGGGAAATTTACAGGGTCAGTAAGGCCATGAGGTTCAAACCCCTCCTCAGGGCAGGACTCCAAAGCATCTCTAACATGGCTGACCAGCTGCATCTTGAACGTTTCCAGTGTGGAAGAGTCCGGAAGCCTCTCAAGGTAACTGGTGCCATAATTTTACACGGTTTTAACAGTCTGGAAGTTTTTCCTGATAGTTAGCCAGAATCTGGCTTCTTGTAACTTGACCCCATTGTTCCATGTGCTGCACTCTGGGATGATTGAAAAAAGATCCTAGCCCTTCTCTCTGTGACATTTCGAGTACTTGAAGGGTGTGGTTATCTCTCTCTCCAGACCCTTCCAGGCTAAATATACCTAATTCTTTCCATCTGTCTTCATGGGGCTTTATTTCCAGTCCCTTGGTCATTTCATTGCCTTCCCATGAACCTTTTTCCAGTTTGTCTGCAACTTTCTTAAACTGTGGTGTCCAGAACTGGACACAATACTCAAGATGAGGCCTAACCACTGCTGAGTAGAATGGAGCTTCTCAGAAGCTTCTTTGTGGTTATATGACCAGCTATTAAAAATAGTCACACAAATGCTCTTATTATGTTACTTTTCATTGCACTACAGCTGTAATGTATGCAAGAGCAAACATTTGGTGGAAGATTTGGGGCAGATAAAAAGTACTTGCTCACCCAGCATGCAGTTACACAATGGAATCCATTGGCACAGGAAGTAGTGGTAGCCGCCAATGTGGACAGCTTTAAAAGGGGATCAGATAAATTAACGTGAGAGAAGGCTATAAATGGCTACTAGCCTGGCTGGCTATGTGCTACCTCCATTATCAGAGGTGGTATGCCTGTGTGCACCACCTGCTGAGGAGCTTGGGCAGGTGGAACCCATGCACCCATCCTGGTTGAGGGGTCTGTGGAGAGCTGGCTTGCCACCATGTGGATGGACTGCTGGACTGGATGAACCATGGGTCAGGTCCAGGAGGGCGGTTTGATCCACCACCGGCTCATGTAGCTCAGTGCTACACACTGACTGGCAGTGGCTGTCCAGGATTTCAGTCAGGTTTTTCCCAGCTTATCAGGAGATGCCTAAGAATGTAATTAAAACCATGTGTGCGCAAAGCATACATTACACCATTGCTATAGTCCCTCCCTAGGACTGCCCCTGAAGTTCTGAAGAGAACTCAGATGAGATCTAACTGTGCCGCAGCAGGAATAACACCTCACCAGCATAGAAGTTCTTGCACAACTTGACTAGTGCTTGAAATTATGAGGTTGCTTTGTTCATGCTGTCCAATCCAGTGTGATGGTATATGAAGATGGTGGGGTGTTACAGAAGGAGCACACTTTTGGTCTGCACCAGGCCCAAAGGCCCAAAGCCTGGCCGGTGCTTGAACTGAGCATGCCCCGAAATGCTTTCCAGTGTCAGATAGTTGATATGGAAATGGTTTCCCAGACGAACAGTCTGAATACTGTGCTCTAAAATAGAAAGCAGTTACACTCTATGGTGGGTTTTTATGCTGGTGACTTGATTAGATGCATAAAGCATTGACCACATTATTGGAGGTTCCCACAACATTATGATAAACAGCCAGTTCTTAACAGTGGGAAAGAAATCCTTGCAAAAATTTAGCCTCCAGTACAAAGCTCATTTTCTGGCCCAAAACAGCTTTGCCAATTTGAGGCTATTCCTTTGTTTCATAACTTTTCCAAGCTGTATTTGGCTCACTAGATAATGAAATACAAAGTGTGTTTTTAAAAAATCAAAGCAGGATCGTATGATGGAATATGAGGAATTTACTTTTCAAGATTTGCAATGCTGGAAGTAATTTAAAATAGGCAGTGCTATAATCATTTACTCAAACTGAAAGGAAAGGTTTATAGCTGAAGCACTCTGAAGGATCACCTTATTTCATATGGACCTACCCCCAAGGGAGGGCAACATGTAGCCGGCCAAATGTTTTGGCCTACAGCTCCCATGATTCTTCACCATTAGCTCTGATGGTTAGGCCTGATGAGGGTTGTAGGCCAACAAATGTAGGAAGCCACAAATTGCCCACCACGGCTCACCTACTCTGGTCATCTGCTGATTGTACTAAGTTCCTGTGTCCATAGAGGTCAAGTGGGTGGATCAGCATATAAGGCAGGTCTCTTTATGCTATGGTACCACATTGGGCCAGTACCAAGAGTGTAAGGTTCTGAGGCAGCATCAGGGCTCCCTCTTCTGGCCAGAGACCAGAATAGCAGCCCTGGTGGTTGCGGGACCAGCCCCACAGTCAATAGCAGCCACCTGGGATGTTATAAGCACCACCTGGGTGCCCTGTATAAGAAGCGGCTCTTCCCTTTAGATGCTGCCTCAGCAATAATGGGTCTTGGTGTTGTTGGAATGCTCTGTGTCTTCTGGAACCTGTATCTGGAAACTTGGCCCATTGCCTTGCTCCTGCCTCTGCTTCTGCTCCAGTCCCAGGTATCTGCTTCTACTTGGCTTGTCTCTCTGGCTTTCGACTCCTGATTGGCATTGACTGCTCTGCTCTATTCGGATTGACTTACTTTGCACTTATGTTCCCCACCTTGATCTCTGGACTGCCTGACTATGATTTGGAATGGGCCTGTATATTTTAC